AAGCTGATAATAACCCAAAGCTCTGAGAAAAATTTTGAGATGAGTATAAGAACGGTTTGTTGTAAGTAGCGAGGAGAGGCGGGCAAAGCGGCTAAAATCCTATCTAATTTTTACAGTTTTTCTGTTGAATTAATGTTGCCGCGGGCTTCTGACTGTCCACACATAGTTCTGTTCAGCATATCGATACATAAGTATTTACATTTTACATACGTAGAATCTAATTTTCACGTCGGGGAGTTGACATATTTTGATTTTTTCGATTTTATACGGAAAATTGATGGTTTTTCGGGATTGAAATTATTATTGTTTCATGAAAAATAAATGCACCCAAAATGACTATAGCATATTGATTCTTACACATTTGCACTCACAAAATTGGTTGGTAAATTCAACGAGTGGGTGCATCGACCTGGTATATCAAGTTTCTGCAATTTTTTACGGCAAATCAGTAGATTTTCGGGATGTAGATTGCTTACTTTCAATTCATGAATGAATAAAGCAACGACATGGTTGAACTTCTTTGCATGGAAAGACGTTTAAAATAACAAAATCAAGACGTATTTAATGCAATTGCATTTATATCGAGTCAATTTCTTTTCAATAATATAACGGGATTTTTACTACCGGTGATTTGGGTATTTTAGCCCCAAAATACCTTTAAATCGACTTTATCTTCTAGGAGTTCGACAGAATTTTTCCTTTCTTTGCTTAAATTATCCCGTAGCACTTTTCTTCAAGAATCTGATAAGATTTTGCTTGAGGTAGATCAAAAAACTTAAATTCGATCGAATAGCTTTCTACTTTCACAATACACGGTCTCGTCAAGGTGCGTCTTTGACCTCGCAGTGTTGGATCGTGAATTCTCTTGTTGTGCTGTTTGCCTATTTTGAAATCTCTGTAAATGGAAACTAAAGGGGTTGATATGTGCGAGTTAATGACGCGCCTTATCAACACATTGTGTTGGAGTTCACTGCTTGTTTTTTCTTTCTTTCCTAAAATCTACCGGTCCTAAAAATTACGAGAATGTACTCACTTTTTCAATCAGTTCCGACAAAACATCCACCAAGTAATCCTCTATAGATTTCTCTCGGGGTAACAAAGAATACATCTTTCTCGGAAATCCTTGTAGCGAAAAGAGGGATACTTCATGGTTAGCATCATACAGAAGATTTGCGAGAAGCATCGCTACTCCTCCACTCCACGTCTCTGCCACTATCGTGAAAGGTCCTTTCCTTTGGATTCTCGTCATAGACTACGAGAATAGAAAAAAAAAAAATAAATAAAAAATAAATAAAAAGAAAACATGATAAGACGGTAGCACTGCACTGAGTATTAGAGAGGGTAAGAGTCAGAGAGACTAGATTGTATTAACTAGAAGTAGACGTGCAAAATTTTACTTAAGGTGATTCGATGGACGCCATATTTTGTGTTAGAATGGCATGCGATATATCGCATCAATTGGTTCCATTTTTTCAGCTACTCGTCATTTTTCTCCAATTTTGAGATCGCAATCCTGTTGTTAGGAGACTAAAGCACTCACTTACCAATTTTAACAAAGAAATTCAACGTAATAAAGGCGTGGTTTTTTAGAGAGAAAATATCGCATTCGAGTGCAGTTTCGATATCAGTATCGATATCAGTATCGAATGCGATGTTTTCTCTGTAAAAAAACCACGCCTTTATTACGTTGAATTTCTTTGTTAAAATTGGTAAAGGATTGCTTTAGTCTCCTGACAACAGAATTGCTATCTCAAAATTGGAGAAAAATGACAAGTAGCTGAAAAAATGGAACCAAGTGATGCGATATATCACATGCCGTTCTGACACAAAATATGGCGTCCATCGAATCACCGTAAAAGCTATATTTGCTTACTTGAAAATGGCTCAATATATATTCTCTTGGTCTTTTTTGTAAAGTTTCGTCAAGGTTATTCAAAAATTTGCTGTAATAAGTATGGAGCATGTACCCATTGACGGGTTAAGTAATAATCCTCCCATTAAAGTTTCTAGCATCCGGATACAATCAGGGCGAGGTTGCCATTTTTCCACTATACACTGCCGTGCTGAGGGAAACGCCGTAAGAGGCCTCAGAGGTTGCCAAATTTCCCCTAGTAAAACATTTATTCTTGAGAAAAGTTATGATCACTATTCCTTGAAATTTCCACCTACTCCGAATCAAATTTCGAATAAAATCCTCTAACAAATTGAAAAAAAAAAAAATATTCAAAATTTCCTTTGAAAGTGTGTATTTTATTGGAAGAAATTTGGCAGCACCTGAAGGTAAATACGGAATCTCTCCTTAGCACGGTAGCACAGTCTGCCAATAGACAAAGTAGAGTGCTGCTTATGTTTACTTTTAAATTCAGCTCGCATTGAACGGTTTTGGTACCCATAGCTGATATTTTCCATTATCTGGAGGATCCAAAGTCTACTTTACCTATAATTCATACTAAATTATAAATTTATAATTCAAAAGTTATCTTATTTAATGAAAGATTAAAACAATTGCCTAACCGAGAAAAGATGCTCTGCAATTTGTTGTGCTGAATTTGCTTCGAGATGTATGTGAGCAGTGTAGCAGGGGTACATGAGCTTGGAAAGTAGGGGTCTCAGCTGCGTTTCACAAAAAGCTGGTATGATGAACACAGGAAGGACGTCTCCATGTTTGTATGGCATGGTGGTCGCTAGCGATGTAGTTCGTATGAATGTAGCAGGAATCTGCGGGCTCAATTTAGAGTCCCAATGACATAAAAATTCTCCTATTTCCTCTAATTCTTGCAAGGAAGAGGGTAGATAGTCTGTTATCGACTCTTTCTTACCAATGACTGTTGAAGAAAGGATAATAATGATAATTAGGGGGGGAAAAACTTATCAGACATATCATGGAGAGCTATTTTTCAGACGGTTCAGCTTGAATTTGTAAAACCATTGTGTTGAGGTATACCTATAATTCTGAAGTTTGTAACCTAGAACTCTCCAAAATATGATAGCTCAACAAAATTAGCTCACAAAAATATTGTAAATAGACCATTTATGTTTCAGGAGACGCATAGGTCAACGGTGTGAAACCGATGTATCCCAACGAAAAAAGCATACACTCATTTGAACAATGTCTTGATTGATTATTTGTAATCTAAGTTTTTTTTTAGATTTATTAAAGATTCTGTAGGATGAAATCTGAAAAACAACAATTTAGATCCGAATAACTCATTTTGCCACTCCAAAGAGCAGTCCGTCTAAATAGTCAAGGACAAACTCAAATCATTAAGCACTGCAGTGCTGAAGAAATGAGTTACTGACCGTAATTTTTTAATTCGTGCATGAAATATGTCATTACTATTAGATTAAAACTATACTTTAATTTATCATCGTCAATTTTTCTTCTTATCCTTTTTTCTTTTGAAAAAATTAAGATCACGAGAAATAGTCAATTGGAAAATTATCTCCAATACTGTGCGAAGTGCAAAGAATAAAACATTTTTGATCATTTCTCACCAGAGTCGTTTCTCCTGCATAAGCTTCTGCTTGAAACGACGTAAGTAGCTGGTTTATTATGATCAGTCAAAGCCTGGCTAAGGACGCCGCAATAGCTCACATCGTCGTCACATACGATCGTCACCATATTTTTGATCTCATGCGTCCACGTCTCTCCTTGTATATTGATCAGCGTGTAGTCATTGAGAAAATTTTTCATATACTTCTGAATTACCGGTAAGATAGAGTCTTTTGTATTCTGTTTGGACAAGAATTGAAATCAAATTCAAATCATTCTGAATGCTTCAGGAGAAAGAGAGAAAAAATACACAGGATGAACATGTAAGATCTTTTCAGGAACTATAAAATTTAGACTCATCGCTACAGTAAGTTCGGGTTCATTGGACATGAAGCTCAAACCAACTTTTCCGGCTCATTTCAGAAACAGCATATACCATTGACTTTTTAACCATGACTTTTCATTGATTTTCTTAAAATTGAATTGGACGATTTTCTAATTGACGGTAAATTCTATGAAATAGGTGAGCACAAGAATGAATGACCACCATGATAGTTAAACTATCTTCACTTGTATTACTTAACTTCACATCTAATTTTATAATATCAAGGAATAGGTTCTCTCTCACTCTCTGCCAATACTCTAGTTTCAGTAGCAGGTTACTTCATAACGTATTTGTATTAGTCTTCTCTTTGTGGAAGGAGAACAAACACATGTTATCTATTTAACTGTTTGAATTGGTGCTTTGATAAACTATGTTATGTACTTGCTACTAACTCTCTTGCTAAATTTTCTATACTGAAAAATTACCTAAAAGCTTCGTTATCAATCAAAGCCCTTTTTTTTCGATACATTTCCCACATTCTGAAAACATTAAGTTAATGATCGCGAATGACAAAAAGGGGTTCGTGCGCACAGCATATTGTTCTCATAAATTAATTTCGAAATTCAATATTATAGTCAATTTTTAAGTATTTACCATCGCAACAGTGAATATTGTTGAGATTTCCCCCAGTCTTTTTGCTTGGTTTAGTATATTCTCCACGCCTGCGGGTGTGTGGGCAGCCTTTGCTGACGTCATTAGTAGGGTTGCCTCATGCCTGGAGGTGGCATTGTTGATCGCTCGCACTGCCTCTCTGTTGTCATTTGCATCCGAGGTAGATAATACTATATTCTTCACGCCACGTTCTAATAACCACTCTACTAAATTTACCACTCTTCCCACGTTTGAACCTGCAATGAAGAATAAGTGATCTCACTTTTACACACAATAGATCTTAAATTACGTAATGAACTTTTCTACGTTTGTTGTTGGTGAAATGTTTGATTTGGTTGAAAAAGCATCAGTTGATTTTATATTTTTTGTAAAACTATATTTGTGGTAAAACTGTAGAAAAACTTTGTAAACTTTGTAGAGTAACCATTTGTAGTATTAGGGTGATTTCACGATAATAGGAATAGTCGTGTCACCGTGGGTTGTGAACGACATAGGGCAGAACGATTGAAAACCAAATTAATTAATCAATAGGAATGATGTCCCTGAACCTATCCATGCTACAAAATATGATGAATTATTATTATATTCAATAGTATGAGACTTTAAAGGCCAAAAATGTCCGGTCGGTTACGCGTCGCCAACCCCGATTTTGAAGCAAAAGAGCAATTTGCGGTAACAAATCAGTACTGATCATGAACTCTTTGGCAATATTTGCTGAATAGAGACTCTAGTGTTCAAGAAAATTGCCAGTTTGAACTGAAATGTTTATTATTGAGCGAGAAAAGTCATAAGAAAGAGGTGTCACCACATTTGGCGACAAATTTTTGCAGTTGTATTAAATGCAGTGTTTATCTCGTCAGATGGAGTCAGGAGTTTCAAAACTGCCATCAAATTGTTCGCTGAAGTCTTCTTGACAAAACCATTACTGATAAGTCAGTTTTTTTTACAATGAAAACTTTAATCATTATGAAAACCAGTGATTTTTACGTGCGTAGCACTAATTCCTCACTACGCAAAAACCTCAATTTAATAGTATTAAACTAAAAGGAAGTCTCCAAAGTTTAGAAAACTTTTAAGGCAGCATTAATTCCACCTCATAACTCAAGAATTGCCAAGTTTCATCTTTTGTATCATCTTTAATCTCACATTTTTGAGTGTCGGTTACGCTGTGTCTGTTACGTAACCGACACAATTTGGCAGGGCCGCCATGTTTGCGTGGACCTCCAGCAGTCCCGCGGGAAGCGCTGATACCTGATTCAATGGCTTGTTTATCAATCACTTTAACTTTGCACTGAATCAAAATAGAGCGTGCCAAAGCTGGAAAAAGGAAGTTTAATACCTTTAAAATGAGGTAATGAAATCCTGTTAAAATTGGTGCACTTTTATTTCTAAGGTATTTCACATTTTAACTATTCCTGTTATCGTAAAATCACCCATTAACGAAGAATTGAGGGCCCTCTGGCATTTTTGATCCTCGCAATACAGCTCATCTCGCCGCCGCGATGGAGATAGTTAGTCCTTCGAGTGCCAAAACGCCTTCGTTTTAATGCATACGCAACATGGCCATCCGTGGAGCTCGAATAGTTGTATCCAGGCGTTGTGGTGAAACCCGTCGAGTATTCTTTTCATGCGATGCTAACTGAAGGCGCATTGCTTGTTACAAGAGATGCTCTTGCTTGCATAAAAAAGAATATAGTAAGAATCATATTTTAGGAAAGCCATACTTATAATCACGGAGGAAAGTTGAGAGTCTTTGGGAGTAATCCATTCACTCTGACTGATACAATTAAAATCGAGGGCTGGAGTTTTGACCTTATTGCCTTTATAGTTCGAGCCCACATCTAGTAAAAGTTTACCACCTCGTTCCGTGACCATTTCAACAGTTCTGAAAACAAATTTGAAGATCAGTGAATTATGTAAAGGCACAACCTTGATGCGCAGCGCTCATGCTAAATCTCAAACTCATTCGTCATATTTTGTTCACGATTTTTCGAAATTTTTTTATTAAAATTATTCATCTTCTCTTTTGCTTTTTTCAGTCCATTATTATGATTGAATAACTAAATACAAAAAGGGCACATTTCCAGAAAACCAAATTGTTTAGGAGACACAAAAAACTGTTTATTTCGTGTTAGATATTTTTTGGAAAGTCGTTATGTTTAAAAAAATATCTACCACAAAATAAACAGTTTTTTGTGTTTCCTGAACAATTTGGTTTTCTGGACATGTGCCCTTTTTGTATTTAGTGATTCAATTATCATCATCATCATCATCATCATCATCATCATCATCATCATCATCATCATCATCATCATCATCATTATCATCATCATCAATCGCAATAAGAAGAAAAAGAAGAAAAATAAGAAGAAGAAATGGAACGAGCAGAAGAAGAACAAGAAGAAGAAACACAGCAACATCATCATCAACAACAATAACAACATACCTAGATAACTGACTTAGATCATTAACGTTCACTGATTGGTTTGGCATATGAACCATCCGTCCCGATGAAAGACTTTCATTGACAAGCGCATGAAGTCGAATTTTCCGTTCTTTCGGTAACTGCACCAGTTGAGACAGCTTGCAGCCGTAGTAGCCGGTATCCTTGCTAAACCTGCCCATCGGGAGAGGGGAATTGTGTTGCATCGTTTCTTCGTTAAGGTTGACGAAACTACCATGTTTGCCGATGCAGGTCCAAGCGGTGAGCATCTGTTTTCGAGGAGCATCGCTCACTATTATATCGGGACCCACTCCGTTGGTTCCAAACATCATCGGAACGTAAAAGTCCTCGGTGTTGTGGTTTGTGATGTTGGATTTCGGTATCTAACAAATGAAATTTAAGTCAATTTCATACTCAGTGAACATGGTTCATTTATTATTATAAATATACTAGGAGGCTCTGCCCCCTGGCCGCGGTCCAACCCCGAGGGCGCTGCGCGCGGCCAGCGAAATCGTCGGAATCGCCCGTTGGCGGTGAATGAGCAAATCATTTTAATTGAAAAACAAAACGATTGTTCAAAGAAAAATTTCTCGCTAAACAATATTCCTGGTGACTTTCTCCTTGCACTGAATTTTTATTCCTTTTTTGGAAGTTGACCTTAACAGGGCCACATATAGCTGTCCATGACTAAACAAAATCCTCTGTAAGTTAAGACCCACTCTATTAATACTCTGAACTTTGAACTCTCCTTTCTCACTCCTGCCCATCAACTGTCTTTCTCCCCTTCCTCGCCCCGTTCATTAAGCGTCTTAAAAATGTTTTTATTAGAATAGAGAGGATTTAGCAGCATTAACATTCAGAATGCACTGTATTAGAAGGGATAAAAAGTTACAACTTCACCACACTGAAAAAATTAGAACTTTTGGTAATCGCTGATTCAAATTTCCCACTCATCTGAAAACCGAAGTCATCTCATGTAGTAATTCAGCCACTGAGCCATTTTTTTTTTTTTTTTTTTTTTTTTTTTTCCTGTTTTGTGCAATGAAATAACTTTCCTTGGTTGTGAACTAGTTTTCTTGAATGTTTAATCGTGCATCAAGAAAAGAGGTCCATTTTTACGAAATCGAATTATGGCGGTACAATAACCGATTTGACCAGCTCTGACTTTGGTTTTCTCGCAAGTGAAAAATTAGAAATCACTGTTTCGAGTATGAAATATAAGCGATATCTTTCTTATAAACATATTTTTGGTATATCCGATGTGCTTAACGTAAAATTTTCATGAGAAAATATACCTTTTGAAGTTTTAATTATGTGTCTTGGTTTTGAAAAAAAAATAAATATTTTTATTTCAACGTGCCATTTCAGGGCTTAAGTATCGTAATACAAACAACCACTGTCTCTTTATTGGCAGAGAGATGAAATAAAATACTCTGAGATTTTAAAAAGCGCACTGGGAACTCAATTGTTGATGCTTCAACTTTACTTGACATACGTAGCCTCCATAAAAATGGATAAAAATGTTATCACATGTTTGAGGAGGGAAAGCCGGAATTAAACATACTTAATGAAGGAGACTCTTATTTTTCCAGGCCTCCAAATTACTTTATTTATCTATTTATTCAATCTAGATGCACATACCTGAGGGAAAATCTGAGACACAAGTTGAGCAGCAGCCTCGTTAGAAACGGTAGTGTAAATATCATATTTCTTTTCGATGCAAAGAGATATAAAAGCCAATCCGACGGGAGTTTGTCCATTTATGATGAAAGCTGTCTTTTTTATTGCTCCGTCCGTATCATTTCCTATTCTAACTGCCATCCTTTCTTCCATGATCGAGTGCGCCTTTTTAGGTGAGAAAAAAACGGTCTCATAATCTCATGTCTGCCGAATAAGTATGAAGTGATTTCCGAGACGATATTAGGTTGGAAAGAGCCGTATGCAAAAACGACATTTTTCGCCCCCCCACTAAAACTTATTCAAACTTCGTCTATCAGTCACTAATACTGGAGCGCTTCTTTCCCCAAATTTTCAGACCCCCAAAAAATTTTGGGGGGGCGCTAGGGGGGGTGGAAGTCAAAACCTGTGAACCTCGATATCTTTCGAACGAAACAAGATATTGAGGCCCAGTTTGGACGAAAAATCGTCTAAAATTGCATACTTTAAGATTTTAAAGGTCAAAATCCCAAAATTAAATTTTTAAATTAACTTACGTGCTTTTTTTCAGTTTTTGAGGAAAAACAATTTCTTTTAAACAGATTAAACTGAAATTTTACATTTTTCGATTTGAACCAAAACCAGTTTTTTAAATTTCTCGTCTTTTTCCGCATCCAACGAGTGGTCGTATAAGCTGGAGAACCGAACGGTTCCGGAGTTATGATCGATTGAAGTTTCCGCTCAACGCGCGCCGACCGATTTTCGCGCGCAAAAAAGTCGGATTTGACTGTTATTAAATCAGATTGAATGTTCAAACTGAGCAAAATGCATTATTAGGGACTCTTGAGGGTCGCTGAGTTCAGAAATTACAGATACTTCCAAACAATCACGTTTTTAAAATTACAGCTCCGTAGCGCTATTTTAGAGGCCCACTGAGCGCCGACCGGCCGCTCAGTGATCCTGTACGGAGCTGTAATTTTGAAAACGTGAATTTTTTGGAAGTATCTGTAATTTCTGAACTCAGCGACCCTCAAGAGTCCCTAATAATGCATTTTGCTCAGTTTGAACATTCAATCTGATTTAATAACAGTCAAATCCGACTTTTTTGCGCGCGAATATCGGTCGGCGCGCGTTGAGCGGAAACTTCAATCGATCATAACTCCGGAACCGTTCGGTTCTCCAGCTTATACGACCACTCGTTGGATGCGGAAAAAGACGAGAAATTTAAAAAACTGGTTTTGGTTCAAATCGAAAAATGTAAAATTTCAGTTTAATCTGTTTAAAAGAAATTGTTTTTCCTCAAAAACTGAAAAAAAGCACGTAAGTTAATTTAAAAATTTAATTTTGGGATTTTGACCTTTAAAATCTTAAAGTATGCAATTTTAGACGATTTTTCGTCCAAACTGGGCCTCAATATCTTGTTTCGTTCGAAAGATATCGAGGTTCACAGGTTTTGACTTCCACCCCCCCTAGCGCCCCCCCAAAATTTTTTGGGGGTCTGAAAATTTGGGGAAAGAAGCGCTCCAGTATTAGTGACTGATAGACGAAGTTTGAATAAGTTTTAGTGGGGGGGCGAAAAATGTCGTTTTTGCATACGGCTCTTTCTAGCACGCACAAATTGGTGGAATGACAGCTCATAGAGGTCAAAAAGCATTTGAATAAAAAATATCGGTGCTGAAGAGATACGATTGTATTAACAGAAATAGTTACACGAAAATGTACTTCCTACTCCCCTTAATAAAATGCTGATATACTTCTGAAAAAACCTCAAATAAACATATTGTGTAAGCAGACATTTTCCAACGTTAAAATCCGGGTTTTTTTTCATTTTTCTTTTTTTTCTTTTTGTAAATATAGTCCAAACGTAAAGCTGATATTCCGATTCTTACGAACCTTTACTTATACAAATGCGATCCATTTTTTGGAGACTTAGAAATCATAATGCGCCATTTTGAAACTTAGTGCTACTGCTATACTTAGGGCTTAGCCACTGCGACACATAATAATTTAAGTATTAAGCCACACAAACCATTAAGTATGCAGTCGGAAGAGAAGCCGCCTCATCTAATGGAAGATTCTTCGGCACAGTCCATTGGAATATCGAGTCCAAGCAAATATTGTTCTTGAACCCTTCATTTTTATACGCAATGCCTACTACGTGAGCTCCTGCTGGTGTAACCCCAGAATAGTCCAAGATTGCCGGTGTTCCCTGTGATATAAATCGTGTTAAATATTCCAAATAATGGTGAAATTTTGGAGTTTTAAAACCACTAAACGCGTCATTAAACCTATGAAAATTTACTTTTATGTATGCTCTGTTTTTGGAGACCTGCCTCATATTGCGTGACCTTAAGCCACCGTTTTCTGATCTTCCGACATTTCACCATTCCAGGTCAAAAAAAGTTCTCATCACTGCTGCTCAGTTCTATAATTATCAATAAAAGACAGCTTGAAAAAATTGAATTAATTTTACTGAATTATTTTTAAAAATCACAAACCGGTGGAATATCAATTGCTTGCTTTGCAGTAAATTACCATGGAAAGAGGATATTTGCTGAAAAAAGCGTATGATGAAATTGAACGCTTCTACCACAACCAGAGATAGTTCAGCAAGGCAAGTCGTTTTTCGTTGGAAAGACTGAAATTTTATTAGGGGTTAAAATCTTGGTCGACAAAAAAATCTTCCTCTGCGCAACAAGTAATTATTAAGTATATTCTTTTTTTTGCGTAAATTGGTCGTATTGTTCTAAGTTAGATTCAAGAGGAGAAAATCTGTAAAATTATACTAAGGGTAAAAATATTGGTTGACATAGAAAAGTCTTCCTTCGCGCAACAAATGACCACCAAGTATTTTTTTACGTACATTGGTCGTATTTTTCTCAATGAGATTTATGAGGAGTAAATCTGTAGGGTAAATTAGTCTGGGGATACCCAGGTAAAATTATCATGACGGGTACCTGTATCATATTTTGGGAGCTGGTGGGATTTAAACCGATGTATCGAATGTTGACCTCCTCGGACACTTGGTTGACGTGGGGCAGAATTTGGGCCACGTTTGCAGGTACTAGTTTTGAAATCGGTACTCCGTGGTAACTGCCCCATTTCCCGTTTTTCAGCACGTTCATCAATACATCTCTCTCCAGTTGTTCTCGGTAGATGCTCTCGTCAAGAGAGAATGGAGGTGCATTGTCGTCCAGCAAGAAGAAAAACCTGAGCATTATAATTAAATGTCACAGAACGATTTCTGGATCAAAAATTCATTTGATTGAAAAGGAAAAATAATAAAGAACTTTTGCTAGGTAATTTTAGGGGCCTAGAGGACAAAACCCATGAAAATGCGATTTTTGCTATTTCGAGAAATTCGTTTCTAAAGTTTTGAAGTTACATGGTTTCTATAATGGCGGAAAGAAAGTTTTGAAACTGACTTTTTGATGCTTAAAAATTGGAATTGGGGAGCGAATTTTTCACAGAATGTGCATTAAGACTAGTTTTACTTGAAATTATTAATAGCTCAATTTGTTCAAAAACTGAACCTTTGTGCCTTGTCCTCCAAGCCCTTCATTTATCCTAAAAGTTGTTTTCCTACCACAAGTTATCCTAATATCTTTATTCTACTCGTTTTTTGTCCCATGACAGTAAAAGCTCTACTAGTGAGATGTCAAACCATGACTTTTCCCCCAAGTGTATGTGTCCTACTTGCAATTGATTGGCTTAACTAAAGCGTTGTCATACAGCGTTGCAATACAGTCAACCCCTGCCCGTGAGACGGGGAGTGCCTAAAGAGTCAAAACTCCTTCAATTCTGGTGTATGCAACACGGTCATCCGTGGAGTTCGAATAGTTGCATCCGTATTGGAAATCATCTGAAGTTATGTCACATGCAATACAAACTGATAGCGTTATTATTATTATTCTCTTACACCTTATCTTACTTCCAGCGTTGCCTATCTTGCCTATGACTGTAAGCAAGCCCATCAATTAAAACAAGCTTTGGTTCTATATTTTTGATCATATGAGAGATGGATTTGAAAAGGTTCTCTCAAGGAGTACGCACTTGAAATTCCTTGTTCCAGCTTCCCTTAATATTTTACGGATCATGGCTTCGGGACTTGTGAATGTTTTGCTGACGACGAAAACCAATTGTTCTTCCGCAGTTTTGACCTCCGATTTTAGAGCTTCCAAAGTTGACAATACATTTTCTGACACGTGATAAACTTTTGTCTTCCGACCAGAAATTTTCTGAAAGAGGAAACAACTTCTGGTAAAAATTCACGTTCTTCATCAGTCTGCTGAAATGTGTAAATTTCAATTAAAATACTACATCGTCTTTGTCTGACGTAATTCCCAGCCTCTACGAGTTAGTCCTGAACTTTTTACACGATTCAGAGCAATATTTTCCGTAATTTATTTGATGATTTTGGTCTTGATGATAATTTGTACTAACTTTAAGTTGTCTGAACTGACCAATAAATATACATGGAACACACTTTGATAATTGATCGATTTACACATGCAGTTTAAAAGTTCAATTTTTTTTTACATTCTCGGCATCTTCCATCATTGTTAAACCTACCTTTTTCAGGAGTCCATATCTGAAGGAACCAAATACTTGTTCGTATAACACAGCATAATCTTTGCCATAGTTTGAGACGGCATTTGAACCATTTTTGATCTGAGTTTCGACTGGCAGCGCTACAAGGAAGAAGGCGTCGTCACTGCCTCCCTGAAGTGATAATTGTGACAGAGATTGTGGACCAGAAATGTAGGAAAGGTGTACTCCACATTTTGTGCCATTTTTGTAAGTGTGACCGGGTACAATTTCCACCTATGAACATAAAAATATATGGATTACATTTTGGAATAAGGAACCAATGTCTCTGGCTCTCACATAAAAGCACCTTCCTACATTGGGAAATCAATGGCATATATCGACGGTGAAACTACCAAACCACGTATCTCGATTTGCGACGTCGCAGACTTCCTGTCATACTTTATTTTTTAAATGAAAAACTACTTAACGTCCAGTCTTGAAAATTTCTGTGATTTTTCCTCTTCGTGCGGAGAAAGTTCTGTGAAAATTTCAAGGAATGATATTGATTTGGTCTACTTCAAAAAAAATGAAATGTGAATGTAGATTTTTAAACACCGCAAACGAGATACGTGGTTTGGTAGTTTCACCGTCGATATGTTGTTTCTAAAATGAGCCGGAAATAGTGGATCCTTATTGCAAAATGTGGTCCATATAATTATGCAAACACCGCACGTGCATATTAGCAACCAACCAACAGGAAACTAGGTAACAACTGTACGAATTAAAATGTTTAAAATGAACTAAAATGCCGCTCTAAAAAAATACTTAAATAGTTTTAAATTAACGATTTATTGTATTTATCTGTAGTAAATTAAGACTGTATGAACCTCTCATATTAATCCAAAAAACCTGCTCTTATCAAAATTTTATTGATTTTCATTCCGATTTCCATGGGTTCAAATTTGGCAAATGATAAAGACAAAAAATGGCTGAAAAAGTCATGAACTGGCAATGATGAATGCTTCAGAAGGAACTTTTCTAACTTTCATTCACAAAACGATAAGCCTGCGTTAACTTGCTTCTTTTGAGGAAAGAGTACATTCTATACGTACTTTGCAGCAGTTAAAAGAACGAAATCGATACGCTTAGGTTTAATGAATGCCATACAGATGCACGCGAAAACTACTTACATTCAAATCATTGCTGGCCTGAAGAAAATCTCTAAGTACTTCAGAAGCCGATGGAGCTGATTTTCCGTTACGCGTATCACTTACTTTGAAATCTAGCGCTATTTTGAATTTATTTTGGGAGCTACCTGAATTTCCAACCATTATTTGAAAACTGGCACGCCAAAATTCGTGTAAACTCTGCAACATTGTTGACATATTAAAGTTAATAGCTTTTGAAAAAATAAAAATATCAAAAATAATTACTGTAAAATAGCAATAAAATTTTCAGTGTAATATTTAAGGTCGCGAAATCATTAAAATCTCGATCAATCATTAAGAACCAACTAGTTTAATGGGTTAATTTGCTGAGTCAGTTAAAGAATTTTCAAGTTTTCTATGCCCGTGGGTACTTCTTTATTACTCGCTGTTTGGCGGCCAGGAACCAGGTTTTCCGGAAGAGAGACACAAAGAAACGTTAATAAGAAGCTTGCAATATTGATATCCTCTTTCTCTCATAATGTCAGTCGTTTAGAAAAATCTGTTTTCCCTTCATTTAGATTGTAAAACGTGATTTAATGCCTTAAAACAATATGAAGTAAGTGCGATAAAAGATTTTTGACGATTGAAAAATTGTTTGCTTTAACTGACGTCTTTCTCAAGGCAAACCTGATTTGATACGTGAAGAAATGAATTTGAAGATTTTTAATGCGCTGAAACATGATTCCTGTTCAATTTCACCCACCAATGCAAAGTTTACTACCTCTATATTCGTTGTAGCTCAATAATGCAACAAGTCCTTTTAAGCTTCAGCCGAAGAAGCACCAAAGGATTATCTTACAATTGCTCTTTTTGCCGAAAGAAAAAATGATTTCGGTTTTCCGATATCGCTCACTTTCTGCTCACTTTTCATAAAGTGTTTTTTGCTTATTCGTTTATGTTTGATTGTTTGTTTTTATCGATGTCTATTTTTCTTATTATTCTTCATTTTTGTTTCGTTGCATATTGACCAACAGTTTTCTAAAAAATCACCTAGATCACCGCAAAATAACTTATTTTTCCCTATTTTAAATGTAATCCTCGATAAATTGATGGAGTGTGCGAAGCTCTTACCTTGAACGTACTACTACCGTAGGGCACAAAGTAAAGTCTCTCTGCGTGCACATCTTCCAATTTCTCAACTGGCTTCGGTATTGGGACAGTTTTGAAGCCATTTATTGTAACTCCAATACATTGAAGGCTATTCACAGCTGTGTTCATGAAAAACTCCACATAAGGAACTGAAACAAGAAGAAAATAAGTTATATATATACGGAATCTTGGAACAAGTAAATACGCGATGAAAAAACTCTCCACTTTCCACTTTTCGTTGATGGTGATGAACCTTATAATGTTTGCTCAGAAACGTGATTTTATTTATTCCCGCTTATTTTTACTTCAATAAAACTTGCTTTTTTCAATGTAAATGTTACTCTAATAAGAGTAATGCATTAATAAAAAAAGAGATGATTTCACGGAGAGTGAGTCAAGCTTGAGCTTTCGAAAGTATTGTCTTGATGGATACGTATATTCAAATTTTACCTTTCTGTAGTTGTTCAACTCGTCCAGGATCAAGCTGTATAGATTGAATGGAGGCAGGTCTTGGTAACTGTTCGGTGGCTTTAGCATTCCACATGGTATTCAGGTTCAATAGTGTGTCTAGGTAAATGGTCCAGTCCGAGTTTATTTTGATTTTTCCCAACAGGCCTGATGTGGCGAGAAAAAAAGAAAGTTTGTGAGAAAGAATCGCCATTGGAACACTTTTCTACGAGTGGCGCTTAAAACTCAGATCAGCCTCTTTTCTGATAAAAAAAAGAAAGTAATAAAAGATAGAAGACAGTGCGCTCCAAGTTTTTCTCTCATGATGCTGGAAGCTATTAATAATTGTAGTAGCTCAAGATGAAAAGGATACGAGCATTCTTAAAGCTTGTAATAAGTTCATAATTGCAGCTCTTCCTTTTCGGCCTACATCAATGGCTCATTAAAACAGTACTTTTTAGTTAAAATCTAAAAAAATGACTTTTAGTACCAACGTTCCGCAATAATTCTTCTAGAGATTGGCCGTTTTTTCTTTATTGGATGATCCCAATAGAGTAATTTATCCCCCTGAATGAATTATTCTTTACAGGGCTGATAAAACTTTTATAATCATAGAATTTCAAAAAAGTTTTGTCCAAAAAAAAAAAAATATATATATATTCACTTGGTTCACTTTATAATACACAAAAAATCAGTCGTTTAGCGTATGCACGTAATTAATGTTAAAGCAAAACAATTATTTTCGAATTATAATAGAATGACAATTTCACATGGCGGCATTGAACTTGCCTTTCGAGCACGTATGAATATCAGTTATCGATTTTGCCTGCAGGCCACCGACCGATTCCAGAAAATCAAGGAATCGTCCGTAAGAATCGTCACCGTTGAGGGTCGGATGCATCTCGTTGTTGGTCGGGAATTTCTCAGGTTGCGATCCGCGTTCCCAAATCCTGATTCTACCCGCCATGAGTACAACTTCTTGATCCTCGCTACCGGTTTCGGGCTCATCAATTGTCAATTCGTTCGATTTATAGTCCAGAAAATCTTGTAACACGATGAATTCACCACTGCCCCGCAAGATTTGAATCCAAACTTGACTGGAACCTGAAATTTCAATAAGACTAAGACTAAATTTACACGAAAAAAAAAATTGCTGATTCAACAATTCAATTGCTAAAAACAGTGAGTGCAATGTTTCAACGCAGATTTCACAACAAAAAAATGCTACTTTAACCACATTGTAAACTAATTTAACAACTTGGGTGGTTACAGTAGCATTCTTTTGTTGTAAAATCTGCGTTCAAACATTGCATTCACTGTTTTTAGCAATTGAATGGTTGAATCAGCAATTTTTTTTCCGTGTACGTTCAATAAGACTAAGACTTCTCAGCAAGAATATTTAATTACAATCAGAGGACCAATCGCGTTTATACATATGTAGCAGGCAATTAATTGAATCAGGCATTTTATCAAATGATTGGGCTGCAGACAGTCAAATTTAGACCGATTACGCAATTTTCTTAATTAATGTCGAGAAAAGGCTTTAATAGGATTGATGGGTGTCTCTTTACCTCTGAGAATTCATCCTTACTTTTGAAAAGCAGAGTTTATTTTCTTCTCTCTATCTTTCTGATAATTTTTTTAAAATAAATTTTTCTACGGAGTTCGGGTACTGGGTTGTATTACCTTCGACTGATAAATGCGGCTCTGAATAAATCTGAATGTTGTCAATGGCAACAGGAAGGCTTTTAAATTCCTGCTTTTCTATAGCACCAAATATTTTCCATACTTCAGTCTGGAAAACGAAAAAAAAAGAAATTTTATTTCAGGGTTTCAAAAGTTGCCATTACTGAAAGAATTGGCAATAATATACACCATATTTTCTCTTTATGTGAACTCATCTTCCTAGAATAGAACATTCTGATCCTGTACCTTTAAAAATTGCAATCTTCATAAAAAGTAAAAATGGCGAAAGAAATGTAAAGTTACTGTAATGTTCTTACTCTACTCGAATAATAATTCTGATAGTTCCAAAAAATTAATTGTAACCTCCGAGTTGGCTTATATTTAAGCTTTTCTATCATTTTAAAGAAAATCTCCTGGACTTAAACTTGAATTTGGTTTCTATGAGAGAAGTCGAACTAATCAGTTCTAATGAACTTTTACTCAAAATCAGGTTCCTTCAGATACATTAAAAAATCGAAAACTCCAGTTTCAGCGCTTAAACGTTGAATTAAATTTGCTGACTTTAAACCTATCATGAATTGAATTTTTTATGTATCAATGTGTAATTGAATTATACTGAAATTGTTGTTATATTAATTATTTCTCTTTGCATTATACATCTAAATCAAATTTAAACTATAGGGAAAAATAATTATAACTTGAAAACAGCTTACCAAGATAAAGGAAAGGCAGGAGATAGGAGTATCATTTTTCTTGTAGATCTTTAATAAATCCTTCATATCTTTCACAGAATAACACTTTTCTGAAATTGCTGAGGTGCTCTTGTGTTCGTGTTTCTGTTTTTAAATTTAAAGAAGAAAGTAAATAAGAATAACAGTAGACGCTGAAATTTTATTGGCAGGTGGTAAAGTTGTCATTTACTGGGAATTTATCAAAAAACAAGCACTTTTTATAGCTATTTTCTCTAAATTTTTTATGAGGATATCAACGCAGAGCTTAGAAGTAAAATTCTGTCACTCCAAAAAAAGTGACGTAGGATATGAAACTTTGGAGGGAAAGGAGGCAAATAGAGACTGTCAAAATTAGGAATGCCAAATCGCTGATTAAAAAACAATCTCATTGACTATCACTTGTTTAAATATATAATTAATATAAAATAATTTGAATAACCACAGTTAAGTTTGGTGAATTTGATTGGTTTTCTCGGTACATGCATGCTATGAAAATTATGAGAAATGGGCTATTCTCCTTAGTATTTGGGTCTTAAGGATGAATGGGACATATAAAGCCCCAGTGACGAAGTCGCCGCCGTGGCTCAGATTGATCCGCATAAACTCATGAGCCCTGTCCGCAATGCTCTAGACACATGCTCATGGCTCATGGCGTGCGTACGTCGATCTATTTGACGGAATGTAATATCCCGCTTTTCCAATTCAGCAAAAGGAATGGAGATGTTGCATGTGTGAGGGATTTGCGATTTGGCCATTGATTCTTACGTAAAAGTTTGCGAGAAACACGATGGTGCCGCTGGTTTTCTCTGAAATCATCTCCCAAGCTCAAAAAAAGCTCTCAAAGTGAGGCCGAAATGGAGGGGATATCCCACCCTACCCTGAGAGTCCACCTCTACATCAAAACAAACTCTCCATGCAAAGATAGGGAGCAACACTAATCTGTGGGGAGCAAATACATTAGCAGGGTTGCCTTGTTTTCAGTTGTGGTGTCCCCAAATAAAGTGGCAGCCCTGTTAATGTATTTGCTCCCTTTTTTTGCATGGCGTGTTTGTCTTGATGTAGAGGTGGACTCTCAGGGTAGGGTGGGATATCCCCTCCATTTCGGCCTCAACTTGAGAGCGTTTTTTGAGCTTGGGAGTTGATTTCAGAGAAAACCAGTGGCACCATCGTGTTTCTCGCGAACTTTTACATAAGAATCGATGGTCAAATCGCAAATTCCTCACACATGCAACATCTCTATTGTGAGCCAACTGACTGTGGCATCCGTGAGCCATGGGCATGTGACTAGAGCGTTGTGGACAGGGTTCATGAGTTAATGCGGGTCAGTTTGAGCCGCGGCGACTGCTTCGTCACTGGATGGGGCTTTATATTTCCCATTCATTCTTAAGGCCCGAGTACTAACGAGCATACCCCATCTTTTTCACCTGCGCATAGTTCTGTTTGATAAGAATACGTTCCATTGAGTTGAAAACATTTCTTAATAGGGAAAATTTGTCGTTTCTGAGAAAGTCAAATTTTTTTTTTTTTCATCCTCTATTTCCTCTTTCCTCGGTCTAAGTGCTCGCGAAATTAGTTACCATGTAAGAGGGTAGACCGTACGTCTCTGAATGATCCCATGTGACGAAGGGCTGAAGACTGGGCGTGTCTTGCGGCACAGGGAATTGGACTGCCGGATATAGTGCTGATACGTCTGGTTTACATCCAAGCAGGTACAACCTTTAACATATCAATACATCTATATTGAACATTGAAATGGAGTGCCTCAACTTTTATGACTCCCAAATTATAATTGGACATATTTCTGCCGAACGGAACTATATGCATAATGACGTGAGCCCTGTTATGCATATTATGGGTCTCAGGGGGCTCATGTCTAAATGCACATAGTTCCGTTTGGAAGTAACACTGCCAATTTATATCTTGACGGTGTCAAACACAGTCAAATAACTAAACCAAAAATTGCAGGACTGCCTTTCATTTTTATTTATTTTCAAAAAAACGTTAGTCCGGAAAAATTGGTTGGAGAGAGTTCCATTCGTTCGATTTAAAAGAGAAATAATTTATAATAGGGCCCAATCAAAAGTATAAGTTTTTGGATTTAACAGTAAAATTTGTTGACTGAAAGGATTAGACCTAGTGAGAATGATAACTTTCTCTTTTTAGGGAACATTTCTTTGCATCAAAAAAGTTCTATACTATAAATGTATGATTGGAGATAACTTACTGCCCAATAGCCTCCAGGAGGAATGTGACACCATCCGGGCTAGATCTGTGGGTGAGAGGAACATTAGTGACTTTTTTTGGCATGGCACGTTTTAGGATGGCCTGGAGCAGTCCATGTGGCGCGATCTCGATTAAAATCGCATTCGATGGTATTGACTTGATGGTATCTTCGAAGAGAACTGGACTCAGCAGATTGTTTGTGTGGTACTCCGGAGAACTGTAGGTGGCTAATTCGGAGTCCCAGTTCTCCTTAGGAATAGAGCTACTGATCCATTTTGATGACCTTGCTATGTTTTTTGGAATAACCTGAAGAATTTCAATCAACTTTAGTCATTTAATTGTACTTTTAAAAAGTCAAAATTGAAGGCTGGGTCCTGTTTTTATTTTGTTTATTTGAATCGAGGGTTAGTGATATTTATCCTGGCCGCAAATACAAATTTTAATTTTCACTCTCGTTTAAGGCCACTAGAATTTAGCGTTTAGTCAGAGACATAATTTTCCTAAAACACTCGGAAATCATAGGGGTAAATCAGTATCTGTCCCGCTAATGGCAATGCGGCGTTTATTTCTATTCTGCATTATAGACACTGAGAACCAGCAAGAGCAGCTACTACGCCGCGCTTTGCCAACAGTGATTTCAACCCATTTTTTTTTCATTAATACTGTGAGACTACTTAAAGTTGAATTAATTATCCTTTGCTAAATTTCTCACCTCTTTCAGATATTTGAGTAAGACCGGTGCGGCAGGTTGAATGTATCGAGAATGGTATGCAATATTTGCAACGTTCACACTCCGTGCAAAAACTTTCTGTGAGGTTAATTCGGAGACGAATTTTTCTACGTCCTCTGCAGGCCCAGATATCGTGCAGCTTGAGTCCGAATTTCTACATGCAACGTCGATGGACTCTGGTAGTTGATTTACGATATCTCCGTAACTCATTCCTATTTGTAAATCATTAATGTGAATATTAAAATTATTTTAAACACTCATAATTTTGTATTTAATTTTATGGTGAAAAATAAAGGTCAATGAATCAAGGTAAGTGAAATGTAGGCGTGCTTTTCCCGACCATAACGGCTAAAACTTGGAGTTCGGCTCCCGCCGCTGCAGCTGTGGCGCGAAAATTTGAATATCAACGACTTTGCAGTCTTGACCAAAAACATATGTGACCGTCTGCTGTTGATGAAAATGAACAAAGAGCCACCTCACTAATAGTAAATGGATTTGCATCCTTAAAAAAATTGTTTACACTGAATTTGTTCGTTTTTATCGACACTAGACGGTCATGTATTCGTTTCCGGCCGGGATAGCAAAGTTGCTGAAATTTAAATTTCGCGCCACAGCTCTAGCGGCGGGAGCCCAGCGCCAAGTTCTAGCTAAAAGGCCGGGAAGAGCATACCCGCGTTTTACTTACCTTGTCCATTAATGATGAACTAAGAAGTTTATCAAAAAAAAATTTTCCTTTCCTCGTTTAAATTCTGTATAGTCTTTGGTATAACCGTTTCCAAACTCGGAAAACTAGAATGTATGTTATTATTACCAACTCGTATTCATCTCACCGGTTTATTTTTTTGATGAACCAGATCAATAATTTGAGGAACCTTGGAAATGGATAAATATAAGAAAAAAACACTAAGAAATGGTGTTACTGGTGCGCATTAGAGTTCAAAAAATTAATTTTGACTCTAATTTTAATTTTTGGAACTTTTTGGCTTTGTTTTCCCCGCAAAATGGTGTGGACCCAGCACTATTTCTCCACCTTGTTAGATAAATATAAGTTTGCCTCCGCTTACGTAGAGGGTGATTATCACGAGTAGATTGAATCTTTCAGTTCAAAAACGACCCGACTCGGGTTTTATCCGATGTCCATTTTTTGCGTAGGAACACTCTTTTTTTGGCTGTTACGCGGTTTTTATTGTCTCTTGAAAAATATTATTTTTTTTTTTGAGATGGGTTGATTTCGACCTGAGAGATTCAATTGTGCTGGCATTAAAATTTGCAATGGTTGTAACGTACCAATGGCAGCCATCATTCCTTTGATGAGGGTTGCTTCTCGGGATGCTTTACCACGCGCATGCGCGGCTAAAATGGTCTGTTCGAGGGTCAGGCAGCCATCAGCGTAAGCACATCCCAATTCCCCTACAGAATGACCAACCATTCCTGCAGGTTCCAACTTTAGTGCTCGTAATATTTCAGTCAATCCTATCTAGAACCAACAAGGTGCCATTACACTCTTGCAACGCATTTTTTACCAAATACTTTCTTTGAAATATTTCTCAAATAGAAATTTATCATTTGAAATTTGGATGTCGTTAATCGTAAAGAGACTAAATAACTGGAGGCTCCTCACGAAAACACTTAATCGTGTACAAAAATGTGTCTATTAAAAACTTTAGCATGAAGAAAAATAATAGTTCTCATTTCTAGGAATAGTCAAAAAATCCCAATTACTGCAATCGCTAAGTCTAAAGATGTATTTTTTACTCTACAACATACGCAAAAAATGTAGCTATCCTTTTGAAAAGGTATGCAGCAACGATGTTGCACAAACATACTCTTGAAGGACTCAAACATTTTAATAAACTGAAAATTAATAACTTTTGAATTTCAGGAGGATTATATTTTATCAAAAGATGGGTTCACGCAAGCTCGTGACGTATTTTACTGTTCATTCACATACCCATTTACCTACTGCATTCATTCATTCTCAATTCATAAAGCTGAGAAATCTCAGAATTAATGAATGCATAGTTCCAAAGCGTCCTTTAACATACAATCGTATTGAAAAAATTAGATTGCAACAGATTTTAACGGAAAAGTTGAAGCTGCAATGATCCTCATGGCTCACCTGAACGGCAGTAATACCAACAAAAGCGTTCAAAATATTGTCAAAAATGTCCTTATCTTCGCTCGTTATTATATACTTGATGTCTACGCCATGTGGTGCGAGAACTTTGTCACACCTATCTATAGCATCGCGGAAGATTGGAATGTGCATCAGCTGAGAACCCATGGTGTTCCACTGGGAACCCATTCCTGAGAACACCCACCAGATTGGCCTCTGGTCTCCGTCCGCTCTCTGGAAAAATTGTCATGAGTTTTTCAATAGTAATTAGTTTGTATAAGAATGCATGCTTATGAAAAAAATACGCCCATGGCTCGGACAAAGTTCCCATGCACTTCAAACCGGGGAGTAGGAGGGTCCGGGAGGCTTCCTCATTAAAATTCTCGAAATTTTAAAGGATCTAACATGCACTTTGAGTCAATTTTTTCGTGAATACAAAATATAATGGTCCTCCACGGAGAAAAAAACAAAAAAAACACGGTCATTCGACGGTTACCACGGTAATAATGTCACACGGGATTCCACGTTAGTGGAACCGTGGATTTTGGTAATATTATTGATGAGCACAGTAGCATAACCATGCTCATAATAGTATGCCTGTGCCCACAGTAATATTACGGTAAATACGGTCATATCACCGTGCTCATCGTTACAAGGATCAAAATCCACGGTTCTACTACGGTGGAATCCCGTGTGGGATTACTACCGTTATAACGGTAGTATAACTGTGTTTTTATTCTCGGTGTCTTCTTCTTTCCTCCGTTTCTTCCTTCCTCCTTCATTACAAACCTCTTTCCTTTGTAATCTAATCACAGGGGCGTTAATGGCCATAGATGCTGAAGCACCGATTTAAGGTAAATGCACATTACTACTACTACTTTCTTCCTATCATTTTTCTTCTTCTCTTTTTCCGAGCAAACGAGGGAGGGGTGGCGAAAGCTCCTGTCATTATCGATCATAATAATATCATTATTAAGTATCTCAAATTTCTGATTTACCTGAGATTTTATCGTGACGTTGGCGCTATCTGATGGCACAATCGCATATCCTCTATACATGTGGTTCTGCATCTCTTGACTGAATACTCCATTCGCTAAAGAGGCGAATTCTGGGGTAATTTTTGTCTTTCTGACTCGCGTCATGACATCTTCCATCCCCGACTCGGTACGGGAGGATAACAGGATGATTTGCGGTAGCGTTTCTTCGATCATCGTGGTTGAGGATTTCCTGCAAATAGTTTCAATCATTTTTCGATGTTCGATTTTTTTTAGAATTAAAATGAAGAATAAGCTGAATAGTTTTGCTCTGATTTTTAGATTGGGTTTCTCCATTTGCGGCCAAACTAAAACTTGATTTACAAAGATACAAACAAAAGTTTTTCAACGCACTTATTGAATTTGAAATTTTCTTGGAACTTTCACCCAATAATTCAATTGCTCATTTTTTAAATAAGTATTCGTATTTTGCGCATTTCGTCATTACATCATACAATGACAAGTTTTCAGCAATGACTTTTCACCGGCGATGCTTCAAATTTACACTCCTTGAATTTTAATGTTGCTTTACTAAAATATTATATTTCGTATCAGTGATGCAATCTTATGTGTTGTTCGTAATTTTCCCTGATTTTTCGTCACTTTGCAGTAAATTATTTTTTTGAATAAATCAGAAATTATAAGTACTTATTTGATTTGCTCAGACGTTAATCTCGATGAATCGGAATCAATATACCCTGTATTAATTTTTAAGATCGAACTAGCATCGGACAAATCGCGGCCGGCGTTGTGCAAGCAAAAAGTCGGGGAAATTGAGAGAGAGAATAAGAGGTCAAAACTTTGGATGACAGTGCTGCAATTTTTTTCGTATGATAAAAAAGCAGCCTTTTGGTAGGAGTAGTTGCATCCAATTTTCATAGTCAAAGCTAGAGTCCCAAAATACATTAAGTAATGTTCTAACTTACCTGGGATTTGCTTTCAGAAGAAGGTGACCAAAGTGACCGGTCAGACCAATCGTGTTAACACCTATTAAGTCTCCATCATATGACGTAGGCTCGGTTACAACCTAAAATAAAAGTTAAGCGTTTTTTAAATTAATTCATTCAATTATTGTAATCTTCCGTCGCATTTCTAAGGCGCAATGATACAACTATTTGAACGCTCCGGAATGCGTGAGGTATCACGCCGCGTTTGAAGGCGTTTTCAAAACAGCCAAGTTCCGATATCCGCATACTCGTTTTGCATAATTCATATTCTTTTGTTATATTCCGTACAGCTTGTTTATTTTTAATCCTCGTATAAAAACCACCCATTTGCTAAATACAATTCTAGCTGGAGCGCACTTCAGCTATGCATTCACGACTGCAAAAACGTCAGAGGAAATCGACAAGCCCAGCGTGTATGAAGGCTATTTCAATTCAGGACACCGCCCAAGAACAGCCTGTAACTGGAATCCGCGTTTTGAGAAAAACGTATTTAAAGTTTTGTTTTTGATGTATTGTGCAGACTTTTCTATGCAGGTACCCTTAGGGTGCGTCAAAAAAAATGAAAGTCTGAAATGTTCCGCTCCCCAGGCGGCAATCGATGACGTTTGGTAAAAAAACATGTTTGCCAAAATTTGGGCCAATTTCAATCATTTTAAATGGTGCCAAAGGTCAATTTTGTGATGAAATTATGATATTTTGGTTTAGACCTCGATTTCGTACAAAAAACTCGATTTTACGCTGAAATCGTGCGTTTACGAGAAAAATGTCAAAGAACTCGACTTGAAGAGGATAAAATTTTACACTAGGAGAACGTCTTTGTAACCGATAAAAATCAAATTGAACTAGAAAAACTCAACTCGGTATTTATTTTTTTGGTCCTCAGAATTTCCGAGGTCTTACTAAGTAGAGGTTTAAAAGACTCATTTTTCACGAAAATAAGTCGAAAGAGGGTATAAATGAACTGTAGGCAAGTGTTGAGGATGCAAATGTCATCAGAACTTCCTCACCCAATCGGAAATTTGACCTTGGGCAGATCGGAGTAATATTGTGGCAACCTTAGCGAGATTGTGAGCATGTTTCAACAGTAAGGCTGGCCTGAGAATCTTGGTACAATATACCATCAATACTGGATATATAACCTTAGTATTTTAATATTGCACCAATATTAGCAACATTAGAAATCCAAGGTCAGGTGGTGCTCGGTGATTCCAAGATTGTCACAATATTGGTTATACAATATTGGTAAACTAATACTGTCGTAGAGTTATGTTTTCAATATTGCAGTAATATGTTAGTTTTAACATAGGCACATTATTAAAAAAAATACTGAACATAGGCTTCTGCTTATAATATTGACACAATATTGACACAATATTAGGAAAACAAAATTGCTAAAATAATATCGAGACGATGTTATCTCTGTGATACTGCGGTATTGTTATTATGTTAACATTCAATTAACGTTAGAACAACAAACATAACAGGCTTCTGTTCGTAATATTGTCATAATATTGACACAATATTGGATATCTAAAACTGCTGAATTGATATTATGCTAACATTATTTTTACAACATTGTGGTAATATTCGCACTTTAACATTGTCACAAGATTAAGAAAATAAACATTTTAGGCTTCTGCTTCTAATATTGTTATGAGATTAACACAATATTGTGCGCGGCGAGCACAATTCGACCGCGTGTGCTATTTCCACCACCAGGGCGCGCTCGCCGCGGATCTGCCGTTGCGGTCCCTTTAAGGGCAAATTAAAGGGCAAAAGCTGCGACCTTTCGCTTTTTGACGTAATAGGCACATGATCCATAGGCGTCTAACTCATCTTACCGATATTCTTCGGCCAAGGGCTCAAATGGAGCTTTTTGGCAACGGTCCGCGCGAGGCCGCCCCGTCAATGGGGCTGGTTCTCGTTTCGCCTGGGCAGTGCCCGTTGTAAGTGGGACCCAAGTTGAATACTTCGGTCAGTGCAAGCAGCCAAGAAAGTAGCTGACTTAGGAACGTTCCTCGGCACTGCAATGTTCCGTATGCCTACATTAGGCATTGCGACGCTATGAAATTGCTTCCGCGAGGACGGCAGGCAATACGGCGATCTATCACCTACCTTGCCTCAGAGGTAAAATTGGAAACTCAAGCTTGTCTCAGAGGTAAAATAAATATCCTTCCAATACTATGGCAATATTTTACCAACAAGTCTATGGTAACATCATGATCACAATATCCGCTGAACAAGCTTGGAGCAATATTATTAACATAACGTTGTCACAATATTGAATATCCAAGTTTGTCTCGGAAGTAAAATAATGTCCCACCAATATTGTGGCAATATTGTCAGGATAGGCTTGGAGCAGTCTTACAAACCTAACCTTGGCACAATCTTGGGGCTCAAGCTTGTCCCAGAGGTAAAATAAATGTCCTGCTAAGATTGTGGGAACATTAGCAAGATAAGCTTGGCAACTCTATTCAAATGTGAAAAAATGTCATACTAAGCTTGTACTAAGGTCAAATTTCCGATTGGGCAGTTTCAAAAAAAGTTCCAACTATTTTGCACAATCCTCCAAAAAGTGTACGACTCGAGAAGCAGGATCGTGCTATAATAGTAGGGGGAAAGGGCGATTTGACCGGGAAAAATTGCGTAACAAACTTTCCCTATGTAATCGTCATCAGTAGGTCCCCCTGAACAACTTCCTAAAAGTTAAAAATGGCCCGACCCCGGAATATCCCTCAAAAAAGTTAAAATTGAAAATGGCGGCCGTAATAAGAGGGTCCGGGAAATCGGTATTTTAAAATGCTCATTCTGTCTCATCATAAGAGGTATCATTCACTGAAAAAAATACCCGGGGAGAGTTGCCGAAAATCCCGGCAGAAGGAGCCGAGTCTCCCGTGCTCAAACGGAAGACCGTGCAGGCACGGTGACGGCCGCCGGGTTGACTCGGAAATTTAAATCCCGTATCCCCTCGGTCAAGCACCCCGAGAATCCCGGGGAAAGAACCCGGGTTGACTCGGCGAAAGAGGCCGAAATGACTCGGTAAACTGCGCCGTCGCAGTCGGCAAGCGCACCCGGGTTTTCCCGGGCCCAGCTTTTAGGTGCGAGTATGCACCGCTTAGGGGGAGGGGCGTGGGGGGGGGCGCAATGGTCCCTCTCCCCGCAACCCAGCTCCTCACCTACTCCCGAAATTCTGCGAGAGGGGGAGGGGAGACATTCCTCCCCCCCGGACGCATGCACTATGCGTCCCTCCCCTGCAACCCTTCACCTATTCACCTCGCTGCCCGAGTAGACCTCCCTTCCCCCTCTTGAATAGAAGCTCTCCTCCTCCCACTAGAGAATTGGTACCCTCCCTCTACCTGTGGATGGGTAGCTTCCCGCCCCCCACAGTGAAAATTTTTTAGCCCCCCTGTCCAATCCCTCACTAGAATGGAAGCTCCTTTCGTTTTAATGCAAAAATTTATAAGCTGTAAAATTAAAAGCACAAAAAGAGACAAAAGGTATAGCTTTTGAAAGTTGTTAACGTCCGTTCTAATTAATAGTCGATTTTATCTAACAGAGCTAAGACTTGGTTGGTTTTCCTTAATTTTTTCTTGTTTACATAATACAGGAGCACTTATTACCAGTTGACATTCACGGGTTGAAAAACAAAAAAATGAATATTTTTTAATGGAACATTATCCGGTGTGTTAGTGACAAAATAAAAATATCCATCGGGATGTTTTGAAACGTGAAGACTAGATCCTTTAGCATAGGAAAGAGAATTGTCTGAAAATATTAATAAAGTATTAGTTCTGTTTATTAACCTAAGTTGATCATAGGTATGTTTAAGAGATTGTAATCTATTTTCATTTTATTTGGCAACTGAGAAAAATTCATAATAAGATGATATCAATTTGTTAGATAAGTTTTCGCGGCTTGCGTCAAATGACACACTTGCATTGCAACGATGCAAAATTTTATTCTTCAGAAGTGAAAACAAACAAAAATTAAGTCTTGAAATTATTAGCACGTTTTCTATGGACAGGAAGGAAAATATCAATAAACAATTTGGGAAACAATGCTCGTATTAGTTTCTTTCATGTAAATTAGAATGAGAGCTCAAAGTATATAATGTTGCAATGCAAATTAGTGTTTTCAAGTCATCAATACTAAGAAAGTAATTCTATCTTTATTCCTTTGAGTGTAATTCCTTCTGTTAAATATGATAAAAAGAAGGAAAAACATTACACTTACACAAAAAGGTAAATACCGGAATAGTTATTTTTTTAATGTTTAATCAGGTTGAAATCAAGATAAATACGCCGAATAATTATAAAGAATTATTTTTTTAATTTATAAATCAAGTTGAAACACGAACCTATAGACACATTTCACGCCACGTGCTCCCTTAAATCACCCCAGGTAAGAGAATATGGATAATATAGAAATACACAGAAAACAGTTGCAAAACAGTCAGTTTTAATAAACGATTCACTAAAAATCTGCAATTCGCACTGCGCGATGAAAAATTTCCAGGACGGTATTGACTCTGAAGAGACGTGAAAATGACTGAATGATGGAATCGGAACTCAGAAGAATGTGGATTCACGGGGTTGCGAGACTGGACAAGAGATGAGGGTGATAGAGGAGAGGTGAAGGGTGAAGGGCTAGCGCGAACCAGAAGGGTATGAGTTGTGACTTGCCACATTCTACTTGAGTGCCTAGTTCATCCTCCACTATACCTTTACAGTAAAGGAGGCTGATTGAGTGGGCTGATTTTTAGCACAGTCTGGCAACCTTGACGCTTTCTCTTTTTTTTCCTCGCGGGCCGCGCCGTGCGAAGGGATGCGAATTCGAGGAACTCGACCCGGCCTGTTCTAACACGTGTGCATCCCCTAGGAGGATCGTGCTATACCTGCCAAGCCGTTATTGGTGCGGGCCGAGGCCCGATGGAAAAACCCAGGTTTCCGGGCTCCTCGGAGTCTGTCCCCGACTAGCCCGGCGGAAGCTCCCGGGCCGCCCGGAATCGGATGGCCCGGACGTTATGGTAATTTGGTCCGGGCTTGACTCGGCCTCACACCCCGTGAAGCTCGGATCAAGTTCCCGAGTTTTTCGGCGATAAGGCACGACTTTTACGGGAATGATGAGCCCGGACTGACTCGGTTCCAACGCCGGACTCATTTTTTTCAGTGATTTCCTATGTAATTTTGGTCGTAGATTTCATAAATGAATTCCGCATAAGGCCCCTTCTGAGCTTATGTTTCTCTCGGTAGTCGTATGTTTCCTTTAATTTCCTTTATTAAATACATTTATAACATCAAATTTAAGTTTCTTGGCCATAAATACATGAAAATAAAGACACTTCACTTTCCTTGTTCCTTCGGTGAATATTTAAAAAAATGCAACCTCCTGCCTTTCACATTTGGCCGCCATCTTTGATTTGGAGCGCCCCCTTTGGCCGGAGGGCCTTGTGGAATTTACTTATGAAATCTACGACTAAAATTACATAGGAAATGATACCTCTTATGATGAGACAGAATGAGCATTTTAAAATACCGATTTCCCGGACCCTCTTATTACGGCCGCCATTTTCAATTTTAACTTTTTTGAGGGATATTCCGGGGTCGGGCCATTTTTAACTTTTAGGAAGTTGTTCAGGGGGACCTACTGATGACGATTACATAGGGAAAGTTTGTTACGCAATTTTTCCCGGTCAAATCGCCCTTTCCCCCTACTATTATAGCACGATCCTGCTTCTCGAGTCGTACACTTTTTGGAGGATTGTGCAAAATAGTTGGAACTTTTTTTGAAACTGAGGAAGTTCTGATGACATTTGCATCCTCAACACTTGCCTACAGTTCATTTATACCCTCTTTCGACTTATTTTCGTGAAAAATGAGTCTTTTAAACCTCTACTTAGTAAGACCTCGGAAATTCTGAGGACCAAAAAAATAAATACCGAGTTGAGTTTTTCTAGTTCAATTTGATTTTTATCGGTTACAAAGACGTTCTCCTAGTGTAAAATTTTATCCTCTTCAAGTCGAGTTCTTTGACATTTTTCTCGTAAACGCACGATTTCAGCGTAAAATCGAGTTTTTTGTACGAAATCGAGGTCTAAACCAAAATATCATAATTTCATCACAAAATTGACCTTTGGCACCATTTAAAATGATTGAAATTGGCCCAAATTTTGGCAAACATGTTTTTTTACCAAACGTCATCGATTGCCGCCTGGGGAGCGGAACATTTCAGACTTTCATTTTTTTTGACGCACCCTAAGGTACCCTGTTTTGGTGATTTTGGGTGACCTAACTCTTCTATTGAACTATTCTACCATCACGCACGATTAACGCAAAATGGAAGAATAACGATAGTGAGTAAAGAAAGGGGTAACTAGCACCTTAGGCCCTTATGTTTATAGGCCCGTATATAGGTCGTTCTTGCACCCATCGATCCAGAGGCCTGACTTAACGCGGAATAAAAGGTTTCCCGACCTCGAGCCGTTATCTATCTATATTCTATCGCTACCACAGCATAGTCCAGGGTAAGTAGAATCCGAAAATCAGATGGGCGTAATAACGACCTATACGCCTATAGGCTGTTCTTGGTGCGGTGTCTTCAATTTTAACCACGCGGCATGTTTATTGTTATTCTCGTGGCCTATCTGATTTCATTTCGTCAAAAAACTAAAGCTTCCATGAAATATTAGCATGCGCGAATACGGATAATCATTGCTCACACTACTAACATGTCGCTCTTATAGCGTGAGATTCGCGACACCTAACCACCACTGATAGTGATCCTGCCAGAGCTCATCCGGCAAATCCCATTTCCTCATCTCCTGCCTCATTCCATCAATCCACAATTGGACGCATTTCTACCAAACAGACCCATGTGGAGGTGAGAAATATGGGGTGTGCTCGTTAGCTCTCTGGCCGTAAGAGTGAATGAGAATAATAAAGCGCCAGTGACGTCAGGGCGCGGAGGCGCGGTAGTGGGGACATCGTCGCGTCGTCGGGACACTTTAACTCATGAGCTCTGTCCACAACGCTCTCTTCCCATGCCCGCGGCTCATGAATCCCGCATTCAATTGGCACAATTAATACCCATATACTATACTCATATTGGATTTTAACTCCGCTCCTCCTCTAGTCGCAGAAAAAGTGACAACTTTTGTGATAAAACTTATATTAATTCCGTGTAATACTATCACTAGAACCGAATAATTGTTAACAGACCTGAACTATGAAGCACTATGAATCGGTAGGCGGTAGGGTGAGCCCAATAGCGCTCTGAATTCAAATTGAACTGCTTTTGTTTTTCATCACAAAAGCTATATTTTAATTAAGTATGCTAGACATAGAATCCACCGCATCAGGAGCAATGTAAGAACAACGATTCTTTCCCCGAATTAAGATGGGGAGGGGGGGGGCTCTTAGTCCATTTACATGAACGGGAATAACTAGAATTGAGCTGTTATCGACAATCAAATCTTGTCTGAGGGGCACCACTCACCACCCTTCTAAGGGAGGGTGGAACACCTCCTGATTCTCCCAGCTACGTGCTCATGGTAATTAGGAAACCCTGTTGTTGCTTAGAGAATTTAAAATCACCTTGATTCCCCCGGACGTTAACTCAGGGAGCGGTGAGTTTATGTTGATATTTGGAGGGATTTTAGTGTTTTTGAGTGCTATAATGGCCTTGACTGCTCCTACAGCGCAAGCAGCTGCTTCTGCATGACCAACGTTCGATTTTACCGACCCAATGAGGAGAGGTTTCCTTCGCTTACGACAAAAGACATCAGAAATAATGTTGGCCTCCTCCACGTCCCTATCCTGAAATGTAAAATAAATGTGTAAACATGAGTAAGAAAATGATTTTATCAATCCCTCAATTTCATGAGCTTATGGTGATAGAGCAATATCTTGCACACATAAAAAATAGTTCAGTGCTTGGGTTTCGTTAGTTTAATTGCACATGTTTTAAATAATAAAATCTGACAAATCATATCCTAATTTTAATATAACCTTGTAAATGGAAAGAAACAAAGGACGCAGAGATATAACTTTAATTTCCCATTTAACTTCTGAAATTGGCTGAAAGAAGTATTCATGTACCTACTTCGGCCGGCATATACATACTGAACTTGAATTCCAGTTCTAGTTAGCGTTATTCATTTGTTCATTCGCAATTTCGCAAGTTAATACGTCACCTACCTGTCTTAAGGGCGTAACCTCACTCTGCAATAAACCCTGTCTTCCATACAATTCAATGATTTCCCGGGGTCATCTCAATGCGTACGGTTACGCCCTTATGTCAGCCAAGCGAAAGACATGTTGATATCAATGCCGGGATGCACCTATTTGTGCTCTATGGTTGACCGTGCTGTATATTCAACAAATGAAGGCGCATTGAGTTTCCGTATGACAAATGGACTGCATTTTGCTATTTGGAACTATAAATTCTGGCTCATCTGAAAAAACACTTGTGTGCATGGGGAAACTAATGGTACATACGTTGTTTTTAGACAGAGCCAGAATTTATAGCTCCAAATTGCAAAATGTAGTCCAAACGTACACCAGGAAGTCAATGTGTTCACGACAACGTATGGATAAATCTACTAGTGCTTTACGGATGTCCGTATTGCAATATTGCATAGCGATGATGAAAGGATAAAAAATGCGTTTCTCGGTTTGCGGCGTTGCAGACTTCCTTCAATATTTTATTTTCTGCATGGAAAACTACTGAGCGTGATTTTTCCAAAAGTTTGGTTATTTGTTTGCCCTGTGTAAGGAATATTCTGTGAAAATTTCAAGCCATGATGATGGTCCGGTCTCTTTCCAAAAGAATAAGAAAGGAATGCAGATTTCGAAGCACCGGAAGCGAGATACACATTTTTGCAGTTTCACCGTCGATACGCACAAAAAGTAGACATATTGTTTTTACACCAAATGTTCATTGAGAAGTCAATGTGTTCATGATAACGTCTAAATGGACCGCGTTAAGCAGAAACATGCCGAGCCACATTCGCTATTATCAAATTTAATAGGGCAATTTCATTTTTTACACGAAAACAATTGTGCGGATTTTTGGTTGTAGGACATATCGTCGACGATTTTTTGTCCGCGCACCTGTTTTTTCCAGTAATTTACGTATACGCGTTTTTTTCGGCACGGGAGTTTTGGTCCACGTGCCAGTTGAAACCAAAAGTTAATTGGCCCACATGTAAAATGGAAATACAAACTACAATTGCTCAAAACGTTTTTGGATGAAAACGTATGTCTTGGAAGGATGGGGGTTTGCTTGTTTGTCTAGTCCAACGGAGGAAAATATATAATTGAAATTTTTGGTAAAAATGGGGGAGCGTCAATTCCATGAGACAAAATTCACTAAAACTCTCTACACCTTTTTGGTGTAACAGGACTTAATTATCTTTCAAGGAATTCCCACCATGAACCTGAACCGGATAAACTTCTATATTTGCCTCAGCTAAAAGCTCTTAGATTTTTCCTGTGTACGATAAGTATCTTGATTTATTTTGCAAGGAAAGATCTGTACTTTTAAAGGATGCCTGTCATTCTTAATACGTTCAATTTCGTATGATACTGTGCAACACCTCTGTGGTGAAATAGTTGCTTGAGGCGTGTCGTGGCACGCTGCGGCGCGGCAAGCGACTAGCCAGCGCATTGGCGCCTACAAACCTAAGTGGATACTTCAAGCAATGTGCAATGCGTGAAGTATCCACTTAGGTTTGTAGGCGCCAGTGAGCCTCTCGCGCTGGCAGCACACCACCGCTCCGATCTGTTAGGCTTTAATATTTATACTCACATAGTCAGCGTTTTTTAACTCATGATTTTGAAATGTTTGCACACTCTGCATTGATTATTCTCATTTAAAATGATGGGAAAAAATATGTATCAATGTATCAAAGGAGAATAATAATATAATGTGTGTTTTTTATATATTGGTGGTTCCGTGTCAAATTTAATGATTTCCTAAGAACTTTAATTTTTCTTTTTACATTTTGTTCTTTTATTGTGCTGCAGCGAGGTATATGCGCAACCAAACGCTCAAAATTTGACGTATTTGACTGTAAAAGATCGATGTACAAATGAGTTAAAACTAAAGATTGCGTGCTGCTTGGTTTTTTCCCTCTTTTATTCATGTTTGCAGTTTCTGTCGGCACAACTGCGGCTCATTGAGATTAACCTTGGAAAAGGTTTTAAAAATATTTGTCACGTTTTAAAAATATAAATGTGTTCAAAATGAAGTAATAATTTCGTAAAGAAAAAATAAAAAAATAAAAAAAAAAGTACCTATACATATATAAGGTATATTGTACATTGAATATTTTAAGGATAGAAATAAAACCAAATATTCACCAAAGACAATTTAAAATGATGATTCAAAAGGAGAAAGTAACAAGCAGTGAACTCCAACACAATGTGTTGATAAGGCGCGTCATTAACTCGCACATATCAACCCCTTTAGTTTTCATTTACAGAGATTTCAAAATAGGCAAACAGCACAACAAGAGAATTCACGATCCAACACTGCGAGGTCAAAGACGCACCTTGACGAGACCGTGTATTGTGAAAGTAGAAAGTTATTCGATCGAATTTAAGTTTTTTGATCTGCCTTAAGCAAAATCTTATCAGATTCTTGAAGAAAAGTGCTACGGAATAATTTAAGCGAAGAAAGGAAAAATTCTGTCCAACTCCTAGAAGATAAAGTCGATTTAAAGGTATTTTGGGGCTAAAATACCCAAATCACCGGTAGAACCTATAAATCCCGTTATATTATTGAAAAGAAATTGACTCGATATAAATGCAATTGCATTAAATACGTCTTGATTTTGTTATTTTAAACGTCTTTCCATGCAAAGAAGTTCAACCATGTCGTTGCTTTATTCATTCATGAATTGAAAGTAAGCAATCTACATCCCGAAAATCTACTGATTTGCCGTAAAAAATTGCAGAAACTTGATATACCAGGTCGATGCACCCACTCGTTGAATTTACCAACCAATTTCGTGAGTGCAAATGTGTAAAAATCAATATGCTATAGTCATTTTGGGTGCATTTATTTTTCATGAAACAATAATAATTTCAATCCCGAAAAACCATCAATTTTCCGTATGAAATCGAAAAATTCAAAATATGTCAACTCCCCGACGTGAAAATTAGATTATACGTGTGTAAATACTTATGTATCGATATGCTGAACAGAAACTATGTGTTGACACAGTCAGAAGCCCGCGGCAACATTAATTCAACAGAAAAACTGTAAAAATTAGATCGGATTTTAGCCGCTTTGCCCGCCTCTCCTCTTTACTTACAACAAACCGTTCTTATACTCATCTCAAAATTTTTCTCAGAGCTTTGGGTTATTATCAGCTTCCATTTAAACTCCGGTTCGATGGCCGAATCGGCTGCCAAAAAAGCAAGCCACTGTTGAAGGGTTCTATGAGAAATTCGTGATATTATCGGCTCTCAGGAAATCACCCCATGGCTAAAATTGGTGGTATAAATGTTTAAGTGCTTAAAATAATCGTATTCAAGAAACTAAGGAATTAAACTATGGAGTAAATTTCTTTTTAATAATATAACGTGATTTACTACCGGTGATTTAGCTATTATAGCCCCAGAATACTTTTAAAGCGCCTTTACGTTCCAGAATCTCGACGGAATTTTTTTTTTTTTGGCTTAAACGATTCAAGAGACATTTTAGTTAAAAATATAAAGATTTTTCGATTTGGACGTATAAAAAATGTTTAACTCGTTCAGGCACACCGTGTATTGTATGGAGTACTGCTGTTATTCGACCGTTGTCTTCAGGTCAAAATTCTTACAAAGAAGCCCCTTGCAAGAGGCGGATTTTTTGTAATTTCTCCCAGTTTTTTCAGCGTTAGGTATATGTATAAATTGCTTGTCAAATTCTGAGGTCAATTATATTTAATTGTAATTTATACTTTCTTTTTTTCCCATTCATTTTATTTTTCGTATCGAGAAGTCGAGGTTTTGTTGATTTCTTCGGATTTCGATTACTGTAACTTCTCTTCTATTCGGCCGATTTTTATGAATGAGGTCTCTTTTTATTTGTGTTTTAACGGAGAGTAAGGAAAAAATTGCTAAATACACGCGAAACAATTTTTTTTGAAAATTGGATGAATCCTAGCGTGACGGTGAAATGGTTAATGAAGCGTGAGTAATTGGGGTACGGGTATCGGCCGCGTTGGGACCCAAGGCGGCCCAAGGCTTATTGTTCTTCGTGACGCCGACGCAGTGATCAGGAGCGTGGGGAAGAGAGGGCTGAGTGGACTCCTGTATGAGCCACGTTTAGCAAATGGTCTAGTGAGTCTCGAGGCTCATCACAGATTGCACTTGCCATTATCCTGCTGGCCCCGGCTATCAGAGCAAGAGGTACCAACTTTTGAAAAGGATAACAGTGGTGTGGAGATCTGTCAAAGCAACGTTTTGAACAAAACGGAGTGAGTGAAATTCTCATTCAAGGAGTGCCGAACTGGTCAGCCATCCTCAAATCAGTTCGCTTGCTTCCGCTTATATATGCATATTTTAAATCAGCGCGTCGTTCTCTTAGGCTTTTTTTAAAAAAACCAAGTAACGTAGACTCTTGCATGGTATTCACTGCACATAAACTAGCGAGCCCCAGAATGAGAAACAACTTTAAATCATAATTATGGACGGATAAATAAACTTTTTACACGCTTTGGAAAATCTCAGAAGTTCGCGGTAGTCACTTTTCGGTAAGGAACTAAGGGACTCGGTAATTGTATCGAGCAGGGTTCGAAACGATCGCAAAGGCGGTATACTACGTATACGCGCCAATAACATTTCAATTAGAAAATGAGCAACCATAACACCTCCTTCTCTCTCAATTTCTCATTTCCATATAGTCAATATAATTTTACATACCGACTAAAATGTAACGCTTGGACCAAGTCACTGTTGCTTATTTTACGTGTGAGCGTAAACTACTGGACAAAAAATCGTCAACAAAATGTCCTGAAACCGGATTTTTATGCCAATTTCAGTGAATTTTCCAAATAATACGTAACAAATTCCTCGAAATTTTCAAAGGAATCCGCACAAATGCACTGAAAAAAAAGTGGAAGTGGGATTGACCATAATGGTATAGTAAAAAAAAATATGGTGATAAAAAGCCAAATAATGGTCGATTTAAGCATCTAGATGAAAGTGAGAATCATACTCGATATAAAAATTACCATACCCGGATTGTAAATATCAGTTAGGTGTGTCTGTCCATCGTTTAGGTATTTCTCACCATCAGCTGGGTATTTTTTACCATACGATGAGTTAAAAGTATGGAATAACATGGTAACACTTGCGTTTGATATCTGTAGACATCTGTATGCGACTGGTCATGGTGTTGGTAGGTTAAATTTACCATACTGGTATAGTCAGCGTGGTGAGAGCTCCCGCTTGACTGCGCTGCGGTCTGTGGTCCGCCATTTTTCGTTTGTCTGTTTGTCAGTTATAAATTTATCACGTTGAGGGTCGGAGTCCGTGGCTGTGTTTTATTGATCCATATTAATCCATGTGAATCCACGCGTAATTTGCCCAAATTTGTGTTCGAATTGTCCCTAAAGCTACCGTCTTCTCTTCGAATCTATCTATATTGATCTGCCACATACATTTTCTGAGATTTTTTCGTTATTCGTAACGACCAATTTCTGGAGGTTAGGAGTTGCTACAATGAATCTGGCTTGCAAAGTGAAGGAATCCTGAAAATTTGAAAACCTTCGCAAAGTTGTTCTGCAATCCAGTGAATATCGGTTCTGTGTAAAGTCATTTCGAAAACATAAAAGTGCGGAAGTAATTTGAAAATAATCGACTAGAAATGATTTTTGAATACTTCGTTCGTAGGTATGGTATATCTATATTCTTGTTAAAATTTTCGAAGCTCAACATACTCAGATGAAGAGACAAATGTGCGTGGGATTGATGTTTAACTGTAACTTTAAGCAAAATTTGGCAGCTTCTGCCCCACCGTGAACCGTGCGATTGGATTTTCATGTAGTGTCTTTTTGTGGGTATATTTTGAACTATCTATTTATTATATGCAATTAAATTTTCCGTGGATCTGATTTAGTCTGTAAATGATACCTTAACGCGAATAACAAGTATGGTTTTGGTATCATTTACTTGAAATCAGTGAAGCAATTATCTGCTATTTCTCGTTGAAACTGTCTTTAACTGCCATTGATTGTGTATGTAACGGAATTTCTAAAAGTAAGATGTAAGTAAAATATCCACGACTTTCATCAAAAGCATTTAATAATATAAGATGAGTGGATTTTAGAATCTACAAGGTTTGTCGCAGCATCTGGATGCTTGAGATTACCATACTAGTCAGTCGGGAACGCCACACTGGCACTGTGTCGCATAGTGTCAGCCGTATCGTGTTATTTACCATACCGGTATATTGGTAACTATGCTGCAGCTTCACTGTGTAAAAAATCAAGTAGACAGTATGGTAAATAACACCCAAACTCTGGTAAATCCCACCGATTATTTTTTTCAGTGTGTGCTCTTGTATAAAATTGAATTGTCCAGTTGAATTTAGCAATAGCTGATGTGGCTTCGTTCCTTTCTGCTGAACGCGGACCAGATGCAACTAATCGTGCTCTACGGATGCCCATATTGCACGTTCAAAAAATGAAGGCGCTTTATACGGTCACATCACATGAAAACTAGATGAACGTCTACGCATTGTACAAACTTTGATTCCGCAGCCGTCCGCCTCGATGTAGCCGACGTCAGCGGGATCGACGTTCCATTTGGAGTAAAGTTGACGGAGCATTTCTTTTGCCGGTCCTCCGTCGAATGCCAGAACGTTGCCTTCTTTTGTGCCAAAGAATCTGTACTCGGCCCCGATGACCGTGGCCCAGTTGCGGCGCGCTTCCTGTGCTCGTTGAAGGAAAAACGCCACGCAACCCTCGCTCAGAGCGTATCCATGTGCTTAAAACATGAAAAAAAATTGACCGGTTTTCAAAATGTAGCTGTCTGTCGTGGCATTCGATAAAATTGTTTGCCTGAGACATGTGCAAAACGAATTACTATACTACTGCAGGCTGATTGTTGAAATTGATAGACAAAGCGATCGACAAAAAAAAAAACTAAGGGAGTATGGAGCAATCCTATCCGATGGGTGGCTTATATACCCCCTACAGACTAAGGGGGTAAATGATGGACTAACTATGGGGTCTCTCGTGGGTTGCCGTTAGTTAGTCTATTATCTACCTTCTTTATACATTGCAACCACCCGCTTCCACCGATAGGATCCCTTCATACCCCTTTTGTCTCCTTTGTCTATAGCTTTGTCCATCAATTTAAAAATCAGCCCACTGAGCACGTAAAGAGACCATAGATGTAAACTTTTAGAATAATCATTTCGACCTCTCGAAAAAACCATTTTATGAACATCAATGTTTTATTACAAAGTTTTAGATTGCGTGGACCTAAAGTAACCGGACACATGCGCGTTGAACTTTTTAAGGAAGACCATATAGGTCCTTCATCTGCTATGTATATACTGAGGATAGCGAATTTTGGCTGAAATTCAGGAGACGGCATCAGATTAATTCTACAATGGAGAATTTGCAAGGGTCTGAAATTTGATGAATTTCCTGTTTAAGTGGAATCCTCTGAGTGAACTGAACACGAAGATACCCTTGATTCATAAATTGAGCAATTATTAGAGGAGATATGACAAAATAACCGATTCTGCTAAAATACATGTGTTTAAATGGGAAATGCCGCCAGATGACGTCACAAGGCGGCACATTTTCTCACTTTTAAATCAATTTTTCTCCAATTTCCCATGTCAGAAAAAAATTATGAAAAATATTGCGAACTCAGCTCATTAGGCACTTTCAGATGAAGCAATAAAAAAATTGCGTGCAAATTCTCCATTGGACGGTTTTTCCCAAACGGAACCAGAGACAGGAGGGAAAGAAGGGGTGTGCTCGTTAGTCGAGGGCTGTAAGAATGAACGGGACTTATAAAAACCCAATGACGTCAGCGGCGACGAAGCCGCGACAGCGGCTTCGCGTGAGAGTCTTTAACTCATGAGCCCTGTCCAAAACGCTCTTGCCATATGCCCACGGTCCATGAGTGCCACATTCAGTTGGCACATAGTTCCGTTTCACAGAATGTAAAATCCCACTTTTCTATTTTACCGAAGGTAATCACGCCCACTATAGCATTGTTTTTTACCCAGCTTTCTTGAGCACACCCCATCCTTCCCACTCGTCTATAGTTCTGTTTGGCAGAAATATGCCCTATTAATTCAGCCTTAAATGGACTACATTTTGCAATTTGGAACTATAAATTCTAGACCGGTTTAAAAACAACGTATGTGCCATTAGTTTCCTTATGCACATGAGTATTTTTACAGAAAAGCCAGAATTTATAGTTCCAAATTGCAAAATGCAGTCCAAATCCACAACTGCTCGTAAAAAGTGTCGAGTGGATAACAAATTCGGTCTCAAATTGGTAGGTCAAACTGAAATTTACCATTTTGGTCAAAAGAGCTGCACTTTCCGTCGTTTGCAGCGAAGCCCATGCCGTGTAAAATGGCCAAAGGGCGAGGTGACAGGATGGAGTTGGCAGTCACAATCACTGCTGCGTCTATTTCTCCTTCCTCCAACTGAGCCCTCGCCTCGTCGATGAAATGGAACGTTTGTCCATAACCTCCCATTGCAGTGAAACTGGGACCTAAAAATGTCAATCCCTTACATTCAGAAACTCGAGTAAAACGGAGTATGTAAACTAGATTAGGGTTGTCAAACCAATTGCTCAACTTTTCTGTCTTATGTCACCATTAGTGGAATATGAGCGTCGACTTCCAATTGTAACTTCTACTCTACGGGGACATACCAGTAATGCGGGAAACATTTAAAGTGCTTTTGCACGGAGAAAAAAAACTCGTGCGTGGGACCCGAAGTTTAGGTCATATGGATCTCTGAAGTTTTCAGATTGAGCATCTGAACACTTTAGGTCTATCTGCCGAGGTTCGGATCACACATCTGAAACTTCAGTTCTTACATCTTAAGTACTTCGGTTCTCACATCTGAAGTACTTCAGATGTAAGAACTGAAGTTTCAGATGCATGATCCGAACCTCGACAGCTAGACCTGAAGTGTTCAGATGCTCAATCTGAAAACTTCATAGATCCATATGACCTAAACTTCGGGTCCCACGCACGAGTTTTTTTTCCTCCGTGTGCTTTCCCGATGACATCTCTGGGTGCAACTATTCGACGTCAAGAGTAGTAGGAAAATGAGGATTTGAACTCAAAAATTACATGGGTCTTATGGGGTGTATTTCCATAACGCGTGCCCATGCAACCGGTACATTATTCAAGTTCAATTCGTTGCAATTATGGTTGTGATTATAATAAACTCAGCCCGCCCGCCTGGACCGCTTTAGCGTTGAATCTTCCGTCTTGGCCCTGGGTCCGGGCCCCCTCCCCCGCCNNNNGCGAGGGGCCCGGACCCAGGGCCAAGACGGCAGATTCAACGCTAAAGCGGTCCAGGCGGGCGGGGGGTGGAGTGCTGCCCAGAGGATGTCTCCTATACTCACCGTGTAAAACGGAGTCCCCCGTAAGAACGCGTGTTATTTTTTCTCCCATAAGACCCATGTAATTTTTGAGTTCAAATCTCTATTTCCCTACTACTGTAAAGGGACATCCGTGTTGCATATACAAAATATTGCGGGCGGGTTAAGTTTATTATAATCACAACCATAATTGCAACGAATTGAACTTGAATAATGTACCGGTTGCATGGGCACGCGTTATGGAAATACACCCCATAAGACCCATGTAATTTTTGAGTTCAAATTCTCATTTCCCTACTACTGTAAAGGGACATCCGTGTTGCATACACAAAACATTGCGGGCGGGCTGAGTTTATTATAATCACAACCATAATTGCAACGAATTGAACTTGAATAATGTACCTGTTGCATGGGCACGCGTGTTAAAAATATTGCCCCGTCACGTTGCAACAAAGCACAATCGGTCAATTTTAATGTTCGGCTCGCATGTCTTTTTTTGAGCGTGCCAGTAGGGCTCGCTTTTTTCCTGTGAACTGGGATGAGGAAATACTATAATATGTATGTAGTTGCTCGGACTCAGGATTGGAAAATGGATGTAATAATTGGACGTATTTATGCTAAAAGGAACTATGTGCATAGGTTTTGCGTGCAACATAGTTCCTTTTAGCATAAATACGTCCAATTGAGGGGCTTGGAGGACAAGGCGCGTGAGTGTAGTCTTCGAAAAAATTGACTTTTTCGTGATCTCAACTAAATCTAGGCTGAAATAAATTCTATGAAAAATTCACTGGTAAAATCCAATTTTTAAGCATTGCAAAGTCAGTTTGAACTCTCATTCTGCCATAAGAATCCAAGTAATTTCGGAACTTCAAACACGTATTTCTTGAAATATCAAAAACGGCACTCATGCATCTTGTCCCCTCAGCCCCTCGACAATTCAAAACAGACTTGATATGGGTTAGTTTCCTCCTGATTAAGTTGATAAACATGCCTTCGAGTTATGGGAAATGCAACCAACCTTTCAAGTTCAGAGTAAACGAGAGTCTGTTTGCAGTGAATGTCCGGGCAACACCAAGCAACGCTCTTTGAGATTGTGCATAGGGTGTGCTCATTTCAAACTCACTGAAGTCGTATACAGCATAAACGGCAGTTCGCGTGCCCGCCAATGACTTCGGATTTACTCCTGAAACCATTGAAACGATAAACTTTAACGAATGAAGGTGAAATCATGATGGATATACCTAAATTACTTTGCGAGAGTCACTAAGGAATAAACACAAAAACTATTGGCAAAATAAATAGGTTAAATAAGTATATGCTAAATTTGTATTTAGATTACACAGCGTGTCGTTCTCACATCATATGGAAAAGCATGATAATTCGGAATTTTCCGAAGACTGGAGAGGCATATCAGAAGTGTAACGAATTGTTCTGGTTGGTTACATAACTCGTTATTACGTGAGAGACATGAATGAATTGAATCCTCAAAGTCAGTGCGCATTAATTAAGAGATATGAGGATTGTCTATCGTATCAGAGACCTTGATTCATTTGTTTATTACATTTGAAATTCAATGTCGATCGATTCAAAACTGTCATCAATGGATTGACCATCTAAAATTTTAGTACAGATAGCGTACTTCAATGCTAGAACGTGTTTGATGAGCCTGTGCATTTTTCGCACTGCCATTAACTAAAAGCTCGGTTGTCTTGACTTCCATGAACTTAAATTTGTTTCCTTTTTCCTCTCGGAACAAGAATAAATGAGGCTCTCGTTCAGTGAGCGGTAACAAACAAACAAGGTGCAAATAAGGTGCAAATGGCCATTGCGGCTGTGGCAACTTTCATTCATAATTCATATTCAGTCATAAATTCAGTGTCTTCCTCTTAAATTTGCACAAATGGGAGATTTCTTTCACGCCGCACGACTGTTCATATTAGTATTGCTCGCGTAATTTTCGTGCGCAGTCTGGCATCGGAGCAAGTCTAAATAATTGATCAAACTCTATCGCTTTAGATTGAATTTAATAAAAATGTACACTGCTTTCTGATCTTTAGATCACGGTTATCAAGTTCAGATGAAAGTATGTGAACGTTTGAGCACAAATCTTTGATTAAAATTTAATCATAGATTCGTAATGTTTGTTGTAATACTGTTAACGGTACCTTTCTACATTGATGGCTGAGGTCGAACATGCGCACATGAGATGCTACGTTTGAAGATCTCTGAATTTAAAATATATTTTTAAAGGCAACCCAAAAAATAACCACTTGAAATTTCTCATTCGTATACTTGAATGAGCAATGAGTATTCACAGAAAATTCCAAGAAAACTCATAAGTCATTTTCCTTTTAGAGCAATTCAATAAAAGCGAAGATTTTCAATGTCGAAGTTAAAGATGCGCATCATTCGAATTTAGCCATTATTATTCTGGATACGATATTGCTCATTCGCGCAATATCAGATACTAGGGAAGTCAAATACTGTAAAGTTGAGACTCGAATATGCATTGTGCGGAACTGAAAGTTTTCTAGGCTTTGGAGTAGTGTAAAAGCCTGAGACTTGTTTTCTCATCATTGATTGATTTTCGAAACCATTGCGTGGTTCTTTACAAGGCAAAATTTTGAAGAGACATAATATAACACAATCTTTTTTTTTATTTTTCCTTTGTCCTTTAATATATGTTCTTTAGAGCATACATTTTTACAATAACAATTTGAGCTAGTTTACTTGAAGAATGTTTACCCACCTGCATCTATAATAGCTTCTACACTTGTTTCTAAGCATTTCTTCGCTAGAGGGTCCATAGTAGTGGGTGAGCTGAATGGGACCTTGAAGAATAGTGGATCAAACTTCTCGTGTGTGAATGCTTTACCACAATGTCCGGGATATCCAACGGCTGAAAATAATTAAAACTATGTTAACGCATAGCAAAACTTTAATATTTAAGTTATTTCTTAATTTAATTTCTCCTTATTTCTAGCTTTACTTAAACTACTTAAAATAAGTAGAAAAGACTACGGAAGGACACGTGTCTCGAAACAATAGGGTCAAAGGGCAGTTCACGCGTGGAAAATACCGCACTGCGTCAACTTTGAGGAGGTCATAACTTTTGAACCGGAATTTTCCACGAGTGCATGGCCTTACGTATTGAAGCTACAAAGAAGAGATTTCTTCACAATCGGTTTTAAGTATACCCACGTTTCATTTATTGGAAAAATACATCTACTTTGATTTTTTTTTTATTCATGAAAACATTTTTTTAAAAAAATAGATGTACAAGATATTATCTGAGGCATGGGTAGAAACGGGTGTATTTTTGGTGAAAGAGGTATGAAGTACAAAATATCTCATTGTCAAAAAGTTGCAAGGTCAATGAGGTGCAAAGTTCATCGTTTCAAGAATATTTTTGGCTGTTCTTATCAACAACATGCAATTCACATAAAATCTTTAAGATTCTGAAATGACATTCAACCATTACGCAAATCACCGCAAAATTTCTGTAGAATTTGGGATGGGAGCATATAGGTCTTTAAGCCAAACATTGTTTCACCCATGAATTTGGAGATAAATTTTGCAGTTTATAAAATGGTTGCTCTTGATGGGAAGACCTCAACTTTTTGAACGAGACTTTTTTGAGGAGCCAACATTATGTGTGGATGGACACTGTCAGATATTTAAACCGATCTGTACTAAGCAATGTCTTTCAACAACAGGTCTCCAAAACCTAGTATGGACCACAAAACAAGGCAAAACAGTATGTAGCTCCACATTATACATGTTTCCTTATCAAGTATTTACTTAGCATACGATAAACGCATTAAACCTTTCCAAATTTGATCCATGAATTAGAAAATAACAGTTCTAGTGTAGTTAATTTACACTTACCACTCACGAAAAAAACAATATCCTCTTCGGATCATATCAAGCACCAAGCTAATGTCTAAATGTTTTTTGATGCCAAAAATGCCCTGTGATAACTCATTTTGTAACAGGAAAATCGCGATATTTTGAAATCATGTTACAATTTTTTGGCCATAAAATCACTAGTATCATCAACAACTGAGCGATTATCCTCAATCTTGTCGCAATTTTATCTCTGCAAAATTGCATACGATATAATCGAAATTTCAACTCAATCTATCAAAATTGTTGGTTTGATAAAATTGCGATGAATTGATGTCGATAAAATCGTGATACGTTTTGGGATCAAATCGCAACTTATCGCAATCACTGCTACTTGGGGCATCAGAGGAGGAGAGACATGTTTGTGAAACCAACCCCTAATTATTATTTGCCCAACGCATCGCTAGTTTGAATTCAGTTTCTCATTTGTCTTGAGTATATTATGATTTTTTCACCAGCGAGAAGCTGGGATTTACTACTCACAGTGTAAACTGTGAACGATTATATCTCTTTGATGAGTTAATTTTAGAATATTTTGATATGTTCAGCATGTTTTGCGTAAAATTTTGCCGAGAAGAATAATATAAGTGTAGCGCTGGATTTATTACCCTGCATACTGGTTCATATGCATCCTCCGTCAGGCTTCTCTGACTGTCGGCTTGTCAGATAGCCAAAGTACAATATTAACAATTAAGCATAATCTAAAAAGTGTTTTTTTGTCAGAATACTCACTTTCTTTCCATTTGCGGTCATCATTCGTAACGAGATGAACTTTCTTGAATAGAGCATCTTCAAGCTCCGGAATACTCTGGCACTCCGGGAAGGCTCCTGCAGCTCCAGAAATGACCACCTCAACCTTTGGTTTCATTGTTTACAGACTTGAAATCTGGTCCTACGGCTTGAACCTAAAGGGAGAGGAGAGTATAAGTTTTGATAATACAGGGTGTCCGAAAGTTAACGTATTTCACTTTCAGGATCGAATTTTCGGCTCAAAATATGACTTATTTTCTTATACACACATGCTCGAGAGCGCTTCTTAGGTGAGCTTTGCGCTCCCAAAGTTGCCATGTTTCTCCTTCAAATTGATGTAACTCGCCGTTATTTTGTCGTAAGTAGCTAAAACTTAGGTGCATATGTGTATTTTTAGCGTATTGTCCATTTTTTGTATTTTCAAGGACGTACGTCTTCGGAAAACAACATTACAAGTGTTCCCGAATTTTTCAATTGCAATAGTTTTTTTGGTAGATGATATTTGGATTATGGTACGTGAAAGAGCACGAAAAATTAAGCGGAGCAAACATTACACAAGATTTTCCAGAGACGCATCCATTCGACGCAACAGAGCTTTGAAAGAGTTGCTGATTTTCGTAACTGCTTGCTGGGTAGGCAATTTTTACTGCAAGGACTGTAAGAAAACATAGCACATAACTCACTTATGAAGCGTTTTTGGCCATATGTGAATAGGAAAGAAGGTCATATTTTGAGCCGAAAAATCGATCCTGGAAGTTAAGTACTTTAAATTCCGGACACACTGTGGAATAACGGATTATAAAACCGTCCTTGGGAAAAAGACCTCCATTATAAGAAATAATGAAACAGTGAGAGGCAAAATGCTTTGTTTCATCACAATTTTGCGAAGTCCATTAAATCATCATCGCATGCATCAATTTTGGCCAAAACTCAATACGACGTATCTCCTTTTGCGACGTTGCAGACTTCCTGTCGTCCTTTATTCTTACTTTCGCAAGGTGCTCAACCTAATTTTTTGAAAATGTTCTTTCTTTTCTTCCGTGATTTTTCCTTTTTATTATAAGAATATTCTGGATGGATTTTAAGCTATGAAGTTGGTTTGTTCCTCTTTGAAAAAATAAAAGCGGAAATTTTAAGAAAAACACTACGTTAATACATAGCTTTGCACTTTGGTCCATCGATATGTCGCAGGTTTAAAGTCAAATCAAGTATGTGTCTCAAATTCCCTGGAAAATATATCGACAATGAAACTACCAGACCACATATCGCGGTTGCAGCGTTCAAGAATCTCCGCTCCCATTTTATTTTATTGAAAGAGAACAAATCAGTATCCTTTCTTGAAATTTCAACCAGAGTTTCCTCGTACAAAAAGGAAAAACACGGAAGTTTTCAAGAATTAATGTTGAGAAGTTTGCCATTTAAAAATAAAGTATGACGGGAAGTCTATAACGTTGCAAACTGAGATACGTAGTCTGGTAGCTTAACCGTCGATATCTTCAGCCAGAATTAAATTCTAATTATTCTGCTAATTTTACACAAAATAATTGTTTTGTGCAAGAAACATTCTCCATGAGAAATTGCAGCTTAGGATGGTGAATAAGCTAATGTGTTCTTAAACAAGCAATCATCCTGAAAATTCCATCATGTCATAAAATAAAGGATTTTTAAAATGTTAACATTTAATATACATGAGAAGCATTCGGAGAGAAAAATAAAGGATAATTTCGTGTATTTGATGAATTTTCATTTTTCCAAATCATTACCAACTCAAGGTCTCTTCGACAAAATCATTTGTAAACTATTTTCTTCGACGATCTGTTTAGGCATTTAATAAAATACTTATTTGCCCATTTGCTTTTGACTATTTTCCTGCGACATACGTAAGCTTTCTGACTTTTAGATTGTCAATTTTGGCATGATTGATTTCCGGGATCTATTGGGTAAAATCGTATGATTTGTTGAGGTTCAAAGAGCAACTTCTAGATAGGCCCGTTTTCTCACATGTTTTGCAAAATGACCGAGACAAATCACAAATCAATGCAGGCGCAAATCATCCTCTGTGGATTGGGTCACCTATCAGCCAGGAAGTGTGACCCCAGCATCGTATAAAATTATTTATTGAGGTTAAAGTAACCATCAATTTGGGTGAATAAATGAAAATCCAGGTAATATACTAACATCGCGACGCAGTTGCTTGCAATCCGCACTACCCCGACCCTTTCAAATAATGGGATCCGTTCAAGAATAGACCCTGGTCAGAACCTCTTTTTTCTCCCGAGGCTCCAATCAGGGTCCATCATGAACGGACCCCAACCAACTCTCGTCAGGGCTAAATCCAGTAAAAATTGGGACCACGGCTGAAGGGCATTAATTAAACCTATTTTTGAACAATAAGCGCACAAAACTGTCGAATCGAACCAAAATTTTGAGAAAAAAGTCCTACGTGTTGAACTGTAGCTTTTAAATGAATTTTTACTGCTTTGCTTGGAGAAAAAATTAAATAAACCACTCAAAACACAATATTTGGGATATTTGAGAGTACTTCCTGTCGAGAATTGAGTTCCTATTTTTGGATGTTTTACGAGAAACTTCATCTAAAAATCTAAAAAATAATCGTCCATGCGCTGAGGTCCGCTCTCATGGATAATTACAAAGGCGTTTGTCAAGGAAAGTACACTTCAAAAGCCTTTAGTTTGATTAAATTATTGTAATATCCAAAATTTCAAGTTTGGCAAGGGCATTTTGCTTAGGCAATGTATTTTGCTTGTTTCGTTTTTTTGGTTTTTTTTTGTTGTTTTTGTTTGTTACTTGTTTTTCCTTTAAAATTAAAGAGCGAGTTACCATAGCTCCCGCACTAAAGAACTTGTAAACAACGCAAGAGAGCCAAAAGTTTGAATCCGTTCAGGTCACAACTTCCATTATTTTTTTGAGTTCCAAAAATACCCAGGAATTTTGAGGGTATGCGACCGGCAAAGTTTTTCAATTTTATAATTTGTGTGTGACCCTTTAAGATGTGTGATGCTGAAGAAATAGGAAAGAATGTATCATTAAAGTTTGAAACTGTTTTGAGAAATGTTACCGGAACAAAATCTCGATGAGAAAGCGTGTGATTTTAAAGTTATATTTCAATCTAGATTTTTTTTTAACTTCTCTGATAAATTAATGAGAACATCTGTGGTGTTCTGCCGATATCAACCTTATCATTTAGTCGTAATTAAAAATCAGCTTGAGTTTCAATGATGCAATACGAGGGCAATGGCGAGTATCAGTTATCTCCAGAAAAAGTAAATCAGAGAGAAAATCAGCAACGTTGCAAACCTAGATACGTGGTTTCATATTTTTGCCGTCGATATGTTTTTACACGTAGCATTCAAAGTCATGGCATGCTAATTAGATGCTTACCTTTATTTGACTTGTTTTTTCAGCTACTTCGTATAATACTTAATATCATCCTCGTAGAGTGACTGTATTGAAACTCGGCACTCCGGGTGCAACCATTTGTAACTCTAAAAGATGGAAACTTCTTTTTTTTGGGGAGGTAATACAATAAAACTTCAAAAAATTTGAAACACTGGAGGTAAATCTCCGTTCATTTCACTTTTCAATGAGTATTTAGAGATTTTCCAGGCACTAGAACACTAAGTTAATCGAGAAGTTTAAGTTCATTAAAATATCCACACACAGCTACACACACAAAACTAATAAAATAAAATAAATAATTCACACGCGACCACTCCACAGTATCCTAAGCGATAAAACACTCAATCATCAATCTCATCAATCTGAGAGGATCAGAGACGATGTTATGATAAAATTGTCTACCGGTCAATTTAAAATTCAAATGAGGCGCCGTAGAAAAGACTTCATTGTTTGATGAAAATTAAAAAAATCTTGCATCCTTGAGGCCGATCCGTGTGCTGTCGGCTTCTCAAATAGAGCAGTAGAATCGCTTTAACCTTATTTCCTATCTTATTTTAAAGTGCAAGGTGAACAAAAGTCTAGACGAATCCGCACTCTCCCCTTTCCTGCTAGCTTTTGAGCAGTTGCAGTAAGAGATTTAAAAGGGGGATAATGGAGATGTTGCTTGTGTGAGGAATTTGCGATTTGACTGTTGATTTTTGTGTAAAAACTCGTGCGAAACACGATGGTGCCACTGGTTTTCTCTGAAATCAACTTCCAAGCTCAAAAAAAGCTCTCAAGTTGAGGCCAAAATGGAGGAGATATCCCACGCTATCCTGAGAGTCCACCTCTACATCAAGACAAACACTCCAAGATATAGGGAGTAAATACATTGACAGGGCTGCCACTTTATTTGGGGACTCAAAAATTAAAAACACGGCAACCCTGCTAATGTATTTGCTCCCTATCTTTGCACGGAGAGGTAGTCTTGCTGTAGAGGTGGACTCTCAGGATAGCGTGGGATATCCCCTCCATTTTGGCCTCAACTTGAGAACTTTTTTTGAGCTTGGGAGTTGATTTCAGAGAAAACCAGTGGCATCATCGTGTTTCTCACGAACTTTTACACATGAATCGAGAGTCAAATCGCAAATTCCTCACACACGCAACACCTCAATTCTTAAAGATAAGTCCTACTCCTTTAAGTGCACAATGGCTCCTCTATGGCTATCCATGTTTTATACTAAACATCGAAGGGATCATTCTAAACCACGAAGCGGCTCTAGCAGTAACAGGCTGTTGTCATCACGTGGTCTGGCGGTGGGATATAATATCCTAATGTGCGAATTTGGTACATCCTTCATGTTCCTTTTTTCATGTTCCTTAGTTTTTATCAAAGGATTTCATCCTGATACATGATGGTAACGACGCAGCGCGCCTAAAGCTGCTGCCTGCACTGCTTCATCAGCTAGAGTGACCGGAGCGCCTTCCATGTTTTCATATGCAACACGCGCGTCCTTAGAGTACGAATAGTCGTATCAAGGGGTTGTTGACAACATCAATGAATGCGTTGTGTATTTTAAGTGAGATTTTAGCATAGAAACCTCGCCCCGTTTTACTGTGCCTGAGTGTCGTTTAAAAAATTAAATTTAAAAATGTGCCCTTCCAAACATGGTAGTATCATACTGCTTCCTCTGTCAATGAACGAGTTTAATCAATTTCTTTTTCTATTTTAGAGGCATAATTTACTCAGTTGATGTTACTCGTGAATTAATAGATCGGTGCTGACACCACAATCCAGTAAATAGTCATGATGCAGCGTTGCAAATTTTATACAGGGTGCCCCAGAGCACCCTCGTCAGACTTTTTTCTCGGTTATTATAGGTTGATTTAAATTTGAGACGAGTTATTTGCCCTGCTTGTATTTAGAATAATGGTGAGTGGAACCCAGGAATCGAATTTTTATGGCTAAGTCCCTCAGCCCACCTTGAGGCTCATGGATTTTTTGGATTCTTTGGACTTTTTGGAGGCCATTATTTTTTTAATCTTCTGGTCTCGGACACACCAACAATTATAAAATAGCCTGGCACGGGTGGTGTGGCTCGGGAATTCTACACATACAATATTCATACAGGAAAGTTAAATAAATTCACCAAGAAAAAATATTTCATTTATTGATTATCCTTTGAAAAATGCTGAAATTTTACAATAGATATTTAAATTAAAACAAATTCAGACTTTAAACTCTCGCTCAGGAATAGGTACAGAGGATTTGAATCTTAAGATAGTACAGTATGATACGGAAATGCATACATAGAAGCCGCTTTTACAGAGCTCTTTGGCACCTTGCGACTCCTGGCCGCTAAAGATCCCTATCGGATACGAAATGATAATCTTAATTTGATGCAGATGGGTCAGCCCGAGGATTTGACGCCATATAACAAACTTAAATTGGCTGCCGTCATTGGCTGTAGTTCTTTAAACGAAAAAAGCAACAACAAAATAACTTATTTTTATTAATCGTTACTTGGAACGCAAGATAATAGATACATTGAATGAGGGGCATGTGTTTGTTTATTTTTAACCAAAAAATAAAAACTGCATCGCTTGACGGCAGTCATTAAAATTAATCGTTATAAATTTTGTCGTCGTATATTTTTTTAAGCGGAAAGCATATAAATTGGCAAAAATCTCACATAGAATGTGAAATTAATCTCAGACTATGACAATGCGCTCAGCATAATTTCTGAACTATTTCCGTTTCAAAACAACTCTTATCTTGCTGCGGCTAAAGTTTGTAACAAAAAAAGTCCTTTAAAAAATAAATTCTGTATAAAATAATTTAATTTAAGGCTAATAGGTCTCAATCAATAATTTTCCTTTTTTTCTTCTTTTTTCACATTTGTTTTCGATATTATATTCGATATTGAGTTTACCAAAGTTGTTTTGAGTGGTACTTGGTCAGAAATTAATAGGATAAATTAGACTGATTATAATAATTAACTGAATTAGTCTTCTATAATTAGCTAATGGACAATCCCTTGGAGGATTCTGACAAAATTTATTCGAGATCCATGATTCTTGCTGTTCTATAGAAAAGTTATGCGCCTGAGTGAACCATGGATCAAAAATACCAGATTGTGCAGTTAAATGTAGATATTTTACACTTGTTTGAATGGGGCGAGGGTCTAATTTGCACACTGACAGCACTATTTTGCGACTATGTTATAAACAGTCTTTTGATGATAAAATCTTATACCTAAATTGATCTGAAACCATTTAATTCATCTAGATTCGTGTGCGGTGGTGTGTCGTGCCATGTTATGAATTTATTGACCGGTTATTTAAACCTATGGAAAAGTATCGATTTTCAGGGTGTACCTAAATGTTCGATTTTTACCCCAGCTTCAAACTTGTGTAAATCAATAGTCGATTAATCACGTTTCGGCACTGCCTGTATGTCCATCAATGAAGAACACTGCCGTGCTAAGGAAGAACGCCGTATAAACACTCAAAAGTTGCCAAATTTTCCTCAATAAAATTTTTATTTTGGAGAAAAGTTATGAATATTTTTCCTGGAAATTTTCAGGATTTTTAGTTGAAATTGCAAACAATATTATCTGAGAAACTAGAAGAAACATATTTATAGGTTTACCAGGAAATTCGTGTTTTACTGAAGGAAATTTGGCAATGCCTAAAGGTATATACGGTGTTCTTCCTTAGCACGGCAGAACAGGTATATCGTTTTTTAGAGGACAAGGTGGATGACGGCATACATCGCATTAATGCGCACCAATCTTGTTCCAACATTCAGTCATGAATCACTAATGAGCTGTTTGTTCCACGTGCGATACTAATGAGTAATATGGTTGAAAAATTATGAGCGCAGTCTGCTAAAGATGGCATCATCCTCCATTATTTTGGTAGCCACATAAATTAAAAAAATCGATCTTAAAAATTTGGCGCTGAAAATCATCTTACTTTTCACAAATCTATAAGCTTCAATCGTGCTTTAATGCATAAATAATTTGAAACTTATAAATCGTTGATTCCTTAGCACTGCGAGTTTTAGGAGTGATAATTTGCATCACCAAGAGAAGAGAGCCTCCTCTGCAATCAATTTTGTAGTTCGTGAATGTGAGAGCATTTCCTTGTAGTTCTCGCAATCGATTTTGACCAGCTGAACACTCTTTGAAACCTGTTTACAAGACAAAAAAAAATTCGTGAATTTCCTTCAAAATGATTTAAAGTGAAATGGTGGAACTGTCTAAGTAATATTAACCCACCAAATAGTCTACGAATTGAGGCAGAGCTTATTACGATTGAAATACATTCAAGAGGAATTTGGAAACTTTCAACTTGACCCTAATCTCAACTGCTCTCTTAACATAATGATTTAATATGAATCCTTCAAGGCACTTCATCAACAATAGGAAAATTCAGAAATTTCAAACTTTAGGTGGCCAATTTGTTGCTCTTCTGACGTAAGGGCGTATCTCAATTTTCACGTGACTCCTGGTCTCCGTATGACTCTATAGTTTCCGGAGCTTATGTGGAATTAGAGATATGCCCTTACGTCGACGAATTTTGCTGCAGAATTTCGACTGCACAATAAGGTCACGCAATGTTCTACTAAAGGTTCGAGAAATGTACAATTTGATGGACAGCGTTTAGCGAAAAGGATCCAAGCCTCATAAGATATTGCCAAATTTAACCCAGCAATTTATTATTTTACAAGGGAAGGTTTTTGCGGATTTTTTTGAACATTTTAAGAAAGAGCGACGCCAAAAACGACCGTTTTTTGGCACAATTTGGGCCAGAAGGGATTTTTCTGAAACCGGGCCCAAACGATACCTCATAATACCCTAAAACTCTGGTTAAAATTTTAGCTTGAGTATACGCACGGTTTTTGAGAAATGAGGGGGCAAAGTTGCCAAATCGCCATCATTCTGGACAGCATTTCTACAGCTAAAAGACGGGAAAAATGGACGAAAAAGTTACATTTTTGATGTGTTTCGGCTGTAAATGTTCTTATTGGGCCCCCAAGCATTTAACTGTGTTCAGTTTCAAAAAGTTTGATTGCACAGTGGTCCAAAGTGGGGAGAAATTGTCGACAAATCAGGATTCTTTGTCAAATTTTTAAAAATGGAAATAAAATTGTCGGTCTGCTGCAGTTTTCATGGCTAACAATGTTTTTATCGGTCCTCAATGCATGAAATTGTGTTCAGCTTCACAAATTTACATCGCACAGTGGTCAAAAATGAGGGAATTAGTGGACAAATTAAGATCCTCTGTGAAACTTTTTAAAAATGAAGTGAAACTGTTGGTCCCCTGTAGAGTTTATATCCCGGAAAAATTCATGTATTTAATTTTCTTAATTATTACTGCATGTCAGACCGTATTGTCTATAGAACGTTGTTTTAGAATAGACTTTGTAGCATTATCTCAATAAAATATGCAAACTTTCAGAAATTTAAAAAAAAGAAGGAAAAATGGAGAGAAAAAATTAAAAAATTATTTGAACAGTCCAAAAAATAATTTAAAGAATTTTTCCGGGATCTAAACTCTACAGGGGACCAACAGTTTCACTTCATTTTTAAAAAGTTTCACAGAGGATCTTAATTTGTCCACTAATTCCTTCATTTTTGACCACTGTGCGATGTAAATTTGTGAAGCTGAACACAATTTCATGCATTGAGGACCGATAAAAACATTGTTAGCCATGAAAACTGCAGCAGACCGACAATTTTATTTCCATTTTTAAAAATTTGACAAAGAATCCTGATTTGTCGACAATTTCTCCCCACTTTGGACCACTGTGCAATCAAACTTTTTGAAACTGAACACAGTTAAATGCTTGGGGGCCCAATAAGAACATTTACAGCCGAAACCCATCAAAAATGTAACTTTTTCGTCCATTTTTCCCGTCTTTTTGCCTGTCCAGAATGATGGCGATTTGGCAACTTTGCCCCCTCATTTCTCAAAAACCGTGCGTATACTCAAGCTAAAATTTTAACCAGAGTTTTAGGGTATCATAAGGTATCGTTTGGGCCCGGTTTCAGAAAAATCCCTTCTGGCCCAAAATGTGCCATTTTTGGCGTCGCTCTTTGCTTCCTGCTGTGCAAAAAATTCACTGAAAATTGCTAAAGAAAATCCTCACAACTGTCTTCATGTAAAAAATTGAATTGTCCAATTAAATCTGGTTATAGCTGGGCTTGGTTACTTTCTGTTTAACGCAGTCCAGATGAGATTTCCTTGTCTGCGAAAACTTTGGACTTACCTCTCCTAATTCGTCAATCGTCAGCCTGCAGAATTGACTAATTTCCATTGCTACCAAACTACTCCGTAAATAAATGTGTCGATTTGAGAGGCTTCTCGTGAGGTGTAAACTTCTCTGAATGGTTTGCAGCGATCTGGAGACAAATGCCTTGTCGAACTCACTCGGTAGTAGCTTTACGGCCGCCTCAAGTCTTTTTGTGCCGTTAAGGCCTTTTAGCTGGCCCGGTTGCTCCTTGAATGAAAGAGAAAATACAAAAACTTAAACTTTAATAATGTAAATTATGATCATGACACGGTTTGACACCGGTTTTCGTGTTCATTTTATTTCACGCGCTCCTTATTTATTAAACGGTAAAAAAATCTGGGTCTTTTATTTCCAAAATCTAATTACAGCGGGCTCATTTAGGGACTATCCCCTGTCAATAACCGCAAAAATTATGGAAATCGGCCCAGTAGAACACGCTCAAACGAACTATGACAAAAAATATAAATTTACATTGTTTAGATGGGAGAATTTGCAACTTTACCGCGTACCAAATGTAAAAAACTGGGTCATATTTTCAAAATCTGAATAGAACGGGCTCATCTAGAGGCAATCGCCTGTCGATAGCCGCAAAAATCATGAAAATCGGCCGGGTAGATCGCTGGAACTAAATGCTACCAGATTTGCAAATTTAGGAGGTCTTGGAGCTTATGTGTATGATTGCTGAAAAGTAAATTTCTGATGTTACGGGCGATTTTTACAGGAAACTTATGTACTAATTACCATTTCAAAAACACATCGTCCACAGTGAGCTTCAACAAACAGTAATTAGATCCTCACCTTTTCTATGAGTCTATGGAGAATCTTGATCACGTACTCGTTCAAAGAATCTTCAAGAGGTAACAGAGAGCACATCTTCGTCGGGATTCCATGCAGAAGGAAGAGGGATACTTCCTGCTTGGAATCGGTTAATAGGTTTGCGAGGAGCATCCCTACGCCTCCACTCCATGTCTCGCTCACAATCGTGTACGGACCTTTACTCTGAATTCTTATCATAGACTGTAAGAATAGTAGAAATGGAATAAACATCAGTCGTAAAAAGTTCCTTTTGTCGTGGAGTATACTAAGCGGACGTAAAAACTCTTCTTGTTCTTTAGAATTTTTTCAGATACAACCTTTCGATTAATATGTGTATAATTAGGATTGTGAAGTGAGCCTATCTAGAGAGAAGGGTTGAAACAATTCCGACGACTAGAGTTTAGTTAAGTCTTCGATCGCTTTTGCAAATGTTTCTCGTTCGCAGAGAGAAAACCCAACACAACAGTTTCCTTAATATGGGAAGTAAAACACAAAATAATATCCAAGCCTTCGGTTGACCCTTAGGGTTCCTCAGTCTCTTCATTGTTTTCTGCGCTAAATTCATCGCAAACTGCCCCAATCAACACAAAATGTTGGTTCGTTTGTGTCTCAATCCCTGTATTAACCAAAAGTAACACAAAAGCACACATATTCTTATGAGTGTTGACTTAGTGCTCTCTCCCCTTACTCCGGTTCAATGTCGTATTTGCATCAATCTAAAATATATTACCGATCCAAAATTAATACAGAAAGGTAATTTTATAGACTCTCAATATAGATGTGCCTAGTTTGCTTTTACCATCGAAATATTCCCAACTATTATCTCACAGTAAATAAATGAATAAATGTGGTGGCATAATAGATTCAAAGGCTCCAAAGCAACCACTAAGGCACCGAAAGGGGAGTTGTATAATTTTTTCAGATGATTGGGCTTGGAAAGAGCAGATATTTTGGAAGTGAAAGAAAACAGATGAAAATTTAGAATATTAATTTTAAAGTCTTCAGAAGATTTAAGAATTACGAGCCGAATGTTAATTTTGACTTGATTAAGGTCAAAACCTTGTCTTTATTTATATAATTTCTTTCATATTTCAGAAAATTTGTCGTTTTCAACGAGTGTAGTAACTCTGTTCCAAGCTTGCAAAATTGACTCGAACAATTCAAATTTTAACGAGAATGTACTGCCATCATTTCTGTTGAACATTGGTCTGATTTTTCTTTAAGATCAGAAGAAAAATCTGTGAAATTTCCAGTTAGCAATTACCAAAATTCTCCTGGTATAAATTCAATATGCGTGGTAAAAGGCAACATTAACATGTATGTACGTTCCTACCTCAGAAATACGACGAATTGCATGTATGATATGATATAAATTAATCATTAACCTCAAAAAGTTGCGCTGCAACTTGTTCAGCAGACATTCCATCTGGATACACATGAGCAACAAAACAGGGATACATAAGCCTGGTGAGCAAAGGTCTTAGCTGCGTCTCGCAAAAAGCAGGAATAAAGAACACAGGCAGAGCGTCTCCGTGTTGTATGTCTGACATGTCGGCTGCTAAGGATGTAGTTTGCATAAATATAGCTGAAGTATGTGGGCTTAATTTGGCATCCTTGAGGCACAAGAGACGCCCCATATCTTCTAGTTGTTGTAGAGAAGAGGGCAGGAAGTCTTCTATGGATTCTTCGACATCTAAGGCAGCAAAATAGAACAAAGATCAAGTCTTAAGTGTCAGTATGCTACCGTACTAAGAAAGAGCACCAGATGAGCATTTGAGGGTCGCCTTTCCTTCGGCAAAATGTTTACTTTTGAGGGAAGTTATGAATACTTTTCCTTAAAATTTTTGATTCTCGGAGGACGATTTATATCTATGATAAAACTATCCTGATTGAAGGTGTTGCGTCTACTTTGAGCGACTTCTAATTCCCTAGATGTACATTGTATGGCTAATTAAATACCCCGTTACATTACACGTCTGTGTTAACCAGGTCCGACCTCAAAATGAGTCAGATGCATAAAAAAGTTGCAGCAAAGTAGGTGGATTATTGTAAGGAAAAATTGCTTAAAATCTAAACACGTTTAAAAGTGTCACACATTTAAATATGTGTAGATTAGTGTCATCATAAAAAAATGTGTATTTCTCACTGAACAAACGTGTATAGAAGGGAAAGTGAACAGAGAGATGTAGAATGTTCAAAGTTTCCTCACCGGCATCGCTTCCTCCCGGCCCTTTTGCATCAGAAACGACATAAGTCGCGGGCTTATTAGGTTCAGTCATGGCCTGACTCAGGACATGCGAGCAATCCATTTCGTCGTCACAAAGGATCGTCACTGTATTTTCAACCTCGCATACGTTGGGATCCCTATGAATATTGATAATAGAGTAGACCTCCGAAGCAACATTCATAACTTTCTGAATATGTGGCAGGATAGTGTCATTATTTACCTATTCCAACAGAATTAGCATAGGATCGAGAATTAGGCCGTGGCTCAGAGAGGAACATAATGATAGAACTTGCTTAGCATTCCTAGAATATGAAAATCCAGAAATGAAATGCAACTTGCAACAAAACCATCATTTCTCCGACATAAAGAGTAACCATATTAAGAAATAACACCCACACGAGGAAAGCGTTCACGCATAAGAGGGTCGGTCAGATGGATCGCGGCGAGCATGGAAGGAACCAGGCCATATCAGCTAATCGCCAAATTGAATCGGGCAATTTATAACTTTTTACGTGAGAACGGTTGGGCGGATTTTTGTGAGAATTTCAGTGAATTTTCTGCGCGGTAGGAAGCAAATTTCTTGAAATTTTCAAAGGAATCCGCACAAACGTTCTCTTGTACAAAATTAAATTTCCCAATTGAATTCGGCAATAGCTGATGTGGCTTGATTCCTTTAGGCTAAATCAGTCCAAATGACGTTACTTCGAATTTTTGTAGGTAACGACCTTGCGTTATGTTGGGTAACGATACAATGCTCGATACCATCCATTATGGTAGTCAAAAACATGATTCCCTCTATTTAAGATTGATAAGCAGTGTTAGTTTAGCCATGAAAGTAATTACGTATGTATAATTGATTAATTCATGGTGTAGGAAATCAAGGAATGTCCAAATACGGTAGAAGACGTCTTGATTCTTGTAGGAACAGCAATAATTATAGTAGCTGAAGTAAAATAAGCTCGAGTATCTACATCTATCCCAACGGTAAATATATGATGACCTCAAACAATAAAACCCAAAATACCAATAGTTACTATAGCATAAATTATACCCAACCTCCCAAATACCTCTAGTTTCCCGGCTTCACTACTAATTAAATAAGACATCGTGCCTTATGAGTAACGATACCTCCATCATTACAAGACACTGAAATGTAATGTTCGGTTGCAATTTGAGTGATTCACAGGCCTCAACCATCAAATAATGATCAAAACAACTGACCCACTCTTACCCTTTATGAATATTCCGCAAGAATTTGAATCAGAAAGTATTTACCAATGAAATCGTGAATATTGTTGAGATTTTCCCTAATCTTCTGGCTTGGTTTAGTACGCCCTCCACTCCTGCGGCCGTGTGGGCGACCTTTGCTGACGTCATCAAAAGAGTCGCCTCATGTTTTGACGTTGAAGTGTTGAGTTTTCGAACTGCGTCACTGCTGGGATCCGCATCCAACGTAGATAACACTATATTCTTCACTCCACGGTCTAGCAACCACTCTACTACATTCACCGATCTACCAACGCTAGAGCCTGTGATTAAAAATAAAGGTAGTGAGATTTAATCATAAAATTACAATGTGCAGCCAGTGTTTAGTGGCAATGAACAAGTGGCATGGCGTGAATTAACCCGCCAATACTGCCGTTCTAAGGAAAAACGCCGTATGAACATTCGAGAGTTGCCAAATTTCCTCAGATAAAATATTTATTTTTGAGGAAAGTTATCAATGCTCCCTCTTGAAATTTTCAGTTGATCTAGATCTGGTTGCGAATAAAATTATCTAAGTAATTCGAAGAAAAATGTTACTCTCAGTGGCGAGGCGTGAGTGATCGGATATCGATATGTCTCCATTTGAAGCTGTGAGAAAGAATCGATGGTGTTCATTCCGATCACCCTTTTTATTGATACTTTTCCATAGATTTTTATGGTAGATCAATCGATCTACCGCAAATTATGCCACGTTACTAGAAACTCTCAAATCAACTAGCATTTAGGCAATGCTTAATGTACAAAATAAATTGCTTCGAACTATTCCGCTTGCAGTATCGAAAAATTCAAAGTATACCACAGAAAATTGAAGCGAGTAGAACGCTATACTTGAGTAGACTTACTTATAATTACGAAAGAGAATTGAGAATGTTCATCAGCTATCCATTCAATTTGCTCCTTGAGACTTTCATTAGACGTGGTTGCGCTGACGGTATTAGCTTTGTAGTTTGTGCCAACATCTAATAACAGTTTACCACCTTGCTCTGTGATCTTTTCAACATAGCTGTGAAGTGAAATACAAAATGAAGATGAGATTAATCAAATAATCACCCTCCTAATGAGATTTTAGCATGATCCAAAGGGCGAGCTCGAGCTTCCGTGTTATATCCATGGTTCTCGAATTGAATCAGTGAGAACGAGAATACAACAAATCGTAAAAATGAAAATAATTAAGACACACACAAAACTGCACAGAAAGTAAAGGAATTAGCCTAAGGAAAAGATTTTCGGTGCCAAAGGACAAATAATTTATGGTACTTCAAAGGTCCAAGTGGGAGCAGATGCACTAGATCCAAAGACCTTTATGAAAATTAACCGTCTCGAATGATAATTGAACATTTTCGAGTTATCGAGTTGGTGTTTTTTCGTTCTCACTGATTCAATTGAGGATTGGACCACATTTTGCAAAAAGGAGCCTTTGTTTCTAGTTCATTTCAGAAAGAATGTACGTGCCATCAGTCTCCTAATTCAGATAAATGATTTCAAAGATGAGCGAGATATCGGTCACTAATGTTTACGAAATTTTGTCCAATTGATACCAATTTTTGATATGATGCAAAGTTAATGATACGGGCGGAGCATTCGACAGCAAGGCAAAGGGCTTGTTGCCTGTTCAAGTGTTCATGGGGATGGGGTGCGTCTGAGGTGCTATTTGCCACCTTGAGAGAGCAGTGGTTTAGGTCGTCGTTTTCCGCAGTATAGAACGTAACTCCATTCCAAGGTTGCAAAATTGACTCGAACAATTGAATTATTTCACAAAAATATGTCTGTAAAATTTTCCTCCAAGATGTATCTAATTTTTGCACGAGATTCAAAGCAAAATCAGTAAAAATTTCAGTTACAAATTCCCAGAATTCTCCGGGTAAGAATGCAATTTTTGAGGGGAAATTTGGCAACATTGGAATGTAAATACGTTCTTTCGCGAGGGAAATGACGAATTGTCGTTGATTTTTTCTTTCCTTTTCACCCGACTTCTCCATCATTGTAATCTCATGTTTAGGCGTGATGTATTATTGTATTGTGAAAAAGCCTACGGTTAATCTAGGCAGTCCAAAGCAAACAACAATTGAATAAAAGAGTCAAAAAATGCATATGTCGCAGGCAATTTGCAAGCCAGTGGTGAATAAATACAAAAAATCATATAATTCAAAAATAAAAGAACAAAATGAGAGTGCTGATTATGTTGCCTATGATGTGAATAGACACTTTTCCATCCTTAAAAACATGACAGAAATATGGACACTCATGAGAGCGTGCAGCGAACTCCATGACATCAATCGGGTTGAGATTGGAGAGGCAACTAAACTAACATCGTGACAAAGCGTAGAGTATCACGAAAAATGAAGGCGCTTCAAGCTGAGCTCATACTTATGAAGACCATAACCCTTAAAAATTTTATTTTGCCGATGCACATTATTGAGATATATTGAAACAACATGTGAACCGCTTGCAAATTGCCGGCGATTGCTGATTGCCTGCGACACATAATATAAAATATTATCAAACCTATTTAATTGACCAATATCCTTGATACTCATTGATTGGTGCGGCATGTGAACCATTGACGAGAGACTCTCCTTGACTAAAGCGTGAAGTTGAATTTTCTCCTGTTTCGGCAATCTAGCCAATTTGGATAGCGGGTAAAAGTAATAGCCGTTGCTGACGCTGAACATGCCCATGGGAAGGGGTGCGTTGTGGTCCATGGATGCATCGTTGAGGTTAATGAAGCACCCATATCTGCCACTGCATTTCCAGGCCGAGAGCATCTGTTTGTACGGCAGATCACTCACCACTATGCGAGCGCCAACCCCTTTGGTTTTGAACATCACCGGAACGTAGAAATCTCCGCTGTTATGATTTGTGATGTTCGATTCCGGAATCTGGGAAACAATATTATTTACGTCAGCAATACTCACTTTTCGATGAAAAAACGAGTGATTATTGTGTTTGGTTAACATTTAAAACGAAACATCGCACGTGCAGGGTTGCACGGGTGAAATGAAAAATATGAAATATTGAAATTTTCCCTGAAATATTTCATGAAATTTTACAAAGCTGTGAAAAATATGAAAATTTGTTCGTATATTTTCAGGGGCTGGGTATGTAGCACGCACTAAACAACAGCAAAAATCAAAAACCAGTCGCCTTTCATTTCATTTTGCATTTAAGTTCGAAAAATATGTTTCAATATTTCGCATATTTTTCTGAAATTTCACGAAATATTTCACATGAAATTTCAAGATTTTATTTTTCATGAATCCTGCGCACGTGGGTTGTAGTCAGAAAGTCAAATTAGACATTTTGACAAAGTTTTCAATTTGACGGACTTAATCATCGCCTTCGATTAGCATTAATCCGATCGGGTTCGATCATTTGCCCCTGTAAACGCAGGAAGTTTTGAAATGTTTTATACAAAATACGCCGATTGCATGCTAAAGAAAGGACTTGAGACTTTTTTGATGGGCCCATCGTAATTTTCATGCACTTTAACTAATAACTGGTTTCTTCATTTGGACGCATTTAAATCAGAAGGAGCTATATCCATTATGACATGATCCCTACCATGCTTGTATTCTCATGGATCTCAAGGCCGAATGCTAAATTATCAAGCAGAATGGATGTAGTTCATTTTGATTTAAAAAAGTCCATTTGCCTGGTTTAAACACTGACATTTATTGACTGTATTAAATCTGAAGGCACAAACCTGAGGGAACAACAAGGACACAAGCTGACGCGCTGCTTCAGTGGGAACAGTAGTGAAAACTTCAAAATTCCTTGCGAGACATAAAGATATAAGAGCCATACTGACCGGTGTCTGACCGTTCAGAATAAAAACTGTGTGCCCAAGGGGTACCATAACGATTTCTTTCATGATTAAATGTGCCTGTTGGAGGATAAAGAGAAAGCATTGAGTTAGAATAAAAACTGTCAAACTTGTCGAATATCCATTTTACCTGTCAGAAATCTCGCATCTTCTGAAGTGCCAAAATCGGGAAAATATATTTGTGGAAAAATATTACTTAATTTTTCTGGTGAATAATTATATCAAGATAAGAAAAAGGGAAAAATTAAGGTTCTTGTTCAACGTTTACTAGTACTGAACTTAGCACTTTTAAATTCAATTGAGTGCGATAGTTATTGCAGCAAGTAACTTTTAAGTTACAATCACTGATACAACTGAAATAAGATTGTAAAACGTGAATGATCTGAACAAACCATCAGATACGCAGACGGGATAGAAGCTGCCTCGGTTAATGTAAAAGAATCAGGAAGAGTCCACTGGAAAACAGGATTCAGGAGAATTTTACCCTCAAACCCTTCGTGTTTATGGGCGATACCCATCACATGACCTCCTGATTGAGTGGTCCCAGAGTAATCTAAAACTGCCGGTGTGCCCTGTGCCGAAAACATATCAAATTGAATCATGCTTTTAAAATCTAAACGAAAGCTTTTGCCATGTTTGGACCAATTCGGATTAAAAGAAATCAATAAATGGACTGCATTTAGGAAAAAGGAACTACAGTTTCTGGCTCATAGATAAAAACGCTTATCTTCATAGGGAAACTAATGTCAAATACGTTGTTTCGAAAACTAACCAGCTATTGTAGTTCTTAGGTGCAACGTATAGTCCACTGACGATTCAAAAAAGTGAGATAAAATTGGTCTAGATAGATAATGTTTTTATGAAAAATTTTCTCGCAAAAAAAAGTATACACAAAAACATAGAAGTTCAACCGAAAACGACTTTGTCCCCTTCAAAAAGTACTGCAATTGACATCGTTCTCTGAGGTAGTGCGTACCTATAGTTGTTCCATCCACCATGGTTTCCTCAGAGGTGCACGTGGTAAACTTACGGGAAATGCGAGCATCAGTCATTCATACACTCAGGATGGGACTATTTTCGTGGTGGGTAAAATCGCGGTGGATGACGTCAATTGTTGTACTTTTGAGAGGCGAGACTCAAGCTTGAGGAAATTATTATAACTTATTGCACAACCTACACAATATATGGGAAAATATCTACTGTGAAACTACCAAACCACGTATCTCGGCTTGTGACGTTGTAGACTGTCTGTCAGACTCTATATTTAGAATGGAAAACCACTTAACGTGCGGTCATAGGTTGCCTAAGGAGGTTCTGGATTGGGCCCTCCTGGCAGAAAACGTTGAGGACGCCCTGCCAATTCGTAGATTGAGGGGATAAGGCAGAAAATGAGGAGATGCGATCTGCTGGAGAAGCTCTGGCAAGATCTCCGTCAGGGGCGGTTGGGTGTCGCAGAGCGCACAGAAGCGCTATAAGAGCGACTTGTTAGTAGTATTAAACCACTCAAAATTCTTGAAAACTTCCGTGTTACCTAATTTCCATGCGAAGAAAGCTCAGTAAAAATGATTGATTTGTTCTCCTCCAAAAAAATAAAATCAGAGCGGAGATTTTTAAACACCGCAAACGAGAGACGTGGCTCGGTATTTTTACCGTCGATGTGCCCCTTTAGAATCTTGGGTGAGGGAGGGGGGACAAAAACGACAAGGGAGAGCATTTAGGGAAGGCGCTCAGAACCTACACGCTGATTATTGAAATTGTTAGGCAGAGCGATAGACAAAGAATACATACACTGAAAAAAAAAATATTGCTGAAATTGCCGTGCACGCGGGTATTTCATGGCATGGAGTAGCTAAAAAACGAACGTGCAAACTATGCAGGTAAAATCGCTACACAAATTTCAACTAACTTACACACACGCGTGTAGGTGATTTTGCTCTCTGAAAGGCTACGTCTGTTACCTTTTAAGTTATTCTTCCGTAAATTTCGATATTTTTCCGTAAATTCCGCTATTTCAGCCTAACTATTGAGCTATTTTTACTGTTCGCAAAGTACCAATACCAAAAAATGCAGTTACACTTCCAAGCCACTCGATGCAAGATTAACTGCATGAAGGCGCGCAGATGTAGCAAATCGGTGTAGCAATTCGTGCTAGTCGTTCACTTGATTCAACACCGTGCACGGATAAGAAAGCTTTACGAAGTGAAGCAAATTTTGCTCCACCCTAAATCGGTGAATTAGCAATCCTTTTTTTTTCAGTGTAGGGAGGACGAAGAGATCCTATTGGTTGAAAAGGGTATGGTTCTTATATACTAAGGGGTTACAAGGTGGACTAACTACAGGGTACAATGAGATACCATTAGTTCGTCTATTACCTACCTCCTTTGACTATTGCATCCACCCGCTTCCACCAATAGGATCCCCCATATCCCTCTTGTCTTCTTTGTCTATAGCTTTGTCCATCAAAATCAACAATCAGCCCGCTGCCTTGTACTTCGTAATCTCTCTATCAATACAGAGGACAGAAGAGTACCTACTTTCGTTCTGCGTTCGGTGAAAGCAGGATTTAGGCCGATGTATCGTATATTGACCTCCTCCGACACCTGGTGAACGTGAGGAAGAATTTGCGCCACGTCCGTTGGAGCTGGCCTATGAAGCGGCGTTCCACGGAAACTGCCCCATTTTCCATTTTTCAGCACGTTCACTACGACGTTTTTCTCCAATTGTTCCCGGTAGAATTTGTTGTCAAGTGAAAACGGAGAGACATCGTCGTCCAACAAGAAGAAACACCTGAATAAAATCAAAGGGAATGAATGAATCACTAAGTCTGACTTCATCTGTAAAATCACATCTTTGCATAGTGGAACTAAAGGCGCATAAGCTCATTTTCTTTCAATCAGGTAGCGGCTCCGCGATTTGTATATGTCTTCAGAGAGGGTATGAATGAGAGCTTTACGCAGCCTAACAGAGCGGAGCGGCGCGGCGCGGCGTGCTGCCAGCGCGAGAGGCTCACTGGCGCCTACAAACCTAAGTGGATACTTCACGCATGGCACAATGCTAGAAGTATCCACTTAGGTTTGTAGGCGCGTTACGTGCTGGCAGCCCGCCCGCCGCCGTGCGGCGGCTCTCGCGCTGGCAGCACGCCACGCCGCTCCGCTCTGTTAGGCTTTAATATTTATGCTCGCATAGTCAGCGTTTTTTAACTCATGATTTTGGAATTTTTGCGCACTCTGCATTGATTATTCTCATTTAAATTGATGGGGAAAAAAATGTATCAATTTATCAAAGGAAAATAATAATATAATGTGTGTTTTTTAAATATTGGTGGTTCCGTGTCAAATTTAATGATTTTCCAAAGTTTTTTAATTTTTTCTTTTACATTTTGTGCTTTTATTGTGCTGCAGCGAGGTGTACGCGCAACCAAACGCTCAAAATTTGACTTATTTGACTCTAAGAGATCGATGTACAAATGGGTTAAAACTAAATATTGCGTGCTTCTTGGTTTTTCCCTCTTTTATTCATTTTTGCAGTTTCTGTCGGCACAACTGCGGCTCATTGAGATTAATGTCGCTTGGAAATGGTTTTAAAAATATTTGTCACGTTTTAAAATTATAAATGTTTTCAAAATGAAGTAATAATTTCGTAAAGAAAAAATTAAAAAAATAAAAAAGTACCTGTACATATATAAGGTATATTGCACATCGAATATTTTAAGGATAGAAATAAAACCAAATATTCACCAATGACAATTTAAAAAGATGATTCAAAAGGAGAAAGTAATAAGATTTCATTTAGAAAATGAGTAACCATTACAACACCTCCCTCACTCTCAATTTCTCATTTCGATATTGTTAATATAATTTTACATGGGGACTAAAATATAACGCTTGGACCAAGTCACTGTTGCATATTTTACGTACGGGCGTAAACTACTGGACAAAAAAGGTGCGCGGACAAAAAATCGTTGACAAAATGTCCTGAAACCCAGAAAATCAAGCAGTCAGAGTGCAACTTTTTTATTTCTCTGATATTTCTTTACTTTTCACCTTAAAACAATTACCAGATCATCGGTATTGCCATTTGCAAATAAAAAATTTGAATAATTAGTTTTATTTAATGGAGAAACTTTGAATACAGCGCCTGGAGCACATACCTGAATTTTATTTTCCGAGCTTTTTTCAAAATTTTCGGCATCATAACCGTAGGATTTACGAACAGAGACTTTGGAACAACTAAAACAAAACCTTCGTTTGCAGGTTTCCCATCTGAGTTCAAATCATCCAACGTTGAAAGCACGCTTTTCGAAACATGACACACTTTCCATTTCTGCCCGGTTTTATTCTGAGAAAGTAATAGATGTGCGTCAAAATTCATTTTTATCTTTTCATGAATGCAAAAAAAAAAAAAAAAAAAAAAAAAAAAAAAAATCAAATTAAAATTTATCCTCCATTTGCAATCAGCCAGTTAACATATTCTTGGAAATGACTAAATAACCATGTTCTTGGCAAATATGAGCAGTGATTGTAATCATATGTAAAATTTTGAAGCATTACTATTCAAAAATGCTTGATTTTTATTTCAAAACTCTTGTGATAATTTTTAAGAGAACTGAATGTATGAGCTATGACTATCCGTCCATGTAAATGACATTTTCACCGCAAGTAATTCAAAGATCGGGAAAATTAAGTGAAAGATCTTCATATACGGAAAGTTGGTGCCAAAATTCGGCCAGTAGTGCGCGTCTGCAGTTTCTTTTTTGATTGTTCGTAACTTGTTTTGCACCAAACAGGATTTTTTTCTTCGAGGAAAAATTGTGCATGAACGACTTTGTTCCCCTATAAATGAGAATGTCAGGTTTTTTCCAAATTTTGGAAAAAAAATCACGTTGACAAAATTACCAGCACTTTGTCTTCACGAATCGCGTAAATACAATTTGCTATGACTACTATAATTTAATTCCATAGCGGCCCTGTTTTAGTTTGACACCCTTTCATCAACAGTTTGAAATGAAATTATGTATAATTTGCTCATGTTTATCAGACTATGCGACCTTTTTAATTTCATTCGGGTCCATTGAATCAACTTCCGTTGATCTTGGAAGAAACGGCGAGTTATTCCCTTGTGCGCCATGCCCGAAACTCTAACATACCTTTTTTAGAAGTCCATAATTGTGAGAATTAAATTGTTGTTCATATATCACAGCATATTTTTGTTTAAATTTTGAAGCAGTGTCAACAATACTTTTGATCTGGATCTTGGAAGGCACCGCCACAAACAAATAGACGTTATCAAAGTCCTCCCCATTTGGTAGGTGCGCTAATTCTTTCGGATCAGAAATGTAAGTGATACCGGCAGCAATTTTTGAGTCAAGCTTTGCAGGAAGTTGGGTGGGCACAAATTCTACCTATAAAATACAATATATTTCAAGAAGAGGAAAATAACGCGATTAATTAAATTATGTTTAAAAGACAGATCTTTGGAAAGTTGTACCTGCTGAATTGACTGAGAAGTTTCTTGAGGAACTCAAAGACAGATTAATTATTTTGCACGTGATCATTGAATTCGTTTAAGAAACTTAGCAAAATAAGATTTTTTTAAAAGCAGGTATTCCAACAAAATCATCATTTATACAAATTTGAATATTTTTTTTGTATGACTGGCAGAGTTGCAATTATGAAAAAAAAGCCACTCTTGGTAAGTTTACATAGTTCAGTTTTCAAATTCAAGGGAATTTGTAATGCAATCATTATTGTAAAAATCAGTACAAATTAAGAAGTCCAATTTATAACATTTTAACGCCAATAAAATAAAGACTCTGCACGCTGAATCTCAATTTCATTCCTTCTACTTGATACAGAATTTATAATTTCGAAATTTGTACCTCTCATTGTTAAAACTTTGGTAAATCATAGCCAACGAATTCGAAGGCTTTAATATACACATGGATACACACGTGCTTTTACGCACATACACACTGAGCAAGTCCAAACAGCGTACTTACATTTAGGTCGTTACAATCCTGAAGAACTTTTGCATACAAGTCAAGGAGTCGTTGAGCTGATTTTCTGTCATCCTTATAAAATACTTTGATTTTAAGCAATTTCCCCATATGAATCGCAAAGTGATCCGAATTTTCAACTATAATTTGGAGACTTGCACGCGCAAAGTCGTGTAGATTCTAGAAAATCAAATAAATACGTTATTGGAAACTTCAAACCATTTTTTGACGTTTTTACTCCCTGAATAAGGCACAAATTCCTTTTGACAAATAGTCATTTTAAAGAAGGAACTTTAGAGCAACGCTCCCGAATGATTCTTATTTTCAGATCTTCTTCAATGCAGTTTCATTAAAAGTCTATTCCTCTTTTTTATACAGAACTAACATTCACATCTTACGAAAGCTGCGGGTAGCATAAAATGGCTAAAATTCTACCAATTTTCCCTCGCAACTGGCGGTCGCTAGAACATGCACCGGAGTTTCACCGCAATGCATTGATGAACTTGCTTTTCAACAAGAAAATAACGCATTTGAAAACTTGAACATTGAAAAACATTCAGAAATTCCGGAAACTTTTCATCTTTTTCATTTCTTCGTTCTTCCCTTTTTTTCTCTTCTTCTTTCATCCTTATTTATTTACTTATTGAGTTGATCTAAAAACCTAACCCTTACCTTCAATATGCTTGAAAATTGAAAAATATTCAGAAATTCCGGAAACTTTTCATCCTTTTCATTTCTTCGTTCTCTTCTTTTCTCTTCTTTTTTCATCCGCATTTATTTACTTATTGAGTTGATCTAAAGAACCTAACCCTTACCTTGAATACGCCTTTTGTATAAGGCGCAAAATAGAGTCGCTCCGCGTGGATTACTCCAGATTTTCCAACTTCTCTGGGTATCACCTTCGTTTTGAAGCCGTCTATTGTTACCCCGACGCACTGAAAGCGGCCCATATCTCGGTCAATGAAGAAATCGGATTTTAAGGCTGAAAACCCGAGGATATCAAATTAATTGTTGTTTACCATCACAAATAACCAAATAATGGAACAATAAACAATTTCAAAGATCACAAAATTCAAATCCATTCAATTGTGACATTTTCACAAAGAATATTTACTTATCGTCACCCGATGAAGAAATCGACTTTTAAGGCTGAAAACCCGAGGATATTAAATTAATTGTTGTTTACCATCACAAAGAACCAAATAATGCAACAACAAAGAATTTCAAAAATCACAAAATTCAAATCCATTCAATTGTGAAATTTCTACAAAGAATTTCTACTTATCGTCATCTTCCGGCCAAATTATCACAAGCGCCTTGTGACGTTTAATTTTTCCGGATTTTATTTTTTTAGAGAGAAATTTTTGAATTAGGCTGTCCAAAAATTTCATTCAAATTGTTTTGTGCTGCTGATTAAATTCGATTAAATATCCAAACAGATTCAACCAACAAGTTCTCTTTAAAAAATAAAATGAAGGCAGAAATTGTTAAAAATCGCATGTCGCTTTGATAATTTGGCCGGAAGGTGACGTTCTACTGTTTTTTCTCATTCTGACCAGTATTCGCCTTCAATAATCTAATGGGCAATGAGAGCGGCTTAGGAGCAGACTTAGTTGCTTCTAGCAGTTTGTTCACGTTCTTTGGGTTCAGTCATCGTAATTTTGGTTGCTTTATACAAATTTTTACTCACAGTATACATTCTTTTCCATTCTCTTTATGGACAGTCCTAGGCTTATTTGAAGTGTGAAAAAAGTGTTGGGAGATAAAAATAGAATCAATTCAAAATAAAAAGAAGAATTACCGTGAACTGGCACATGTTTGTTTAGAACTTTTGAGAAAAATTGAAAACAGGAAAATTTACAGAACATGTAACTTTGTATAAATTGCCTGCGTTTTTATTTTGATACTTTAAGGGTTCGTTAAAAAGCTGACGAAATAATAAATAAAACATGACCGGCCAGTCTTCGTTTCAACAAACTGGAATAACGTTATTTGGGAAATTAGATTTTATTTCTCGTAGGAGAAACTGTAGCAGAATTTTACCTTTTTTCTGATTTTCAACTTGCTCGGGATTTAGTAGCATAGATTGGATCGTGACTGGTTGTACTGATTGCCCGATTCCATGAACGTCCTTCATAGTATTCAGTCCCAAGATCGTGTAAAGGTAAACGTTCCAATCAGGGTTAAGGACAATTTTCCCCACAACTCCTATTAATGGTGGGAGGAAAATTTCTCATGAAAAATAGAAAACTTGTACTGTTAATGTGAATGCATTTTTGAGACTTATTTTAGAGCTACTTAAAGAACAATAATTTTTTTGCTGCAAAAATCAATTTGTGACATTGCACGATTTTGAAATTTAGCACTTGCTTAAAACCATTAAGGACTATAACCAAATGTAAATTTTGTCATGGGAACGGAGTTCCCCATGATATTAAAATCGTTCCGTTGCTTTCGCTATGGGATTCCCTATACCTCTGCGACCTTGAGCGTTTCGCCCAGTCTCCGATTTTTGGTTGATTTTCCGATGTATCAAAAACCGTTGTATTTTTTACCCAATCGTGTCTCTACGTCAAGTTGTGTTGATTGCTAAAATTCGCTTTCAGCGAGTTTTTTTCCACCTTCAGATGTCGTGTCTGACTGGTAAATCTGCGCAGAACCACGAAGTTCCGTTTTTAGGCAAATTCTTTTTTTTGGGAGGTTCTGATTGGTTATTTTTCGCTATCAGTTTTCTGTTCGTTGGTGCAAAAGATCGCCTACCTCGGTGTTCTTGAGAAGCCGCCATTATCCCACCTCAAATTTGAAAAATAGAAGTAAAGAAATAATAACCATCGTACAAGGTGGAAAATTGTTCTGGAGGACTCGTTACGGATAAAGAAGTCAAAATCAGAGCTCGATTGATTGATTTAATTCATGGATACGCAAATATTGCCTTAGCTCAACTGCCGCGATCGGAATGCGTGCTGGGATGAACCTCGAGACGCATTAAAACAGTGCGAACCATGGCTCCTACAGCAATACAGCAATGCGCTTCATATCATCCCAAAAGCAGTCAAGGTCTCTTGTGATAAGTCCCGCCCATTGCCCGAGACTTTTAAATGCTATTTTTACTCTCGCTCACGCGGATCCGTCATAGCCTAGTTGACTGAACCGCCTCGTATTTTTGATTAGGTGCGGGCACCCGGCGGTCGGGAGTTCGATACCCGACGATGGGAACTACTTTTTAATGGTTGTATTGAATGTTTTAGACCAATCATCAAAAAATAATTAATAGTAGATGATAAATGTACGAACATTTTCTTGTGAGTTAATATGTTAAACAAAAATACTGGAATATACCTCCTTCATATAATCAGCCACATGTTCCCCCAAATTAATGACGTTATTTTCTTTTTTCAATAAAGTTAATTTGCATTCAACGTTCGTAAGTTAAGCAAAAAGTACCTATTGATACAAATAGAAAGACATGAAAATAGTATGTCTAACATTTCAGTTGTTTTTTTTTTTTTTTATTTATTTTTTGTTTTTTTGTTTTTTCAATAAAACAAATTGACTGGGACTAGAATCATCGTATCTCTGAAAACAAAAGCTAAGTTTTTTGATACAGAAATACTAATATATTCATCCTTTATATAATCAGGGAGATGTTGACCCAAATATTGATGTATATTTTCTCTGTTCGCCCAAATTCATGATGGTATTTTCTTTTTTCAATAAAATTAATTTACATTCCACGTTCTTAAAGCAATATTTTCTCCAAAATTCAGCAAAAAATAACAATTTATACCTACGCAAAAAGTAAATAAATAAATAAAGCAATGACATGAAAGTAGTATAGGTAGTACACATCTAACATTTCGGTTACATCTATTTGAATGAAAAAAATGGCAACTTAGGAAGCACATAGGTCACTTATCGACGGTGAAACTACCAAACCACGTATCTCGGTTTGCGACGTCGCAGACTTCCCGTCATACTTTATTTTTTAAATGAAAAGCTACTTAACGTCCAGTCTTGAAAATTTCCGTGATTTTTCCTCTTCGTGCGGAGAAAATTCTGTGAAAATTTCACGGAAAAATATTGATTTGGTCTACTTCAAAAAAATAAAATGTGAGCGGAGATTTTTAAACACCGCAAACGAGATACGTGGTTTGGTAGTTTCACCGTCGTTATGATGCGTATTCGGGCATATGCGTAGAGTAAAAATATCATACTTTACGCCGAAAAAACGAAACTGAAAGTTAAATGCGTTAACTTCCAAAAACCATACATAATCCAACGAAAATAAATAATTGGTAAATAACAGCTTTCTTGTATGCAAAGAAAAAAAATTAAAAATGTTAAAAAAGAGATGTCGACACAAAATTACATAGCCCCTTCAATTCTGAAGATACTACAAAGGAACTGTACCTTAAAATTTTCATATCCCAGAAGCAAAAGTTCCCATGACGAATATTGCTATCGCTAGCGATTGCAAAAACCAACTTGTTAAAATTTCCTGAAGGTAACACTTATTACAAAAGAAGTTTTTTTTGGGGAAGGTATTTATGTTAAAAGGAACTATTTTACACGCAATCCCTATGCACTAAGTTCCTTTCATCATAAATACGTCAATTCAATCATATACGGATGACTGAAATGTTAAACTATTAAAAAATCTGAGAATTCGAAAAACGTTCCAGCAAAACTTAATCCGAGCAGCATATAATTGAATTTATACGTAGAAAGCTATTTGCAAAAGTTAAATAAAAAAAACAGATCGAAATAAACGCACAGAAATCTTTTTACAAAAGAGGATCGATACTTGCCTTTCGAGCACATTCGCAAGTCTGTCACATCTTTCGTGGTGAACCCGTCGATTGCCTCCGAATCACCAAATAGGCGATTTGAAATATCTTTAAAATCAATAGTATTTCCAACCCCCTCCGCGCTTTGAGTTTTCGGGGATTTCGGTCCACGCAATGGAGGTTCATACATTTTGATCTTCCCTCCAATGATCACGATTTCTGGATTCCTATCACTGGCCTGTGGATCCGGCCCTCCGAATTTACTCTCTAATTCGTCTGGAGATTCCTGAAGGACAACAAATTCACCGGTTCCTCGCATGACTTGGATCCAAATTTGACTGAGACGACCTGCAAAGAAGAGTGAAATTTGAACGTATTTCTGCCAAACGTAACTTTACTGCCCTGCTTATGAAAAACACAATACCACTGAAGGGCAGGCTTTCAGAGGGAATCGATTTTGACGTCGGTTCAGATTCAAAAGGTCTTATGGACCATGTTTCTATGTATATGCTCGTTTTTCACATGCTAATTCTCTTTCCATCATGTTTTGTCCACAAGGAGAATCAATTTTAAAAATTTTTGATCCTTTGTCCTCTGAAATATACAGTAAATTCAACGAAAATGAGTGAATCTAAAATATGAAGGTGATGTTGGAATGAATTATTATCTCTTTCAGTATATGGACACCATTTATTATGGGAATAATTTGCTTTATTCAAAAACAATAATCTTTTAGATGCAAGGGCAGCATCAATGGTATCAGATTCAATTTGACGTCATCAACGGATACCACAATGACGCCATCACCGTATGTTCCGATGACGTCATCAAAGTGTGCCTCAAAGACACATATATAAAAGTGTTCCCGGTAACATAATTAACAGGCACCTCTATGACGCCATCAGCCGAAAATCGCTGGAAATAGCCGAAAGTAACCAAGCGGCCTTTGGAGGCAAGAGGTGTAGTCGCCACCGTAAGGATAGAGAGGTCGAATTTTGAAAAGTCGGGTCACGCGTGATCTAGGCCCAATACTTAAATGCCAATATGCCCTGCAAATAAACTGAATTCTTTAAATAGGATAAAAGAGTTAAATTACCGTCAACTGAGAGATCTAGTTTTGAGTAAATTTGAATATTTTCAAAAACCACAGGAACTTTGTCAAATCCTCTGCTGTCTAAAGCGCCGAAAATTTTCCACACTTCAATCTGAAAAATGAAGTGAAGACATTTTTTTCTCATTTTAGAGGGGGACAGTCGTTAGAGGACCTAAGTGTGGGGACTTCATAAACACAACTTACGGTAAAATCACATGAAAATTACAATGGGTACAGCAGAAAAGTCTGAAATTCACCTCTTACAGCTTAATCGGCGTGGTTTTCAACGCTATTTCAGGATTGTATCTTTTTAAGGGTGTTCCGTCCGGGCAGAGACTGCTTTTTGTTCCGCATTATTCTGAACATAAGTTCTGGGAGTCTTATAATGTTTGTGTATAAATTAATAATTGTATATATTTTGAACATCATGAAGAGGATTCGTAGATGAACTTTTTTGGTCTTCACAGATTATTAAGGTTTTTTTTTCTTTTTTTTTCTTAATTTAAAGCATTTTTCAAAATGCTGGGAATGCACATGCACAAGAGCGTAAGTTTTGAAAGTTTTAAATGCAGGCATGCAGGAAATGAGCCGGTAACTGTAAGAGGCCCAAGTTGAAACTAAATATTTTTCATAGGAATGCTTTTGGTTTTTTTTTTTTAATAAAATATAGTCATTTGAAAATATCAGAGAGAACTGAAATAATTGTTAGTTGATGAAATGAGCTTACCAAGAAAAAGGAAAGGAGAGAAACAGGAGAATCATCACGTTTGTAAGTCTTCAACACGTCCATAATTTCTTTTAAGGTGAAACACTTTTCCGAAATTGAAAGATAATCCACATCGATGCATCTCTTAGGGTGAAACATAAAAAATAGATGTATTGAAACAAATTAAACAAAACTTGCTGACACTTACTGAGAGATGCTGTCATTTATTGTTCGTTTAATGATTAACGACGATGCAGTGATATTTTAGGTCATAACAGAATATACGATGCATCTGCATCCATATGACAAAACGCCATTGCGGAGAAATATTGAAGTGTGTGATTTCCTTATAACCTTAAGGAGTTAGAAAGGATACGCATAACTCTAGGCAAAATTGATGGAAACGAAATTTGCTAACCTGATGAGCAAGACTGAATCTAAATATTCAATATGTAATTTTCCTCTCCATGCGCAAATGCTGCACAGTATTGTTTTATTCCCTACTTTAAAAATAAGTACTCATTAATTTAAATACACTTTATAAACGCTGATCCGCTAAAGGTGAGCATTCGACTATCTTCCGGCCGTTCACAATCGATAGATGCGGAACTTTAACATCCTTCTCACATAAAAATACTTGATTCATTATAGTAAAGAAACCTGTTTTCGTGGCAGTTTTACGACGGGCCGAAAAAGATTTTCGTTACTCTGAGAAATGAATTATCAAGCCCGATAGAATTTCAGCTCTGCTGGCAACGAGGTTTAATCGCTATGACGGCTATTTTTGTGTTAACCTAAGACCTTTAATCACAGCGAATAACATTTCGTTTTTACAACTAAAAACTTACATAACGCAACTAGTATTTTCCTCACCACGAGAAAAGACTGGTGAGGAAATAGGTTTTTTTCTAATGATGAATCAGATTTTTAACCAAGTGCGCTTCAAAGCAATTAAACTTTGAAAATAGTGAAATTACGAAAAAAATGGTAGAATAGTGGGAAAATAAAATGATGGTTATGTTAATGTGAAAAACTTTTGGTTTCAAGGAGTATATGTTTCAGTTAAAAAATGTTGCACTTTCGGTCTTTGAAAGTATTGAAAAATACGAAAGAATGTAACAAAAAAATTAATAAATTAAAGTAGTGATTATATCAATGTGGAAAAATATTTGATTTCAAGAAGAATATGTTTCAGTAAAAAAAATAAATTGCACTTTCGGTCATTTTTCACATACTGCATTTTTCCGTAGCAGGGCAGGTTACCATATATTTCGGAAGGTAGTGCTCCTCCGTATGATCCCACGTGACGAATGGTTGAAGGCTGGGCGTGTCCAGTGGCACGGGATATTGCACTGGTGGATACAGAGCTGATACGTCTGGCTCAAATCCTAGTAGATACAACCTTAAATATGGAAAAACAACATGATAATGGAACCTCGATACCAATAATGTTGAAGGCGTTTTCAGTGAATTTTTTTAGGACTAGGAACAGCGTCGGCAAACTTTATTTGTGTTTTTCTAAGAATCCCTAACTTTCGCTCTCGAACTTTGAACAGAAGCAAAAGTGTCAATTTTGAGATTTGTTGGTTTTTCTTGCACCATTTAGTGAAACATTACTTCCCTCCAGCTGCGGTACACAGTGATCTTATTTATTTCGCACCATACGACACATTTAGCCCATAACTCGATGAATCACGAGTACATAATTGCGAATGGTTGTTTTAACTTAAAACAGATTCCAAAGAGTCAATTATCAAAACTTTTGAGTGTTTATTGCGCCAAATTGTATAAAATTAATCTCTTTAAGCTGCTATTAAGACATCTCATTCCTTTCGTACCTCATGACACATTTTATGCCCAACTCCATCACTTACGAATACATTATTGCAAACGATTTTATCAAAATCCTCGTCAAAAATATTCTTTGGAAATTTCGTACAAACAGGAACAATGATACGGTCCAAGAAAAGGAAGAGCTCAAAAAGTTTATTATTTTCTGAAAATTTGCCGAGCGAGGCTCTTCTAAACCCTCATTGTACATAATTTCTCCCATCGCTATCATCACCGAAAAATTCTACTTGCCTTAGGGCGGCAAAAAGTTAATGCCGGGCATGAGCACGCACATACTTTAGGACTACATTCTGCAGTGGGGAACTACTATTTCTGGGCAATCCTCGGATCCGCCTATTTGCGTAGCATTATTGATGTCTTTTTTGTTGGCACTGGAATAAGCCAGAGATAGTCGTTTCTATTTGCTAAAGTAGTCCACATGGAACCAAGTGAATTTTTCAGTATGCTTATACTGAGAAAACTTACTGTCCGATAGCTTCTAAGAGAAATTTGACACCGTCTTCACTAGATCTATGAGTGAGTGGAACATTGGTGGCTTTTTTTGTCATGGCGCGTTTGAGGATGGCCTGGAGCAAACCGTGGGGTGCGATCTCGATTAAAACTGCGTCTGACGGTATCGACTTGATAGCATCCTCGAAGAGAACGGGGCTCAGCAGGTTATTGGTGAGGTACTCCGGAGAGCAATAGGTGGCCAATTCTGAATCCCAGTCTTTCTCCGGAATAGAACTGCTGATCCATTTACCTGACCTTTTTGTGTTCTCCGGAATGGCCTGGAAGTGAACAATTCCGTCAGAAATGGTTTCCAACAATTCAGAGACACATACACGCATTTAGTGGTGACATCATGAAAATTATGAAAGCCAGTCGTTTTCTAAAACATTGGAGACCACATTCACAAGAATGGATGATATAATGAGCTCGTTAAATCATACTTCAGTCATCAAATGAACCCTTTTTTATGAACTTTACTAAAATGAATTTTTAAAAATATTTGCAATAGCCCCATTGTCACCGTGAGGTTTTGGGAGGGTCTCTTTGTATTTCCGCACAAATTCAACGACATCTCTATGCAGCACGAGAAGCCTTGGTTACACGATCAATGACTCGTCTAATAGGACAAGCTAAAAACAAGCGGGAAAGTTCTAATACTGTCGTATTAGAAAAGCGCTTAGGTGTTAGTCAATGTATTTAGTGAAGAAAGGAAGTATAAACTCCGTCGACTTGGCTGGGTAATGGAAATAAAACATCAGCTGATAGCAAACAAGGGTTACCAAGGAAACCGTAAACGCGTTTTTTCGTTTCCCGAAAATGATAGTCACCGTTGAGCTCATCAGGCACGTTTTTTTAGGCTTCATTTGAGTTCAAGGATCAATTTCGATAAGAATTACTCTACCGCTAAGAAATTTTCTTACAGACAAACGATCGAAACTACCTGCGCATTACGTTAAAAGCTTAAAATACGGTTTTCACAGCTTTATTTACTTTAAAACTGGACCCCCCCCCCAAAAAAAAAAGCCTACACATCGATGAGCTGGTGCGCCATTTAAACGAATTAGCACTAGTATACTAGTACTCTAAAGGCAAGTCGAAATCAAAAAGCGCTGCCTATCGGCTGAGCGCTTAATTTTAACTGCTTTTGCGCAGGTGAACATTTCATTCGTGCAACACAAATCACAGAATAGTATTTACCATTCATCGTTTTCAATCCCGTTAATTTGCAACTTTTCTATCCATGCGTTTAAGTCATCACTACAACCATTGCGATTTGACCACTGTATTCGTACGAGTAAAACATGAATCTTCTTCCTGTGTTACTGTACTATGTTTTTATTTTCTTAAATCTCTCTCACGGTAAACCTGGTACCCGTCGACATGGGTAAAAGTACTCGTGGTAAACAGCAATTCGATGATGCGTGACTCAATCCAAGCGAAGTGGGCGTTAGAGAGTGAATGCTTAACTTATTTCACGTGTATGGTCACCGTGAGCTTCATTAAATTATACCCTTCAATAGCTCATTCATTCATCTGTGTAAGTTTTTAGGTATAAAAAATCCACCTACATTGTCGCAATTAGTCACCAGGCCTATTCAGAATTTGCGGATTGATTTGCTCACCTCCTTCAAGTATTTGAGTAAGATTGGTCCGGCAGGTTGTATGTATCGAGAGTGGTATGCGATGTTTGCAACGTTCACACCCTTTGCAAAAACGCCATTAGCAGACAATTCGGAGACGAATTTTTTGACGTCCTCCGCAGGTCCAGATAATGTGCAACTTGAGCTCGAATTCCGACAGGCAACATCAATGGATTCCGGTAGTTGATTTACGATATCATTATGACCCATTCCTGATCAATGTATACTTAACGGTGTAATATTTACAAATAAAATAAAAAAAACTAATCATATGGACTTAACCGAGGCAAAAAATTTCGGGATAGTGTCATAGTGATGTTAGGATTATCACTCTGCTACACAAAATAAGTATAGTATGAGTTATTAATATCATCACATGAGGTACTGAATGCTGAAAACGGCTCGGTTCCGTTGCTATTTTCGAGAATCCTCACTGTTAATTTGTATTTTCAAGAGGAATTAAACTATTGAGTGAATTTTCTGAGATTTTTCTTCTAGAGCATTTTGAAATGATTAACAAAAATGTTGAGTAAAATATTCATTGAATTACATGCATTTCCTTTGATTTGGATGGGTAAAAATGTTGTCAACGATTCTGAGACATCGCACCAACCGAGAAGTGCCCTTTCTTTGTAAACATTTTAATTTATAAGATGAGCGTATGCGATGTTAGTTACATAGTTAATTTGGACGTTTTTTTGCCAAATGGAACTATGTGCATCATGATGTGAGCCCTGTCATGAATATATCTTTGCGGGTTCTCATGTCTTAATACTCATAGTTCCATTGCAGAAATACGTCCATTTAATAACTCGATCAGCAGCTATGGCTATATTGTCTTAGTCCAAAAGAGATATATTTTTCAATTGAGGAAATATATATTTTGGAGCGAAAATGTTCACTTTTTACTTTGAAATATTACTGACTGCTGAGCACTTTTTCAATACTCATGTATTGCAGCTTCCAGCTTGCATTTCTTTACTTAAAAAAAGAAAAAAGAAGAAAAAAAGTTCACTTTCAAAGAGTAAACGTGCTGAGAAATTTAGAGTTGTATGATTGTAACATACCGACAGCAGCCATCATCCCTTTGATCAGAGTTGATTCCTGTGACGCTCTACCACGTGCGTGCGCAGCTAAAATGGCTTGCTCAAGAGTCAGACAGTTATCGGCGTATGCACATCCCAACTCTCCCACAGAATGGCCTACCATCCCTTCGGGCTCCAACTTCAATTCTCTTAATATTTCAACCAACCCTATCTGAAATCAGTGTACAATTCATGTAGCTCTTATTTGGTTCACTTGTCATTTCACTAGGGAGCTTTCCCAGTTCTATCATTCCAATTTTTCATTTAACATACAGAAATATATATTCAACACTGAAAAAGGTGGTTGGATGGTCTCGACTTAGCTAACCTTGAGTTGTGTTCGCCAAACTATTGATGAATTATTATTACATCGATATGTTTTTATTTTCTTTACATAAGTTTATTCTTCTTCGTGTTTTTCCTTTCACCAAAAGAATCAGTAGTAAAGGCACATTAGCTCTGAACGCTTTTATCATTCAGTGAATGGAAAAAGATTTAGGCTAACAATTTCTAAAGATATTGAAATTTCAAAAAGTCCAACGATTTACCTGACAAGCAGTAATACCAACGAATGCGTTCAAAATATTATCAAAGATGCTTTCATCAGCCGAGGTCAGAACACGTATGATGTCCACGCCTAGGGGTGCAAGAACTTTGTCACACCTGTTGATGACATCGTGAAAGATAGGTATATGCATCAGGTGAGCACCCATAGCGGTCCATTGGGAGCCCATCCCCGAGAACACCCACCAGATTGGCCTCTGGCCCCCATCTGCTCTCTAAAAAACCGTAAATGCGTTTATAGTGCTTAAACCGTTTTCTTATAGTCAATAGAAACTTTTAGCGATGGCAATGAATGTGGTATATAACTAACATTTGTCATCTTATCAGGGATGGCTTCGTCGCATACAAGAGATACAGCCAACTGAGTGTACTTCTCAGAGGTAAAATTGCACAAAAGTCACGTTAACTGCATCACACGGAGAGAAAAAATTCGAGCGTGGGACCCAAAATTCAAGGCATATGCTGCCCTGCTATGGAAAACGCCGTATAAACCTTCAGGCGTTGCCAAATTTCCTTTGATAAAACACGAATTACCTTGTAGACGTATTTTCCTCCCAATTTTTCAGATAATTTTTTTCGCAATTTCACCTAAAAATTGTGAAAATTTAAAGGAAAAAGATTCGTATTTATCCTGAAAATAAGCATTTTATAGAAAGACATTTGGCAACTCTCGAATTTTCATACGGCGTTCTTCCTTAGCACGGCAGTATGGATCTCTGAACTTTTTGTATGCATCAGAAAACTTTAAGTCTAGCTGCCGAAGTTCGGGCTACATATTTGAAGTACTTCGGTACTTTGGTTTCAACTTTTATGAAGTCAACAGAAGTGCCAAAGTACTATGTATCTGATGTGTATACGCTAAGAATGACGTAATTTTTAGGAGGGGTCTAGCAGGAGATGACGTTTGGATACGGTGATGTGGAGAAGGGGGGGGGGGTCCGAGTATTGAAAAAATGGGTGACGTAATTTATGGACTGAAATCTAATTTATCTCTTATGTGTAGATGAGAATCTGTCATTATTTTGACGATTCAAATATATATATTTATCAAGCCGCTATCGCGGCCCAATAGATCACTCTGAGATTCCCAAACAAATCCCGATTTAAATCATTAATAAAAAGGTTAAGAAGTAAAATTAGTGTACATGTTCAGGAAATGAGCTAGTTTGTACCTCAGATTTGATTGTGATTTTGGCGCTATCTGGTGGCACAATGGCGTAACATCTGTACATGTGATTTTGCACTTCCTGGCTGAACACTCCATTCACCAAAGCGGCAAATTCTGGGGTAATTTTCGTATTTCTTATTTGTTTTTTGATTTCTTCTATCCCTGACTCTGTGCGGGAGGACAGGAGTACCATTTGGGGCAGCGATTCTTCAATTTGCATTGTTGAGGATTTCCTACGAACAATCCCAATTTTTGTAATGCACTGATTGTGTAGGATGGGTAGTGAGACAAATGTCTAAATTCTCCATTATTTTGCAGCAATTCATATTAATATCTTACAGCGTTCGACAATGATAAGATTTCCCGCACTGCTAAAAGCTCTGTTGTGGGGAAGTTGAGGAGATCACCCTCATTTTTTAAATCATGCAATATGTATTAAAAGTGACTAGCAGTAGTTGAATTGAACATAGAAAAAAATAGGGTAGTCGACACAACCACTGGCTAGTTAAAAATGCGCCAGATACCGTGATAGCTGTGATAGTTGTGACCTCCACCGCGGTAGTTATCGTAAATACCACACGGTAGCTGGCACATTTTTAACCAGCCTCTGGTTGTGTCTACTACCTTATTTTTTTCCGTGAAGCGTGGTCGGTTATAGGACATTTCGACAACGATTTTTTGTCCGCGCACCTGTTTTTTCCAGTAATTTAAATCCACGCGTTTTTTCGGCAAGGGAGTTTTGGTCCACGTGCCAGTTAAGAACCAAAGTTAATTGGCCCACATGTAAATACAAACGACAATTGCTTACGACGTCTTTGGATGAAAATGTATAATGTCTTGGAAGAATGAGGGCTTGCTTTTTTGTTTTGTCTGTTTGGTCCAACGGAGAATAATATATAGTTGAGAGTTTTGGTAAAAATGGGGGAGCGTCAATTCCATGAGACAAAATTCACTAAAGCTCTCTACACCTTTTTGGTGTAACAGGACTTAATTATCTTTCAAGAAATTTCCACCCTCTTATACCTGAACCGGACAAACTTCTATATTTGCCTCAGCTAAAGGCTCTTAGATTTTTCCTGTGTACGATAAGTATCTTGATTTATTTTGCGAGGAAAGATCTGCACTTTTAAAGGATGCCTGTCATTCTTAATACGCTCAATTTCGTATAATACTGTGCAACACCTCTGTTGTGAAATAGTTGCTTCAGGCGCCGCCGCACGGCGGGCGAGCGGCCAGCGCATTGGCGCCTACAAACCTAAGTGGATACTTCAAGCATTGTGCAATGCATGAAGTATCCACTTAGGTTTGTAGGCGCCCGTGAGCCTCTCCTCTCGCGCTGGCAGCACGCCGCGCCGCGCCGCGCCGCTCCGCTCTGTTAGGCTTTAATATTTATACTTGCATAGTCAGCGTTTTTTGACTCATGATTTTGAAATGTTAGCACACTCTGCATTGATTATCCTCATTTAAATTGATGGTAAAAAAATATGTATCAATTTATCAAAGGAGAATAATTATATAATGTGTGTGTTTTTAAACATTGGTGGTTCCGTGTCAAATTTAATGATTTCCAAAGCTCTTTATTTTTTTCTTTTACATTTTATGTGCTTTTTTGGTGCTGCAGCGAGGTATACGCGCAACCAAACGCTCAAAATTTGACGTATTTGACTCTAAAAGATCGATGTAAAAATGGGTTAAAAGTAAAGATTGCGTGCTTCTTGGTTTTTTTTCCTCTATTATTCATTTTTGCAGTTTCTGTTGGCACAACTGCGGCTCATTGAGATTAATGTCGCTTGGAAAAGGTTTTAAAAATATTTGTTCCGTTTTAAAAATATAAATGTTTTCAAAATGAAGTAATAATTTTGTAAAGAAAAAATTGAAAAAATAAAAAAAGTACCTGTACATATATAAGGTATATTGTACATTGAATATTTTAAGGATAGAAATAAAACCAAATATTCACCAATGACATTTTAAAAAGATGATTGAAAAGGAGAAAGTTATAACATTTCATTTAGAAAATGAGCAACCCTCATAACACCTTCTTCTCTCTTAATTTCTCATTTCCATATTGTCAATATAATTTTATATACCGACTAAAATATAACGCTTGGACAAAGTCACTGTTGCTTATTTTACGTGTGGGCGTAAACTACTGGATAAAAATGATGCGCGGACAAAAAAACGTTGACAAAACGTCCTGAAACCGCGTGGTCGTAACATTACTTCACGTTAATCGTTAATCGTTACAACCATAGTTGGAGCACTTCGTTAGGGAGCCGTTTTAAAATGATCGCATTATCCAAAAGCTCTCCAAATTTTTTTAGGACACGTAAATAATCTTTTTTGTACACTTTTTTCAAAACGTGCCTTTGGATGTACGTGTAAAATTTTGCTTGATTGGCAACTTTTTATACCAAATTTGTCCCCCAAGACCAACTGCTGAATCTACTGCTATTACTTACTTGGCATTCGCCTTCAGTAACATGTGTCCAAAGTTCCCAAACTGACCAATTGAGTTAATACCAATCAATTCTCCATTGAACGGAGTTTCTTCGGTTACAACCTGCAAAAAGGAAAACTTATTTGACCTAAACGTATTCTTAGTCTATTCTCATCGCGTCTTCTCGTCGAGATATATTCTTGGTAACTCCGAAAAATAATGATCACACTCGAAAAGTCAGCGCATACAAGCCAAGAAAAATTTTCACTCAATCTAATGCTATTATATGTAAAAAGACAGCAGAGTGATTTTTTCTCAAAAAGACCGCCGGTTTTTTTTCGATTTGAGCCGCGTCTTTTTCTTTCACTCCTGTCTCCTTGTGGTTTGTGTATCGTACTTGCTAAGCGCATCTCAAATACCTATTTTAAGCGTGCCAGTAGGGCTCGCTTTTTGAAATCACTCGGATGTACCATAGTACAGCACACAGATCAACCAATGCTATTCAACGGGTCGTCCAAATACTTTTTTCCTCGTACCCGTTTCTTTGTCTTTGAACCATTACACTGTCAAGCCCTGATGGTCTTTTACCAAAAAATCTAATGAACTGCTAATTGGAAACCCTTGAGAACATTTTTCTGCCAAAACCGTATTATTCAATTTGACAGAAACCTCATAGGAGCTTTCTTATGCTCGGAGGACTGAACTCTAGAACCTTCTTTCCCGCCAAAACTCTATAGCCAATGAGCGTCTTGCACTGTAAGTGCAATCTGTGATGAGCCTCGTGACTCATTATACTATGTACTAACCATGGCCCCTGCCGAAATCCACTTAAACCACTACAGTTATCTCGCGATATAGCTTTGGGTGTCCGGTTTCGAGCAAGGCAATAAAAGACGGCGAGGCGATTAACCGATTAACCATTCACCGTGATGCCAGGATCCACCAAATTTTCTCAAAAATTGTTTTCCGTCTATTTAGCGAGTTTTTCTTTACTTTCCGTTGAAGTACAAATAAAAAGAGACCTCATTTGTACAAATCGGCCGAATAGGAGAGAAGTTACAGTTCGAAATCCAAAGAGATTAACTCAACGCGATTTCGATGCACGGCAGTTCGCCCAAATCACGGTCGTGCGCAAATGCCGCATATCAGCTTAAAATCAAGATAATTGGACGGAATCTTTAAAATTAATTTACATTCAACGTTCATGAATCAATATTTTCTCCCAAATTTAGCAAAAAGTACCAATTGATGCAAAAAGCAAAGACGTGAAAATAAGAGGTATTTGTCCAACATTTCAGTTATTCGGTACGCTTTTCCAACATACTCATGTTGGATTGTTTCTTCTTGTTTTTTATTAGAGCTTCCCCGCGTGTTTCTAATTTTAATCTAATGAGCTCACCTTGATTCCTCTGGACGTCAACTCAGGAATCGGCGAGGTTATGTTGATATTCGGCGGAATTTTAGAGTTTTGGAAAGCTATCATAGCTTTGACCGTTCCAAAAGCGCTAGCAACCGATTCTGCATGCCCCGCGTTTGATTTCACCGACCCAACAAGGAGTGGCTCCCTACGTTTGCGACAAAAAACCTCCGCAATAATGTCGGCCTCCTTTTTGTCCGTATCCTGAAATTGAGAGTTGGCCAGTAATTAAAATCTTTGCATGAAACAGTGAATTATCTGCATAATGTGAAGCATATTCCTTAAAATTTTCAAAGGAATCCGCACAAGCTTTCTCTTCTAAAAATTTAAAGTGCCCAGTTACATTCGGCAATAGCTGATGCGGCTTGGTTCCTTTCTGCTGAACATGGTACCTGATGAATGCAACTTTTTGCGCTTAACGGATGTCCGTATTGCATATGCAATAAAAGGAAGGCGAACTGTCTTTTCTTTCCCCAAATGTCAGGCGACTGTGTTCATGACAACGCCTATAAATGCAACTAATCGTGCTCTCCGGATACCTGCGTTGCATTTTTAAAAATGAAGGCGCACTTTTAGGCGGTTACATGCAAACTGAATGAACGTCCATGAATTATACTGACTTTGATTCCACACCCGTCCGCTTCAATGTATCCAACGTCAGCGGGGTCGACGTTCCACTTGAAGTAAAGTTCGCGCATCATCTCTTTGATGGGTCCCTCGTCAAATGCCAGAACGTTGCCCTTTTTGGTCCCGAGGTACTTTTGCGAGCCTCCAACGACTGTCGCCCAATGTCTACGTGCGTCCGTTGCTCGTTGTAGGAAGAACGCCACACACCCTTCACTAAGCGCATAACCGTGAGCTGAAAGGACGAACATCAAGCTCCTTTATTTGTAACCATGAAGCACGCGATGGTATTGTTTTCATTGATAATAGTTTCCCTCAATTTCAAAATTTTGGCTAGCTAATTTGAAACAGTGAGAATGAAAACACAATAACTCGGTAACTCGAAAATTCTTGAGTTTCATTCAAGACAGCCAATTTTCATGAAGGTCACTGAAGTTAGCGCATCTGTTTTAACTTGGACCTTTAAAGTGTTCTCAAATACTGGTCTCTCGACACCAAAAATCTTTTTCTGAGCCTAACTTCTTCACCCACTGTGCAGTTGTGTGTGCGTCTTGATCGTTTTCATTTTTTCGAGTTGGTGTGCTTTCATTCTCACTGATTCAATCTAGAACTATTTCCAACTCATGTTCACTCCAGGACACGATTTGGTGCGTGGTTCAGAAATGTTCGACGCAATTCAAGGATGGAAATTGCCTCATCACAAGAATAGTGCCATATGTTGGCATTTTAATGTCAGATTCATTCTTTTAGTTCCGAAAAACCTCCTGGTACTAAACCTTCCCTGAACTATTGAGATAACCGCATTCCGCCATTTTAAAATCTGGAATTTTCAAAATAGCGGAATATTATTGCCTTCTAATAACAGATTCGTTCCTCTCGCGTGAAAATATCCCTGCTCACAAAGTTTCATCCAAATAACAAATATCCATATTTTGTGCAGACCCGGTATACATTAAAGCCCCTCCTCCCGGAAAAACCGAATGGAGGTTGGTGAACGGTGATACATCAGGAACAGTTAAAGTTATCACCGCCAACCGCGTTTCGATATCTATATCAGGTAACATATTATGGTCGGAATTGGACATGAAAATAGCTGCAGAAATGAGTGAAAATCGGGGACTACACCCCCTCCCTTCCCAATATCTCGTGAGCCCCAAAAAAGGGCGGATTTGTGCATGCTATTTGCTATTTCCGTCGCGGCACACGGCAAATCCCTGATGCTTTAAGGGATTTTTCTCAACGCACCATCGACATTTACAATATTGAAATGTATCGAAAAGTTGATTTACCATTTTCGTCGAATGCTCTGCACTCTCCATCATCAGCCATCAAGCCCATACCTCGTAAAACTAACAAGGAGCGCTTTGACAGAATGAAGTTACCACATGCAATTACCGCTGCGTCTATGAGTCCTGCTTCTATTTGCTGTTTCGCCTCGCCCATAAAATGAAATAATGAGCCGTAACCCCCTTGTGCACTGTAGCTAGGACCTGAAACACGCCAAATACTTGCAATCAGAACAACAACAATTTCCGCCCCAGCACCTGATTGTCAAAACTTTGATCCGAATATTCATAGTCTTTTTAAGCAGCTCCTTTCTTTTTAAGCAGCTCCTTTCTTTTGAGATGCCCTATATCGTCGTTTTCCTTACGAAAGAACGTAACTACATTCTAATGTTGCCAAATTTTTAGTTGGATATTGCACAATTTTGGACAAAAATTGTACAGGTAGAATCTTGTAAAAAAAATAAATTATAATTGAAATGGTACGTTTCTTTCGTCTGGGGAACGACGATATGGCTCACGCCGTGACTAAGAAAAGTTTGAGAAAGCCTTGACAAAGCATCAAATCTGTGAAATAGATAACTTTTGCAAACCTCGAGTATAGTTTATTATTATAACTTTATCAATGAATCCTTTCGACGGATTAAAATAATCTGCTGCTACAAAAAGTACAGAATACCAAAAAAAAAGTATCTTCCAAGTTTTGTAACATTTAAGGTAGCGACTTGCACGCGCATTTACCTTTAAGTTTGTCGAAATTATAGAGGTTTTTTCGAAGGCTTTTGTTCTTCCAGTTGTTCAACCAAAATATTGCATCACTTTTAACCAAATTAAAAACTAATAAAAAGGTGTTAACCAAAGATGTTACGTTCCTTTATGCTCTACTTCCCATACTAATACAAAATTTTGGTTACGCTATCTTACCGAGCAGATTTGGAACCAACCTTGTAAATCCATGGCGAACGAAAGTCTGTTTGCCGAAAAGCACCGGGCGATGCCAACCAGTGCCCTCACAGTTTGAGCTTTTGGTATGCTCATTTCGAACTCGCTGAAGTCATACAGGCAGTAAACGGCAGTTCGTGTGCCTGCCAACGACTTTGGATTCACTCCTGTAGGAATCGAAAACATTATTTTGAACTTCGGACACAAAGCTGCTCATAAAATACGTGCATTTTTTAGGATACGTAAATACGTGCTAGATTTAGGATTTTTCAACCTTCCCTCCCCTTTCTTGACATTTTTGTAAGTCTTAATCTATACCATATTAATGGCGTAGGGCTCTTCTCGATCCCTCCCCCTCCTCTAGAGCTTTACGTACTTTAAGGACGGCTTTTGGACTTTCTTGCATATTTGCAATAAAAATCAATCCTAATTATTTCTCGATGCGAATTTTTGCGATCGTTTGTGATACGTTTTGTATCGTAATCGATGACTGAGTTTTTTTTATTTTGATTAGTGATATTTTCTTACTAAAAAAATAATAAAAAATTAAAGAAATAATAAAAATATGGCAATGGGGGCAGTGGCGATTGGGCGTCGCAGAGCGCGAGGCTGCGCTATAAAAGCGGCTTAATGTATGTGTATAAAAATACACATATGTCAATTTCTATTGAAAATCTGCGCTTTAGTTACTGAATGGTTGAAAGGGTAAGAAAAGTTGAACAAGTTTGAAAAGCAGTGCATCATTCCTTCCACGAGGGAAAGTAAATGATGAATCGTGTTACATAATTTATCCACTGCTATCTTCACTCTTAATCGTAAAATTCTTTCGGAGAAGTAGAAAAAATCAGTTGAGAGACGTGCTAAGGCGCTTGACCAACCTGCATCGATGATAGCCTCAATGCTTGTTTCCAAGGCTTTCTTTGTTATAGGTTCCATGGTAGGGGGTAAACTGAAAGGGACTTTGAAGAATAACGCATCAAATTCCTGGTGTGAAAGAGCTTTACCACAGTGCCCGGGCAAATCAGTTTCTGAAAATCAATACATTAATTGCACATGTTAAATATCAAACTAGAGGCGTAACTATACTTATCTCAAGAGTGGTTTTTTTTTTTTTTTTTTTTTTTTTTTTTTTTTTTTTTTATATATTTTATTTTTCTACGAAATATAATTCTACACTTTCTTGCAAAAGAAAAATCGCACAAAATCATTTGTATTAACGACATTCTGACGAAGTTTATGCAAGGAATATCTATTTCTGGCAAGTTGTCTTCTGCCTCATAGGTCCCATCACATATTGCTTATCGACGGTGAAAGTCAGCAATCACATAACTCGGTTTGCGACGTCGCAGACTTCCTGTCATACTTCATTTTTTAAATGGAAAACTACTCAACGGCAATTCTTTAAAACTGTCATGATTTTCCTTCTCAATGCGAAGAAAATTCTGCAAAAACTTCAAGAAATAATATCAATTTGTTCTCCTTTAAAAAAATGACGTAGAGGCGGAGATTTTCAGACACCGCAAACGAGTTATGTGATTGCCGACTTTCACCGTCGTTATGTTCAGTGGATCCAACAGAGTGCAGTTCTGGGAACACCAATCTCTTACATCTTTTCTCACTTAGAAATGGTGAAAATAAAAACGGCTGTTTTCGAAATTTACACTTATTTATAAATAATCAATCCACTTTATGCGAATATTACTTGATAAATGTCTCGTCAAATTTTTAGAGAAACTTGTTGGTTTGTTCAGAAAAACCTGCTTTGCGAACTTTAACTAATTTTAAAACATCGACTAAACATTGATCATTCTGTGGTAACTCCTATGCCTGGTCCGTGTGAATAGATTTTGTGGAATTAGATTACCGGTGAAACTTGAAACGACTTACTCTTTGCCCATTTTCGCTCATCTTCCGTAATAAGATGTGCTTTTTTGAATAGAGCATCCTCAAACTGAGGAATATTCTTGCACTCTGGAAATGCTCCAGCAGCTCCAGAAATAACAACCTCCACCCCCATTCTTCACAGCCTTCACAGGTTTGGTCCAATAGCAAAAACCTAAAGAGGAAAGAATGGGAAAAAGGCGGTTTAACTGCGAGGTATCATGCGCAGTTTTTACTTGATTAAGTATACTCTACTCCATTTCGGAGAGTTCATGCCTATTTGACAATTTATGCGCCGCCTTGCAAAACCAAAAACATCCCTACTCAAGCCGAGGAACCGAAAGTACCACTGCCTTAGCTCCCCTTGATAAGCTGCGATGACTTTCACGGCAGACTCTTCTCTCCCCTTCAGGAATCGACACTTGAATTTTCAAGTTCTCAAAGTATTGATATGTTTACCTCAGAATGAGTCTCGGAAGTGAATTATAGAAAAAAAATCATCTATAATATCCAAACTCGAAGAATTTTAACTAAGTTTGACTGCTGCACCAACCGATTTTGAGAGTCCCTGACAAAATCAAAACGCGTTTAATTTCTTCAACTTCATGTGTTTCTGAAGATATTCCTCTCAAAAGTTTACCCTAAATCTCATGTTGAGGAAAAATGAATGATTGTCTACGTAATTGAAATTGGAGCAAGAAGAATTCAATTTTAAAAAAGCGCAACATATAGTCTGCACAAAGTGCGCGGTAAAGAGTGAAATTTTGAAATTTTGTTTGCTCAACATGATTTTCGTGCAATTTTATCTACTCGTAGAACCCTGAACTGGCATTATCTTTTGTGTAAAATAGACCCATTGATACCCATAATAACTAAGATTTCAATTAATTTTTCCCGATAAATTATCACCGAATAAATATGTTTCCACGGTGTAACTTCGTAATGTGGGCTCAGTGGTTCATTTAGGGCCAATTGTAAGACCCCTGGTCAGGTGCTTGTCAAACTGGTGGTTTGAGCTGACCAGAACTTGACCAGAAGTATAGGAGTGTATGACTCCCGGTTTTCTTCAGGTCAAGTCCCGGTCAGCCTTTATTCTGTCTCGCAAACCAGTAGTTAGGCTAATTAGCAGATTGACTGCTGGTCAGAGTCTGACCACTCGTTTGGTGACCAGAGGTTGACAAGAGATCTTACAAACAGCCCTTAGACTTTCCCATCGCTCGGTGTACTTTATAAAGAAGGTAAGCAACTTGTAGTGAGCCTCTTCTTTATGTTCTAAGGAAAGTTTAATACATAGCCTCCAGTGGCGTGGCGTGCTTTGCGATGTATCGAATGAATGTCATTTGAAACGTATCAATAAACATGGTGTTCGCAGCAAACACCATAAGAATCAATTATTTACCATATGTTCAAATGGAGGAATATCGACAATCGATAATTCACGCCACGCCCTTGATAGCCTCATTGTGGATTCAAAAATTTCTGCATGTGGCTCAATGACCCCAGTATGCTCAGTTCTGATTATGAATTGTTCGATTGAATGAAGATTAGATTTAGCGTGCAGCTGGCTCATTGTGGTATGCTTTATATACACAGATATATGGACGCATAGGTGCTTATGGAAAGATTTGTTCATTTCCGCTTCCCAGCCAAGTCATATGTAGATTATCTTCATGCAGAACAAACGATTGCTTTGACTTTTATTTCTCACACCATATCACTTGGGTTTCAAATCGTTCAATGAACGTGCGATTCATTGTCCCAATTCTTGCAATTTCGACAGGCTAAACGAAAGATAATGAATAAAAAAGAGGTTAAGCATCGGGAGGTACCAGAGGTAAAGAGGTACACCTTCACCAATGACGATTCTTGGAAGTTGGCAACACTAATTTTCTTCCATTTGGATCTATGTAAAACAATCGATTCTTGGTGAGGCAGCTTGCCTCACCGAAAATCGATATTTTAAATGGATTTAAATTCAGGAAAAACAATGTTGCCAACTTGCAAAATCACATTTCCGGCTCAATGTTAAAAGGACTCCCTAGTAGCAGAAAAAATTTTTGTTTTTCTAAAAAAAGTATAAAAAAAACATATCTGTTATCTAAATGATCGTTTTATATAAAAAACGTGTAACGCTTATATAAAAAAAAATCAAAGTTCAGACCTGACCGTAATACATGAAAAATGATAAAAGCTAGATAAGGTAATTTTTTTTATACACACATTTTTTATTTTTTTATATAACGCATGTATACGAAAGTGTTAAAAGTGAACATTTTTATGTAACGATTATATAAAAAAATAGGTCATCATTTTCGTGAACTTTTCGCGAATTAGATGAATTTTTAGTATGTTCGCGAAAAGCTCACGAAAATTATAACATTTTTTTATATAATGGTTACATAAAAATGTTCACTTTTAACACTTTTGTATGCATGCATTATATAAAAAAAATTAACTTTCGTACATAATATTTATCTTTTCCTTCTGTGGTTCTGCTACTAGGGCTAACGGGTGTTTTGTCATGCCAAGGAAAAACGGAGTAAAAGCCTTCAGACGTTTTTTTTGATAAATAAAAAATGTCCACACAAATTTATAAATATTTTTTTCTCAGATTTTACAAAGAATTTCCGGCTGAGATATTTTCGTATTTCGAGGGCATTATGCTTAACTTTCTTCTGAAGTAAGAATTCTCCGAGTTTAATTTGACAACACTCGAATGCCAATAGGGTGTTTTCTCTTAGCACGGCAGTATTCTAGGAGATCAATTGCAAACGGTTTTGTTCAATGGACCGCTAGAAGGGGTATTCGAAATTTAGCGTTTTATTACAGTTATCTCATCAAATTGTATCGTAGAGCACAATGAATATACTTTAAAAATTTCCGAACTCAACTAATGAGTTTAAAAATCACGGTGTTAACTACGTATAGAAAGGTTTTTTTCTCGAGCGGAAAGTTTAAATTCACATTTAAAATGAATACTACGAACATTATCTCTTAGAATTGTATGTTCAACGTGTTATGAGTGAAATTTTTAGAAATGGAAATGTGATGGAATGCCTCGTTTTTATACTGCTTAGTGGTCCATAATGTATCAAAGGAGAGAAAATTTCTTCATTTTAACATCGCAAGTTTAGACCCAAAAATATACATGTTAAAGTACAAAATTTTAGTAACTTTTCTCAAAACTACATTTTTGAGCAGAAAATATTAATTTTTTATGACAATATAGATGTGTTTTTCGTGTCTATTTTGGTATTAAAATATTTGATGTGATTTGCCAAATTTTTAAAATGTACATTTATGTAGTTGTCGCTAACTTACTTCCTTTATCAGTCCTTTAGTGCAACGCCTCTGGTGCAAAAAAAAATGTTCAGAGGAAAACACCAAACAAAACGTACTCTTCTTGATGACCGGTTTTTGGTAAATATTGAAACTGAGTGATCCCTGAATTCAAACCTGAACTTCATATTACGGACATAGCGTCCCCCCAAAGTTTGAAGATTGTATAGTTTTATTATGACAAAAAGAAGGTAAAATCCACCGAGCACTACATAATTAAAATAAAAATTAGAAAAAAGACAGGAGAAAAGAGGATATTGGTAAGATATGCCATCATCATGCTGTGCTTACCTAGGTCGCAAGTAGATCTGATGACACTTGAAACTTAAATAATGACTTAAAAGTATATCATAAAACTCTCATTCACGGGTTTAAGGAGAATAATAACAAGAACTCTCGCACTCACTGCTACACTTAAAACACTTTTTTCACGAACCTCAGCTAGTAAGATGTAATTTGATACTCAGCTGTCTCAATCAAAACATGTTTGAAAGATTTTCATTATGTTTCAATTTTAATAAAATATCACCCACAATCACTCCACGGTATCCTACGCTCGTTGGATCAAACAAGTTTTAAATTTCACGTAAAAAACGCGAATTGGACGCACAAATTTGAAGAAGTTTGATGCGAAAAGATCTGTGCGATTAAGCAACCTCTAGCGGCTTTGAAATTCAAACGAAGTGCTGTACAAAAACTCGCATTGTTTAGCAGAGCTTCGGGAAATTTGAAACCCCCCTCATTCCTGACATACAGAGTGCTTTAAAAAAGACGCTCCTTTTTGCCATGCTATGAAAGAGAGCTGAGCGTGTGCTTCGAGTAATGTTGAAAAATTGGCCGAAGTCATTGACCGGTCGCTGACCCACTGGAAAAAAAAAAATTCGATCGCATGAAACGAACGCACTGTATTCCATACAATCAAACCCTGGTTTGTCAAACTACACGCCGCATTTGAAGGCGTTTTCAAAACAGCCAAGTTCAGATACCCGGATTATCGTTTTGCATAGCTCATATTCTTTTGTTATATTCCGTACCACTCGTTTATTTTTAATCCTCGTAGAAAAACCACCCATTTGGTAAATACAATTCTAGCTGGAGCGCACTTCAGCTATGCATTCACCACTGGCAAAATGTCAAAGGAAATCGACAAGCCCAGCGTGGACGAAGGATGAAGGCTATTCCCATTTAAATCTTCCTTCACATTCTTACGGCGCAATGATACAACTATTTGAACTCTCCGGAATGCGTTAGGTATCACGCCGCATTTGAAGGCGTTTCCAAAACAGCCAAGTTCCGTTATCGGAATAATCGTTTTGCATTGTTCATATCATTTTGTTTCCATTTCTAACCACTTGTTTAATTATAATCCTCCCAGAAAAACCACCCATTTGTAAATACAACTCTAGCTGAAGCGCACTTCAGCTATGCATTCACCACTGCAAAAATTTTAGAGGAAAACGACAAGCCCAGCGTGTATGGAGGCTATCTCCATTTAAATCTTCCTTCACATTCTTACGGCGCAATGATACAACTATTTGAACTCTCCGGAACGAGTGAGGTATCACGCCGCATTTGAAGGCGTTTTCAAAACAGCCAAGTTCCGATACCCGGATTATCGTGTTGCATGGCTCATATTATTTTGTTATATTCCGTACCACTCGTTTATTTTTAATCCTCGTAGAAAAACCACCCATTTGGTAAATACAATCCTAGCTGGAGCGCACTTCAGCTATGCATTCCCCACTGGCAAAATGTCAAAGGAAATCGACAAGCCCAGCGTGCATGAAGGCAGGCCTGCCACAAGGGGGGGATACTGGGTCCCTGGGACCGGGCCCGGGCCCCGGAGGGGGCCCGTGTTACCCGTGAAAAACCACTACGAATTCACATGCAACCCTTGTTTCTTAAGAAAAAGTGAAAAATTTACCCTAAAAATTTCGCGAAAGGTGAATAGATTTTCAGAAACACGCTGGGGCACTGTAGAATTCTTCTTAAATTTTCAAAGAAGTATACTTCCTGGAAAATTTTAATCTATTTTCAAGATTTTCAGTACAGAGGGATATTTTTAGTAACTGCGTTTCATTTTCTTCCGTCGTCAGATGTTAAGAGTCTCCAGTATGGGCATTCTCGACTTCAATGGCTCATGGCTCAACTCCCTTGCCACCGACAAACGAAGGGGGAGTCCAGGGGGCCCGGCTCTCTTAGAAGTGAAAATAGTATCATATGCCCTCCCCCCCCCAAAAAAAAAAAAAAAAAAAAAAATTTTCCA